GAGGAAGAGGCCGAAGCCCTGGCTAAACGGCCCAACTTCAAAATCGCCTACAATGGCCAGGAGGAAGAGGCCGAAGCCATGGCTAAACGGCCCAACTTCAAGATCGCCTACAATGGCCAGGAGGAAGAGGCCTAAATTCAAGTCTCAACGGGTTCCGAAACTCTGAAATGTAAGGTAAGCCCTCAGCGAGAAATTAGAACGCTTAAGCTCATAGCACAGGTGTCACAGTTAAGCAAGTCATTGATATGTCGCCTTTTTGGGGACACAACATACCACGGATAAAATTTCCTCAACATCTTTTACCCTCCTCCCTCAGTATGTTGTGTGACATTAACCCTGTAGGCGAGTTACGCCATAATGCGCAAGTCAGAGCTTTAACGCCACGAGAGCAAGACCAACTATTTTTCCACGGCATTGGACCTGCGGATTGATAACATGCTTTGTTGTTCTACACATCCATTCTTTTACTCTCATTGAGCTGTCATGAATTGAACTGGATTAATCTGAGACGCCATGAATTTGAGATCCAAGTACCTCTCTATTCAGCATGCACCTGCAAGGTGTCTCCTTCTTTTCCCATTAATAGTATTCTTATCGATTGCAATTAATTATACCATAGCAACATCAGGAGTGAATAATGCTATGCCACGTAATTGCGGCGCCTCTCTCCTAGTACTACAACATTTAGTCGTAAAGTCACAGCTGTTATCGCCCCGCATGTTCGTGCATAGTCCTCCAGACATAAAGTAGTCATCGTCACCGCCAGAATTGGCTGCTGAGGTTGGTCGAACGTGCGGGGTCAAGGATTGACCAGCAGTTCGCAAGGGATGCGTTGGCCATTCCGTGCTAATCGTAATTGCATGGAAGAAGGTTTGATTCTCGCATCGTCTATCTAACCTCACATGTGATTGGTAGGATAGAATAAAACTATGTAAAGTCTCTGTAATCGGTGTGTTGAAACGAACTATGGATGAATCGAGCGATAGACTGGCCAAATCAGAATTCGAATGGTAGTATCTTCCAATATTTACCGATAATTTAGGGATCAGCGTGGTTGAAAAAAAAAAATGATATATCATATACCAGCAAGGCACATCAGCTTTAGCACCATGCAGACGCATAATAGTGCCAATTTCTATCCCGTCCCCTTCTTTTCGCTACATATGATACGTCAGAGAGCAATGCAATACATGTCAGATGCTCTTTGTAGTGCATGATCGTCTTCTTGTTTTGTTCTTATGCACACACACCGCGCCATTCCGCCACAGCGACAGCAACAGCAGAGACGGGAACAGTCTCTTCAATGGGCAAATCACGATATTACACTGCTTCAGACCCATCATATCTCCAATTCGCGTAAGATGGCCCATAAATAATACATTCTCTTTTGTCATGAGCTTATGCCTTCAAGATGTATGTAATGGTCCGAGGTATTATACCATTCCTCGCTCTTCTTTGCGTCGTCCTTGCCAATCCGCAGCCCAGGTCATATGAAACCCGAGAATACTTTGCTCTCCAGGTTGATGGCCGCACTGATCCCCATGAGGTCGCAAACATACTCGGCGCGGAGTACGGAGGACCCATCGGGGAGCTCCCTGATCACCACGCCTTTTCTTTTCCCAAGGAAAACGGGTCACGCATTGACAGCTTGATGTGGGCTGAACGGAATCACAGTCAACGAGATGAACGCGTGCATGGACTGCGGGATATGATCCTTTGGGCAGATAGGCTTACTGTCCCCGAACTGGCAAAAAGGCGAGTTCCGACAGGGTTACCTGTGGATTCTTTCTGGCAGGGCCAGCCGCATCCGGAGGCAGTCCGCGCACAGCAAAAAATTGCAGAGTCGCTCAACATAAAAGATCCCATGTTCCGTGAACAATGGCATCTTTTTAACGCCGTGCAACTGGGAAATGACCTCAATGTGACCGGTGTCTGGCTTGAGGGCATCACTGGGGAGAATGCCACCACGGCTATTGTTGATGACGGCTTAGATATGGACAGTCTCGATCTACAACAGAACTACTACGCAGGAGGGTCCTTTGATTTCAACGATGACGGAGCAGAACCAAGGCCGCGCCTGCCAGACGACCATCACGGTACTCGATGTGCCGGGGAAATAGCGGCAGCCAGGAACGATATTTGCGGGATTGGAGTGGCATACAATAGCAGAGTATCGGGAATCCGCTTGCTGTCGGGAAAAGTTGACGATATCCATCAGGCCGCGGCCATCAACTATGACTACCAACATAATGACATCTACTCTTGCTCATGGGGCCCACCAGATGACGGCATGCATATGGAAGCTCCAGCTGTGCTAGTTCAACGAGCAATAGTGAATGGGGTACAAAATGGCCGTGCCGGGAAAGGCTCTATCTTTGTCTTCTCCGCTGGAAATGGCGCCTCTCAGGACGATAACTGTAATTTTGATGGATACGCTAATAGTATATACAGCATTACCGTCGGGGCGATCGACAGGATGGGCAAGCACCCCCCTTACTCAGAATCTTGTTCAGCCTTGCTGGTGTCTGCCTTTAGTAGTGGCTCTGGCGAAGGTATATACACTACCGACAACGGCGTCGACACGTGCTTCAGCCTTCATAGTGGCACATCCGCTGCTGGCCCACTTGTGGCAGGGGTGGTCGCTTTGGCTTTAAGCGCTCGACCAGACCTCACCTGGCGGGACGTCCAGTACCTCCTCATTGAGACCGCGATCCCCGTTCATGTACAGGATGGTAGCTGGCAAACCACATCAAGCGGCCGAATGTTTAGCCATGACTGGGGTTATGGGAAGGTCGACGCATACAGTCTGGTCCAGAAGGCTCGTACTTGGAATTTGGTGAAGCGGCAGGCATGGTATCATTCTCCCTGGTTAGCAGTATGTGTGCCCTGTACCCATCTTTTTAGGACAAAGTCTAAATTCCAGTAATGTAGGTGCATGCAGCGATTCCTGAAGGCCATAATGGGGTGTCACACTCCTTTAATGTGACCTCTGATATCATTCAGACGGCCAACATTGCAAGGCTAGAGCATGTTACTGTCACGATTAATATAGACCATATAAGCCGCGGAGATATCAGCGTCACCCTTATTAGCCCCGAGGGGACAATAAGCTATTTGAGCACGCCAAGGGTACCTGACCGCAAACGCGCGGGCTATGTCAACTGGGAGTTCACGTCTGTGGCACATTGGTAAGCTAAACTTGACTAATTCCCCTATTCCTGATGTTCTGCTAAGAACTGAGATAATGCAGGGGCGAAACAGGGATTGGCATATGGACAATCATTGTCCAAGATATAAATGTGAACAACCGGACGGGGGCTTTCATTAACTGGCGCCTGAACCTCTGGGGTGAGGCCATCGATGATAGCCACCAACCGCTACATCCTCTTCCGGGTGGCTACGAAGAGAAAGCTCCAGACAATCCCAGTGTCACCGAAACCGTTGTAATGCCTTCTCCAGCCTTGGAGCACCAATCTTTCACCTCTACTGCTCACCCAATGGACGGACAAATACTTCATGAGGCTGGATCGAGTTCCGCATCTGCCGGAATTGGAACGATTACCAGACACTCTTCTAGCTCTCAGTTATACTACAATAATCCCCGTTTCGCGTTAATAACCGCGATGCTGACGGCTATTATATTTCTCGTCATTGTTGGGCTCTACCTTTGCTTTCGTCTGGTACCGGTCTCTCCGAGGAACCTGGACATGCAGCTGGAGATGCGGAACAGTGGCAATTGTCGGGACTTGTTACAGGCGCATGAGAGCGAAATGTACAGCAGCGACCTCGAAGGCGCAGAGGCTGGATCGTTTGACCTTCGGACAGGTTGATTCCAGAAAGGTTTCACATAAGATCGTCTTTAGAGCAATTCCTGGGAGGCTTGACTCCCCACGAACTCCTCCTTGGGTATAGAATTCACCTAGATAATGATCCTATATATATGTTCTGCATTTTAGCCGCCAGTCAGGCAGCGTACATCACCTCTCTCTGGCCCCAACTCCAATGTTCTTCGGGGCTAGTCATCAGTTCCAGCATGTCAATCATTTTGCGTCCCATATACCTCCAGGCCTGCAAACCATACCCAAATGCGAGATTAGCCATTTTCAAGGCGCTCCCCCTATCTCGCACTGCGTTGTATGCATGGGCTGCAAGTCGGTAGCCATCTGCAATGTGACACCAAAGATTCTCCTTTTCGTACAGGTGCACTAACGTTCTCGCCATTTCGGGAGTGGCGTTATTTTGTGGTATAGACCAGTCATTCAGTAATTTCTTGTAGCGATTAATACGCTGGATTCTTTCATCGGATTGTCGAATGGCCTCTGGGCTCATCGTGCAAGTATGGCAAGAGCAATTGAAACCCCAGAAGCTGATCGCCTCCTGTCGTTCTTTATGGGTCACTGTAGGGTCAATATCTGATTACGAGTATGCCAACTGATAGTCAGTAATCCACCCGGGCTCTAAGAATTGGGCTTCAGCGACGCACAGGAAATGGTGAGCTCTTCGCCGGGACTGATGTCCCGTATCGTATACACGTTCTGTGTGAAGGTTTTTGGGTCAAAGGTGTACATGCAACTGTCCGACAGATAGCAGTAAGCATTCGTCAGGATAAGCTTTTGATTTGAGGTGCGTATTGATAAGGATATGCTCACTTCGGCCGGCAATCATGATTGAGCCTCTAGAATAAAGAACATCAGGATATCGTCCCATATGGAACTATGTATTTGGGAAAGCAAAAGACTTACTGAAGTCTGTACGAACAATGCATGATGGTCGTTTGCTGCATGCACAGTGATTGTGAATGAGTTTGTGTCCAAGATATCCTCCACAGGGTCCCCTCCCCAGTGGCCCATCAATGCCATGGTCTCCGACTTTGTTAGAAGCGGGAGTCTATCCACGCCCTCCTGTTGCATTCGAAGGCGCTGTTTCTCTGGGACAGCGGCTCGCATGTCTAGGTGTACCATCAATGAAGGAGGCTCTGAAACGAGCAAGTCGCCTTTGTGAAGAAATCTCTTAGCAACCACCCCTACCCCCTTCCCGGGAATCTGAACCTCCTCAAAGGCTTCTTTTTCGACATTTACCGTAAGTCGTTGCCGAGAATTTTGTACGATTGCGTTCAAAGCTGCGTTTCGCATCACTTCAGGTCGAGTTACCAAGGAAATGCCACGCCCATTCCAAAACTGCTGTTCGGTGTAAACGCAATATTCGCCATGGCAAGTGCCCTGTAGGAGATCCAGCTGCCCATATAGAGGTAAAATACCTAAAGATGGGGTATAGAGTGGTGAACAGATATCAAATCGCCGGAAAATATCATCGAGAAGACAGAGTTCTGATCTTGATTCTTGTTTTTTTTCCGACGAATGATGCCGAGTGGTTGCTGTACTTGAGGGGGAAATGGCCTCGCACCAGGTTAAGATGAAGGTAACTAACGGAAGAGCCCTAATTAAAATCGTCATTTTTACCCCGCATTGAAACCAAATTTTTGGACTTATGTTTAAGACATCAAAGAGAGATTTCGCACACCTCCATGTATGGGGAAGATGTACTCAATAAATCAACAAGTTCTGACTTATTTAGGATGGGCAAACCAGGAAACTTTGTTGGTCAATTGCATGCACCCGCTTGCATTTGACTTTGACCAACTATTCAAGCCAGTGGAGCCTACAATCTGCATCACATCACGTTACAAGGTGAGGGGGTGGTGCTGAAGTTGACGAGTCCACCCTTTCAATTCCAAAAGTAGCGGGATGGACGAATGACTTCGGGGCAGCCGCTGGCTGATCTCTACCTAGAATCCTAATCAGCAGGGGCGATTGCAGATCACTTCAAGGTATACCAACTAATAAGAAAATGAGAGGAAGATGTGAGTGGATAACATAAGTGATTAACTCTGTTGCAGCATCAGAGCAAGAACAGAGGTGTCATGTATTATTTTAGTTGAGAGAAATGTTGCTGGATCTGCTTGAGTGTTTAATATGTTTTTGTGTGATTGCTCGGAACACCTTGCATACAGAGAACAGGGCCTATTGTCCACAGCCTGGCCATCTCATAAACTTTACTCCGTAGGAATTGCATAATGTGGTGGTACAACGCATACATTTCAGCGACGCTGGCTACTACTCGATCATATGGGACCCTCTGTGTATTTAATGCCTCCACCATCTCCGGTATTATATCACCTCTGTATATTTCAGATATTCTCTGCATGATATTTCCGAACTAACAAACTACTAAAATGACTTTCTTTCACAATAAACGCTACTTCCCAGTTCGATCATCAGAGGATATCGACGAGAGAGAACACACTAATCATGAAAAAAAAGCCTTTCTCTGGACTTGGCTACCAATACACCAGAACAGGAGGAACTGGAACTCTAAATCCTGTGTCAACTTATTTTTCTGCTTCAATGCACTGCTTTCCTTAGTTCTGTTCATTGTCTCTATATGTCTCCTCCAAAAATCAAACTTTGTCACTGACACAGAACAGCCTCCATATTGTGAGTATCTAGACTATGCTTTCAGGCCTGCTTGAGCTGCATGCATATCTGATGACTATTCTTAAGCACCGTTGCGTGAGGATGGTGTCGTTCATTCCTATAGTACCCATTATAAGCCGAACAAGATTTTCCAGTCCTCTCCGTCGGACGAGGTGGACGAGGCGTGGAACGGGTGGCTGCGAGGTAAGCTGTGGACAAGCACATCTTGACCGCGGTCACTGACAGTGGGAGTAGAACACGACCACGTAATCCTCATACCTACAAAAAAGGCCATTGAAAAGGGTCTGCCGGAGTCTGTCGACACGTACCTCGATCCTGGATATTCCGTGTATGGACTGGGCGTGTACCACCAATTACATTGCCTTAATCGAATTCGCAAATCGTTTTATCCCGAGCGTTATTACCCTGGCGCGTCAAGTCATGAGATTGAACATCACATAAGTAAGCCCAGCATCTAGTCATACTTGCCACTTCTTTACTCCAGGCCCTATGCTTACTGAAGAATGTATCGTTCCAGACCATTGTTTAGATGTGCTCCGACAAGCTATCCTCTGCCATGGGGACATCTCGCTTGTTTACTGGTGGAATCGGAATTATAGCTACGTTGATGAGGCTGGCTTGAAACACTATACTGCAGAGTATCTTCACAGGACGCCAGATGAGAGATTAACCGGCTCCTTCGTCAAATGGGATTCTGCTGTCCAATGCCGTGATATGGATGCCGTGAACTCGTGGGTGAAGAAGCACATGGTCGATGATGATAAATATGGCGGTCAAATGGTTGATTGAGGACTCAAAAACGAAGCGTCTTTGTGGCCGTTGTAAATCGAGACTCAATCAAGTACGCAATAGCTTCCTATCATCATGCCATGCATTAGATGAGTATCGCTCTCCTCGTTCTGCGATTATTTAAAATCGGGGGAAGACACACATCCTTACTATACTCTGTTTGATACCTTAGAACAAGTCAGCCACGAATCACGATATCAAACAAATCCATTGATGAGAATGTCATCATACCGCCTCTACCTCAGGGGACGCAGGAATGATCCACTCAAGGTTCTGAAATAAGGTCTATGATATCCCAGTCTTCTGACTGCTTAGACGAGCTATCCCATGGCTTTGACAACTCCCCAAAAGCGGTATCTGCCTTTTCGGTATTCAATAGATCCCCGTTGATATGGTACCCAGCGAGCCTGACAGTCAGTCCAGTTCATAGAAGATGGCCCTCGACACAAGGATACCTCCTAGAAGACAAGGGCGGATCGAGACAGTTATGGATACAGATAGAAGCGTCTGCTTGTACCTCGAAGACTACCGAATATTCATCGTAGCAGGAGAGAAAGGAGAAAAGATAAACTGTTCTGAATTCTGCACGTGTTTCTGCGAATGTTTTAATGGTACTAAATATCGACACCCGAGTAGGTCATAAACTGAAGTTACATATCCGACTTAATCTTGCATAACAGCAATCACAAACCATAATCATCAAATAGGAGCAGGTCGTATGCACGAATTGCCGGAGTATATCAACGTTGCAACCGAATACGAACCGCCCACTAGCCTCATCGGCGTCCCAATTAGGAAGGTGACGGCCCTCCCCGCCTAGACMCCAGTAAAACACATATAACCCCAATAACCTTGAACACAATCTACCTTCTACCTTCCTCATCACAGGAATCAATCCTACCTGAAGAATACCACAACCATGCTCCCAACCAACATCTCCCTCCACCCCGCCGTCCCCGCGGACGCCCTCACCCTCGCAAAACTCCACAACGCCGCATTCGAAAACGACGACCTCCTGGTAACAATGTACGGCCCGCTCACGCAAGACGACCCGCCCTTCGCCACCGACCTGGAGAAAATCATCCGCGACGATCCACACGCCCAGACCATAAAAGCCATCGACGACGAAACGGGGCAGGTCGTAGGCTGGTCGTTGTGGGATTTCTACCCCGACGCCGAGGCGCAGGCGAAAGCAGACGAAGAGGCGCGCAAACGAAGTTCCACGCCGCCGGCGACGTCGCTGTGTCCGCAGGTGTATTTGGATTATCAGCATTTGAAAGCGAAGATAAGGGCGAAGTGGATTGGGGGGAGGGCGGCTGCTAGTGAGTTGCTTCCATTCTTGACTTAGCGTGTGGATATGGAGGGTGGAGTGAGGGCTGATTGTGTAGTTCTGCAAGTTCTGGTTGTTCATCCAGATTACCAGGGCCGAGGGATCGGGACACGGTTGCTGGCGGTTGGGGTGGAAGAGGTGAGACGGCTGAAGTTGCCTGCGTGGTTGGAGGCTTCGCCGGCTGGGTATAGCGTCTACAGGAAGTGTGGCTTTCGTGATGCCGAACTGATGGAGCTGGATTTTGATAAGTATGGGCTTACTGGGATGATTCAAGTTTATTGTATGTTGATGGATGAGGTTGAGAAGTCATAGAATAGAATCGCCAGGACAGAGATGTACATAGTTCATGGCAAAAACAAGCGCATGTCCAGGTCAGATTAGATCTGGGATATCCACTGGAACAGTCAAATTGGGTACGCATATAGATAGGATCAGCATGTGTGCATGTTTTACAATCCTCCAGTAGTACACGAGGCATGTCAAATTGGCCATTGGCGAATAATATGCCTTGCATTTAAAGCTGTTCAACTACCTAACTAGCAATAGGCAATTTTGGATTGTGCCTGAAACAACATATACACTAGGTGATTCATATCTCATAAGGCTGTCGACAATCACAAACGAGCAGGAATAGTCTGCTTGCCCTTCAGATCAAACCGATCCAGGTTCATAACCTTGTTCCACGCCGCCACAAAGTCCTTGACAAACTTCATATCACCATCGTTGCTGGCATACACTTCCGCAATCGCACGCAGCTCAGCGTTCGAGCCAAAGACAAGGTCCGCACGAGTAGCTGTCCACTTCTTGCCACCAGTCTTGCGATCGCTTCCCTCGAACAGCTCGCCGTTGCCGGCGTCCTTCCACGCGGTGTTCATGTCCAGCAGGTTCACGAAGAAGTCGTTCGACAGAGCCCCAGGGCGAGAGGTGAAGACGCCGTGCGCGGAGCCATCGTAGTTGGTGTTGAGCACACGCAGACCACCAACCAGAACAGTCATCTCGGGCGCAGACAGGTCCAGCAGCTGTGCCTTGTCGACGAGGTAGTGCTCCGCGCGGGGGCGGGCGGGGCCCTTGGCGAAGTTGCGGAAGCCATCGGCGAAGGGCTCCATGTGGCTCATGGACTGGACGTCCGTTTCCTCCTGGGAGGCGTCCGTGCGGCCGGGGACGAACGGCACCTTGATCGGGTGGCCGGCGTCCTGCGCGGCCTTCTCGACAGCGGCGCAGCCGGCCAGGACGATGAGATCAGCGAGCGAAACCTTCTTGCTGTCGCTGCGGGAGTTGAAGCGGGATTGGACGGTCTCCAGCGCGGAGAGAGCCTCGCGCAACCAGGGCTGGTTGTTGACCTCCCAGTCGCGCTGCGGGGCGAGACGGATGCGCGCGCCGTTGGCACCGCCGCGCTTGTCGCTGCCGCGGAAGGTGGAGGCGGCCGCCCAGGCGGTGGAGATGAAGTTTCTAGCAGGCACGCCGGAGGCGAGGATCTCGTCCTTGAGCGTGGCGATGTCGGCAGCCTCAACGAGCGGGTGGTTGACGGCAGGGACGGGGTCCTGCCAGATCAGAACCTCGCTGGGGACCTCCGGGCCGAGGTAGCGGGCGCGCGGGCCCATGTCACGATGGGTGAGCTTGAACCAGGCGCGCGCAAAGGCGTCGGCGAACTGGTCCGGGTGCTCGAGGAAGCGCCGGGCAATCTTCTCGTAGGCGGGGTCGAAGCGGAGCGACAAGTCGGTGGTGAGCATGGTGGGCTTGCGCTTCTTGGAGGAATCGTAGGCGTCAGGGATGATCTCGTCTGCGTTCTTGGCGACCCACTGGTGGGCGCCGGCTGGACTCTTGGTGAGCTCCCACTCGAACTTGAACAGGTACTCGAGGAAGTTGTTGTTCCACTGGGTCGGGGTCTTGGTCCAAGTCACCTCGAGTCCGCTCGTGATGGTGTCGGGACCCTTGCCGGAGCCGTGCTTGTTCGACCAGCCGAGGCCCTGAGCTTCCAGGCCGGCGGCTTCGGGCTCTTTGCCGACGTTGTCTGGCGGGGCGGCACCGTGGGTCTTGCCGAAGGTGTGGCCACCAGCGATGAGGGCGACTGTCTCCTCGTCATTCATGGCCATGCGGTTAAAGGTATCACGGATGTCGTGAGCGGCCGCGACGGGATCGGGGTTACCATCGGGTCCCTCGGGGTTGACATAGATCAGACCCATGTGGGCGGCGGCCAAAGGGGTCTCGAGCGGGCGCGTGTGAGTAGTCTTGTGTGAGGGCTCGTCCGCAATGACGGTGCCCCGCTTGTCGGATCCAGAATGCCCCTTCGAGTACCGCGCGTCGTTGCCCAGCCAGGTGGTCTCTCGTCCCCAGTAGGTGGACTCGTCCGCCTCCCAGGTGTCTGGACGACCTCCGGCGAAGCCAAAGATCTTAAAGCCCATGGACTCCAGGGCAACGTTACCGGTGAGGATCATCAGATCGGCCCACGAGATCTTGTTGCCATACTTTTGCTTGATGGGCCAGAGAAGACGGCGAGCTTTGTCCAGACTGACATTGTCAGGCCAGCTATTCAGAGGAGCAAACCGCTGCTGACCCTGACCGGCACCTCCACGACCGTCAAAGACACGGTATGTACCGGCGCTGTGCCAGGCCATCCGGATGAAGAGACCGCCATAGTGACCGAAATCGGCGGGCCACCAGTCCTGCGAGTCGGTCATCAGGGCACGAAGGTCCTTCTTCAAGGCATCGTAGTCGAGGCTCTTAAAGGCGGCAGCATAATCGAAGTCAGCGTCCAGCGGGTTGGAGACGGCAGTGTGCTGACGCAGGATGTTGAGCTTCAGCTGGTCAGGCCACCAGTCCTTGTTGCGGGTGCCGCCACCAGCGAAATTGGGCTGTGAGGGCTGCTCCTGGTAGGGACACTTTTCCTGTGTCATGATGTGCTTTTCTTTGTGTTATCAGGGGTATATTGATGATTAAGGTGGAAGACGGAAGATGACAGAAGATGAGGGGTAGATGGAACCTTATAAGCTGGGCAGTCCTCGTCTAGGCCAGGTCTCATTAATAACGCGTCCAACCGAGCATAACAATCTCGATCAGCAGGTGCTTCCCCGCATTCCAGAGAGTTTTCTGTCGCTGCTTTTGCAGTTTCAGTCGATAAATGTTCTGGCTGGACCTTCTTACTCAGCGCCCATCGGCCTATGATATCATGAACCACCTTTCCCCGCTTTGTCACAGCCAATCACAGTGACAAATTGCTAATCCTGCTGACTGTACATGTGGAATGTCGGCAATGACTGGCTAGTCTCCTCGGAAACCCCCGCTCTCCTTTCCGACGTCCTCGCCTCGCGCCGTTGTCCGTAATAACAACAATAGCTATTATTATTGCAAGATAGATTGATATCCTGGGTATAAATGTTCAATATCTCCGGGGATGGACCTGGTTGCTAAGTGACTAATTGTACTACTTTTGCCCAACCAACAGAAGAGTTGTTGCATTCACCATGCCAACCCAAGATCTCGCCATATTACCCCTCAGACCGACTTACCTAAGAAAAAGTACCATACAGCGGATTCGCATTCCTTTTTAGGACAAACAATACCATAAGAGTCTGTCCCCAATTTACCCTCGGCAGCTTGTCGGTTGCTGTAGGAAACTGAAAAGTAATCTTTATTGCCTGTTGGCTAAAGGTTATCTATGTAGTTACAGAAGAAAATATGCATATATTCCTCTTTTGCGTAGGAGAGTTGGTCATTTGATGGGTCGGTAGTCTGGAAATTAAGTAGCAATTCATATAAACCTGGACTATATAATTAGATATTTATTCGTTTCGTTAATATGAGCAAGAAACACCGTTATCCTCTAATCATTAGAGGTGATTCCCTGCGAGGACTGTCGGGGTCAGGCAATTAATCGTATCAATACAGATGCATTTTCATCTCAGAGACACTGATATATATTTACGGAGTACAGCATACCGTGGAAAAGTCCCGTAGGATCAATCCTATTCATGCCCAGCGGTCTATCAATTATCGCTTCTGTATCAAAAATGACTAGCTTTCCATTAAATATCACCAACTTTATCCTCTGCTTTCATTCAGCCATTTTCAGTGTGCAAGATGAAACCATGTCAACCACTCACGCATGACTCCGAAGTAATGCAATCTGGACTGCTGCTCGTCCTAACCCGAATAGCTTCTATTTTATTTCTCCCTTGAAAGTTAAAATACATAGAACATTAAGTACAGTATGTGCTTATTATACTAACAACAGTAATTACTTGACTCTTCCCGTCCCCATCCCGATACGGCGACAGAACCAGCACTCATACCGATATGCCTAGTCGTACTACGGATGCTCACGATCGGTCAGGTCAACGCTCGAATTCGGCTTACCTCCACCGCAATCCGCAAACTACCTGCTAAAGTCAATACTTCTGTAAACCTTAGAGTCCTATTTATGCCGGTTTTAGATGTTTCCAGTCTCTATCAAGGGGTATATCTCAACAAAAGACAGACGCAAGCACGCAAGATGCCCGTATGACCTCGCATTAGGATGATATCGGAGACATTTTTTGTGATCTACTCCAGTGAACGACTCTGTTTGAGCCCGCAGAAGGCAGGCTGGAGTTCCTAAAGACCAAATCGATAATACCAAGTCAAGATCCCCTCAGCAGCAACAGGTTGCCGCCCTAAGCGTGAAAATGATTCCAATATACTTTCAGCCTGACAGATTGTCTCGACCAGAGGGGTATCTGCAGATCCATGACTGAATTGACGAATGGGGTATAATCCAGCCTGAGCACGAACTCAACGGACGGGCTTGTAGACTTAGACTCTAGAACAATCCATCGGTTGCGTTGTCCTTGCATACAGACATGAATTATTCTCCTGACTCAGCATCGAAGCCCAAGACAAGCATTCATAGGCGGGATCGTCCTACGATCTGTTTGACACAATTACAACAGTGAGCACAACCATTCTCTGAGTAAATAATAGCACATATTCAAACCCCGCGCTAGTTTTGAGTCTACATTGTTGTGCCAGTGACATGTAGGATGATGAACCCGCCAAGATCAGAGAAAGGCAGAGGGAAAACGCGGAACAAGCTTCATAACGTGCAAGGACTGGATGACGCGTTTGGCGCTCAAGCTGACAGGTGTCGTTGTGACAAGCCTTAAAGTCGATGTTGAGGTCAGATCACTGAGGAGAAACAGTAGCAAGGGAGGGGGGAAACGACTCTTCATGATGCTAGGTCATGTGAGGACGGTTAGTTTGTGTGATGTGCTATAATAGGGTAATATAGTTCTGCTAGTGATGCGCGACCACTTGGCGCAGAGAGTTGGGCAGTACCGAGATATGTCCAAGCACTACCTTCTTCAGAAGCTTTCGGAGCTCGGCACGGTAGTAGTAATAGTCATATTACTCAGAAGAAGTATCTGATGACCATGATATATCAAGAAGAATCTTCTAGTGGGCTTTTGTATGAGTTAATCGACCCACCGATTAGACTACGGATGCGCCGGGTCGCAGCGATCAACCTAGGATACCCACCGCGGATTCTCGATACATCGATACTTTGTCGATGTTTAGAACACATACTGAAGGTAATAACAGGATCAGGATCCTGACGATTGTTGACGGTGATATTATGAAATGAAACGTTGCATGCCCTGAAATAACGTGCGAAATACCATGGACAGACTGACCCCGCAACAGACAGGGAACGACTCGCTACCAATAACGACCCATCGTAAAACTGACGATACACCGACGAGCACAAAAGCTATCCTCGCAKGGCTGACCGATCTCCACTACATCATTGGTGATTCCAGACAATCCCAAAATCCAAAATCCGGACTGACAGCGAGCGGAAGCCACGGCAGCGCACATCAACCCATCGGGTCTCTCGCTCTCCTCTCTGGATGGCGTCACTGCTCCACCCGCCCATCTTCTGGCTGGTTCGGCAGCTGCTAGCTGTACACCCATCACATTGTACAACATGATCTGTGTTGCCATCAGGTCGAGGTTTATCATGGATCGCTGCAAAATTTTTCTGGGATCAAGGGTCGCATGGTGCGATGGTATTGGCGCGTCGAATTTCCATCAGCTGATGCCGGTATGACATAATTAAGGTAAATAGCTTCACTTTTCCGCGGCAGTTGGACATCGCCATGATATATGAAGGGCTGGAAATACCTCCGAACTGAGTCTTGCTCAATTCCAAACTCAGAAGTAATAAAGCAGTCCTTGTTCGCTGGCAGCTTCAGCACCCAGTCAAGCCGTCACAGATCCCAACCACAGTCGAGGAGTTTGATATCGCCAAAACACATTCAGCATCATGGTGTCGACAGCAGCGACTCGTCCTGTCTCTCTGCTGGTGCGCTTCATGCAATGGTCCAGCGCCGTCATCGTCATGGGCATCACGTCCTACTTCATCCACAAGTGGCCCCATACACAGCACACCATCTACTGGGAAGTCATCGTACGTTGACTCGTCTCTATTCACTAACTTGCATATACTAACTCGCAGTAGTCGACGCTGTCCGTTGTCTTTTTCCTGCCCGCCTTCCTTTCTCCCTTCATGCCGACTCGCCTGAGCAAGTTCGTCTTGCCGATTGACATCATCTTCTCCTACCTGTATGTGAAGCTGCCCTTTGGATCCTCTTTCTTAACTAACATGCTAACTTGCTTAGGTGGTTGACCGCGTTCATCTTCTCTGCGCAAGACTACAACTGGCACAACTGCGCTGCCAATGCTCCCCCCGGTGCTAGCTGTTCGCTCAAGAAGGCTAATGAGGCGTTCATCTTCCTCGCCTTGTAAGTGGTCCGATTACAGATGAGCCATACAGTAGCTAACCCCGATCAGCATCTTCACCTTCTTCGCTATCGGACTTGAAGTGATGAACCTCTGGGCCGCACGCGTTGAGACTCCCCTCCACGAGAAGCATCATGATGGCCGCCGTGCTCCTCTCGATGCCCCTGCTGCCAACCCATAAGTTCCTCAGTCCTGAGGGAATCCGGCGGCTCTGTTACCGGGCACTTATTGCCGAAGTGCCTAAATCTATGACCAACTACAAGCCAAGCCACGTTATTGGTTGGTCATCCATTCAAGGATGTACATCCCTATTTGATTTTATAATGTCCCGACTTGACTTGACGCGATGTCCAGCGCGATTGCATCTTAATTCCTAATACCTAACGACTCGGTCACGATTTTGTTATGCATGTATAATGATCAGCCTTATGTCGCTCGTTATATGTATTGATAATGCACAAGATAATAGCGAAATGATTATATAATAGATATACTAAGTACCCTCAGTGCATTCTACATTATCACATAAGATATATAAAGTTGGACCAAGTCCAGCATGTTTGTTTAAACCGAGAGAATAAACAATATATATAGCGGCCATCACTGTGGTACACCGCGAGGTCTTATAGCAGGAGCCACCGTCGAAGCTTTCCGGCCTCAACTAAATATAAGATAAAATGCAATCAATATACTTCTAAATTGGTAAGTTTACGTCGAAGTGTAGTACGGATACAAGATAAAGGGTAGATGCGGGATGCGATCAGCGTCAACATTGGAGATGATGTCACCGCGCGGTCATTGCGATTGACCATCGTCACCCACAAAACCAAGTCATTCTACGCCCTTTTCCTCTTTTAAACCCAGTTTGCTCAATCAAGCACATCCCTGCAATAAAGCGACAATCTATCCCAATAGTTGAACTGCTCATACGAGACTGCCGCAACATAGCACGATTCTACGGACATTAGCGGTTCAACCTCAGGCCAAGATGCCTTCGACATACAGCAAGGTCAAAGAGCTGACCACAGCATCGATTGCCCGGGTTCTAACAGCCTTGGGCTACCTCAGTGTCTTCCTACTATCCTTCACAATCAATCGCGCTTTCTTGGCCTCCGCAGTTCTTCCGCTCTACCTTTTGAGTATCGCATATAGCGTCTTGCCTACGATTCTGTGGAATGCACCGCAGCTACTACTTCCGAACAGATGGAGAGCGCTTATGAAAGATGCGGAACAATACCGACAGCGGGCAGACGCGCTAGCTCGATCGCAGCTGGAGGGAAAGTACAGGTTCAAAGAAGACGAGATCATCCGGACCGACCAAAAAGGCAAAGAATGGATGGCGGATATGCCATGGAGGGACAACGTGGAGGAGTTTAACGTATGCGGCGCGACGGCCCGATACGTTCATCTGAAGCCGAGTTATCGCAGCATCGCAACGGATAACAAGGCCTCCCACCGTCCGATCGTCTTTCTGCATGGGAATCCAAGTTGGAGCTATATGTGGAGAAATGTAGGTTCATGTCCATTTTGCCACTGCTATCGAGCCCAGCTGACCGATGCGCAGGTATTTCCCGCGCTTGTGGAACGAGGACACGAGGTATATGCACTGGACTGGCTCGGACATGGTCGCAGTGACAAGATCACCCGTCCGGAAGCCATCACCTTTGAGCTACACATGCGTACCTTGCAGCAATTCTTCGAATCCACTGGTCTTGAGAATGCTACTCTCGTGGCTCACGACTGGGGAGGGTGAGTCTACTATCCACCGTCGTATTTCCTGTTTACTGACGTGTCCAGCTGTGTCGCTCTATGCACACTACCTCGCCTTCCGTCATCAGCCTGCACCGGTCTTTTCTTATTGAACTCCTTCCTTCCTCCCCGCCTCAGCGAGATAAGCATGCATCACGCCATTCTATACGCAATTTGGTTCATGACAACCAGGATTCTCGGCGGGCGCACCCCCGAATCCGCAGTCATGCGATTCATGTCTCCAAGTATCTCACAGAAAGACGTCATCGGCTACGCAGCGCCTTACAGGAATCTCCCCGCAAAATCCAAGTCCAGCATCTGCCGCTTCTCGCATATGGCCCCTGCTACACCCCGCGTAGTCCTGACAAGTCTCCGATACACTTGGCTGTGGAAACTAGTCGAGGGCCTCGCAGGACCGTCCAACTTTGATAACCTCAATGTTCAGGCGCGACTTTCCGTTCGCGACGACGAGATCCGGGGCTTCTGGAAATCTAGCGAGAGAGCGCGCCAGTTGGAAGTTGCTGTTGTTTTTGGGGAGAAGGATCCGTTGTTGAAAGACTGCAAGGATCTTCTTGTGCGTGCTATTGATTCGCGGGTCATGGTTGACTGGGCCCCTCATGGGATTTGGCTAGATGGTGCTGGTCATTATCCGGCTGAGGAGAAGCCGAAAGCGGTTGGTGACTTGATTGCCAGACTTGCGAGACATCGTGAACCTACGGTGCTGCGGAGGTAAGCGCGGCATTTTTAGGTTGAAGGAAAGTCTCTTGTGTTACATATTTCTCTCTTTTCCGTGGTTGTCACTCTATGATTCCAGGGCTATAAACAATGAATAGACTCAGATAGCGCAAGATCACGATAGTCTTTGTTTGCTTCGTAGAAAGACCCTTGTCCATCACTAAATGTTAAAGATGTCGCCAAGGAATCTAGAACACGAGTAATCAAGGTGTACTTCTCTGGACCAGATGAGTCCTAGGTCCATGGCTGGTGCATTGATTCCACCTTGCTCAGGCGCGGAAAGTGATATGTCCTCGGCATTCAGCTCCAGGCGGTACTAGGAAAGAGGCACTGATGTACAATCCTAGAGGACGCATCCCCTCGTCCATGGAATAGCCTCGTAGAAGCATTCACATGACACGTTTCGACTCGCTGGACCGCCAGACGCACCAAAGTCAACCGTGTCCAGGTCCTTGGTGAAGCAGCCACTATCACAGCCACCGGTACCCAACATGCGCGGGACCAGGTGGATGCCTTAGCACAGTTACTGTGGTGAAAAATCATCCTCGGCATGTGGATGGCGACAAGCCTGGTATTAGGACGCTGACTCATCTCACCCACAGACCGCTGGTACCTGCACACAAGAAAAGTGAGGCATCTCGTTGAAATGGCTCGACTGGGCCAGACGCCGGCCCCAAGCACACGATTATCGCCACTGCAGCCCGCAGACCTTTTCAGAAAGGTAAGGGCAGCTGTGCATGGCTTCTGAGTTGTACCTCGCTAAACTCCTTCAGGTCACCAATAACAATTGTGATTGGCTGGAACCAGCTCACAATCCACGGCTGGGTCTGGACTCCCGGTGGAACAGGACCTGGCCTAGCCTGAAAGGGAAAAATTGTTTGTAATGACCAATTAGAACATGGCAAATGACGTAGAAATCCGTGGAACACATGGCCATTGACTGTGTTCCTGAACTCTAATTTTCAGAGTTTTCTAGTGCCTGGCGGCGCTCTTTTGTTTCCTGTCCCGGCTCCATGGGATGTGTCATGGTAGGATGTGATATGTCCGCGGGTTCTTTGTACCTGCATGAAACACATAAAGAGACAGGGTACAAAGCAAGTGATGTGTTCGTTGTCTGTCTGCCTGAGTAGCTGTACACCATGCTCCGTGGTCATAATCTCTGGGCGCAGGCCACGGCCAGAGTCTTGGAAAATTGTTTCTGTCTCCGATGCCATGTGATTCGTACCATGGACACCGGGACATAAGAACGGGATTAGGCCCATGGGAGGCAAAAGTGAAAACCCTTCTTCAACTTCGCGATATCCTCATCTTCCAGCCAAGTGCCGTTGGCATCCGGGCCCATTTCATGCCGTTTGGCGCCGGCGCTAACTGAGAAATTTTGACTGCTGGTGGGGCATGTAATAGATTTGGATTGTTCCTCTCAATATGATTTGTGCAATCCTTCAGGCACACCGTTTCTTGGATCTATATGCAATCTCGTGGCGTCCAATCACTTCTTGCCAGACAAAGAATTGCTTCTGCTTCCACTTCCCCTCAAGGCTTAGCCTTTGAGGCGTTCTGAATTTTTGCGCCTAAAAGATTCTCGAACACCCTGGTGATGGCCCACTCCCATCGCTCGCTGGAGATGATAAATTCAGCCCTGCCCCCCCAGGATGTTTCAGTCTTTTCCATCCTTCAACACTACCAAAGTCATTCATTCCTTTGACACTTTGACTCGAGGTTGATCCTCCACTGTCCTTTACTTTACTTCGTCGCTCTCTGTAGATCAGATTGTTGTCATTCCTTCCAAACAACACCATCATCATGTCTTTCTCCAAGATCTTCAGCCTTGCTGCTGCCTTCGCCCTCACTGCTTCGGCCCTCCCTCTCGCTTCTCGCGCCCCCAGCGGCGGCGTCCAGATCGTCAACAACATGAGCGAGGATGTCTATCTCTGGTCCGTTTCTGCCACCAGCAGTGATATGCAGACCATCCCCACCGGCGGCTCCTACACTGAGAACTGGCGCACCAACCCCAACGGCGGCGGCATCTCCATCAAGATGTCCACCGGCGCCGACACCGCCTCCGTCCTCCAGTTCGAGTACACCCAGGCCGGCGAGACCCTCTTCTGGGATCTCTCCTCCATCAACCTCTCTCCCCAGTCTCCTCTCGTTGCCGCCGGCTTCGGTGTCTCCATCGATGATGCCAGCTGCCCCACTGCCGCCTGCGCTCCTGGCGATGCCAACTGCGCCGAGTCCTACCAGCACCCCGATGATGTCAACACTCGTGCCTGCGGCACCGGTGCCGGCTTCACCCTCACCCTGGGTTAAGCGTGCTCGCCACTCTGTGTGCTGGCCATGAACATCTCCTCGTTCCTCTTTTTACACTCGTTTTCTACCCCTGGAGGATATGAAAGTTGTCAGGAACACATCGAGGCAGGCCTTGTTTTCTAACGGATCACGACTCATACGGCTCACGATTATGCCGGGATTATACCAACGATGATTTATACCAAATTGCAAAACTTCATGCATACCAAATTGCAAAACTTCATGTCGATAAAATTGATCAAGATATATAGAGTGCAATTGATTTGATACCTGTTTCGATTTCTAGCGTTGTGAATCTGTCTTGGAGTGTAGTCGTATCTCACGTGGCAGTCTTCCACTGTGGTGTAGTGTACCACCGGCGCTCGTGAACTCTATATTGATCCAAACTCTTTCCCGCTCAACTTAGACTTTGACACTGTCTGCGGTCTAACCAAGTCGGGTACGGTCTAATATCCGTCTTCATAGTGTGCTGAGTTTAATTTGGCTGCTCGTGTGGCTTGGGTTGTGCCAGTTCTAGACCTCGTCGAAGCTGGCACAAATCAGCCATGTGACCACTGAGTGTTCTCTGATCGAGTATTCAGGATACCAATCATAATGAGGCACCGACATGTCTGGGGCCAGTACCATGATTTCTCCATCAAGCCATGCATTAGATGCCTTTGGAATCGATGGAGGACATCAGGATTCGAACTGAAGGATCTTTTGAGTTTGTAGGAGACGAACGGTGTTCAAGGTGGTTTCTGTGTCATTATTGGCTGTGTTAGTCTTCGCACAGATAAGAAAGGACGAGACAAAGGATCTCTGAAGCTTGAGTACGTGTTCAGTGAGGATCTGCCAAGAAGAAGAGTTTCGAGTGGGAGTCTGGCTACAAAATCCAAGATATCGCTGCAGTACATGTATGAACGTTGTCAAGGAGAAGGAAACCACCAGTAGGCCATCGCCAGGTGCAGTATTCAGTTTGTATGCTTCTATTTCATGGACTTGGTCTCCCTTGCAATTGAGCAAGACACACCATATCGAATTAAAAATTCTAAGGAAATAGTATCTTTATGTACTCAAACGTCACGTTCCGTTTTGGCCAAGCCAAGTAACCATAGAACTCAGTGCTGCATTTCCCCACGCTCCAGCTTCATTCAAAGTCTTCCAGCTTCAGTCCACTCATCTTGCTTTCCAGATCCTGGCGAATAGGATCCAGGAGAGTTCCTAGTCTGCAGCTGTGCCATTCAGAGCGCCCCTTTGTCGACAATCTGGCCTCCCAGAGTGGAGAACGAGCAAAGAGGACCATGCTCCTGGTCAGGGATCCAATGCTCAGGTTATCATAAGGAGGACTTGGATCCGGAAAGATGAGACTGGAAAGTCGCAAGAATTTCATCAAGGCACCAAGAAGCATTGAACTACATTCGAAAGAGCATCGGTGCGTTGAAGAGCTCAGGTCATCGATTAGTCGATCGATGGCGGCCAGAGCCTCCCTGATGCCCTGCTGTCGAGACTCGTTGATTGTATCTGCGCCTGAATTAGCAAAGCGATATAGCTGAGGTAGGGTAGGTTTCAAAGGCGATACGAACCAATCACTCTGCTGGGAATAGGGAGTCCATATGTTTGTCCCACTCCAGAACTCTCGACGAGGGCAACTCGCGTAGCGGCGAAGAACTCGGTCTGCTTGCGAAAAACCCATGCGATGCATATCCACTGAAGAACCGCCTTTCCAAAAGTCTTCGGCATATCACCTTTCAACTGATCGATCCAGATATCCGCGAAGACCTCCAAAACCCCACGACATTGGTAATAATCAACCATCATCGCGATTTTGGCTAGAGTGTCCAGATCAACCTTGCGAGGGACCCTTGGTGCGTAGCCATGCATGATGTTCATGATGATGAGCGTGGTGTCAACGTCCCAGAGGTCCATGACGACAACTGCAATGCCTTCGGAGCGGATCTCGTGCCCCTCGAACCAGTTGCCGTTGAACATGCTGTTGAAGACGGGAGAGGCGAGGGACAAATGTCTTGAAGAGACGCGCATGCCGACGAGACCACTCTCTATATATCCTTCTTTGATCGCGTCGCTAACACCAGAGGTTGCTGGTTGGCCTGAGAGAGTTCCTGGGTCAGAACTGGTATAAACAGCGTTGGCGTCTGCTGCAGGGGCAGACGTGTCGATCATAAGGGGCGTAGTTGGACTCGCTAAAGGAAAGCTCTGGCTGCTGGTTTCCATGCTCTGACTAGGAGAGGCTTTATTAGCACTAGGGAATAGGAGCATCACATCGCCGTGTGGGTCGAGTGTGTAAGGGTCGTTTTCCATAGTGCCGGCGCGTAAGAGGTAAGGTGGTCCCATGTTATAGGCTTTAGTGAAGTCTCAAACAATCCACAGGAACATTTGCGAGAGACATGGGAATGATGACAATACTAGATTGCAAGGCACTGCTCATCAGGGACAGTATGTGATGTTCAGGGGAAGAAAGGTATCTAGATATCTTGTAGGTGAAAAAGTAAAAGGAGAGAGATGTTGATACATCTCCGTGGGCTCTTGACAAACACACTGCGACTTTCGAGTCAGAGAACAGTGAATGTTATTGACAGCCCCCTCTGGTCACATCTCACTTACCTTGATCTTCTTCTCAAATCCAATCTTTCTTCTTGCTTTCAAGCATACATCCTCATTTCAATCCACAAGTCATAACAATTGCCGGTTCTTCTTCTAGATCAGTATTCCTCAAGTCGATAAACGTGACTACCAGTCCAAACCTATTGTAGGTGCTTTGAAAGCTACAGGCTCCTATACTCACTTTTTCCCATGCTCAGACGCTGATCATCACACACCGACACCTTATTAGCTCACTTATACACTCCCAGTATGACGAGTATGACGAAAGACTATTACGAGCTGGATCCTGACGGAGATGTCACCTTCGTTTTTACCAGGATTGATCCAGACACTGTGAATCAAGCTCCCGGCCCCAAGAATGCCCCACACGAGTCCACCAATGCTCAGGTTACTGGTGGCTCAGTCGAAAGGGCCTCGAGTTCGGTTGCTGGTAAAAAAGTCCAGAAATCTAAGCAGCGTGTCAGCAGTCAGAAGGCCCACACCCCAGACGAAGGGTAGGTGGTAAAGATGAGAGTCTCGTCAAAACACCTTTCTCTAGCCTCTCCAGTATTCAAGAATATGTTGCATGGGCCGTGGAAAGAAGCCCAGGGCCTTCGCCTTGGAGACTCGGAAATAGAGATGGACTGGCAGAACGTGGACGCCATGCTGTTATTGATGAACGCTATTCATGGGAATTGGCCTGATATTCCTCTCGATGTGAGTCTTGAGATGCTAGTGGAGATGGCTACTCTCGTGGACTATTACAACTGCCGGAAGGCTATCCACCACGCATTAGAAGTGTGGATTCGAAATTTACTGGGTGGACTTGCAAATGCATCCTCTGACGACACTGTTCGGTGGATTTGGATCTCGTGGGTTCTGCGACCCACTGATGTATTCCGCGATGCAACATATCGCGCTGTTACGCAGAGCAAGGGTCCGATCTCCACCATTGGTTTGCCCATTCCTCAGCCCATTATAGGTAAGGATCCTATCACAAATGAGATATGGGACAGAGCACTTACAATAATATCAGATGCGATCGAAAAGAGACGTGAACAAGGCATCAAGACTACATTAAACTCTCTTCGTCGTCTAGTCATCGATCTGTGGGATGGCCGAAAGTCATGCTCCTTTGAATGCGACTCATTCCGACTCGGTGCTCTCATCAAACAAGTACATGGGAAGGGCTTCCTACGGGCGACAGATGAAGGCACTATCCCTAGTATTAGTCTCGATCAACTAAATAACTTCCTTGTCGACATAAAGAGCCCAGCATGGCGCGAGGTTACTGGAAAACGCGTCGCGATCATGACCAGCACCCCGAGCATCCTTGCACCCTACAGTCTCTGATAAAGCCTATCTTGACCAACCTGACCTCGCATATGAGAGGGTACGAATATGCAGAATTCAAGCAGCTGCCATAGAAAAGAGTATCATGGTCATACCTAGCAGGATTTATTTCGCACGGTGATTCTGTGCTCGATCATGTTAGACTGGAGGCAGCTCGAGCTAAATTATGAGGTTCTAGGTACTCGAAATGGGATAATCGTTGACGATGATAGACTCATGAAAATGCGGATACTGACTGACTTGCGGTTCCCTGGAGAAAGGACAAGTAATAGTAAACAGACGGCTTCGCAGGCACCACTGCTTGACGGGCTATCCTGCTTCACTCGCAATACTCACGATCTTAGAAAACGGGTTGGCAATCCCTCAGTGATTGGTAGAAGCGACCTAGCACCACCCAAGTCACGTGTTATCCCAGAACTTAGGTAGCCAGTCAATGAAACAACAAATCAACAATCTGCAAATATCCTACCTCTTGATTGACCCGAGTCTTCAACTTGTGGCAGACTGATCGCTAGTCCCAGGTGTTTGAACGGCTGTTGCAGGGTCCTCGCTGCAGGACTCTGCTTTGATATGGTCATCTGTGTTTGAATAGACAAGGTCTATATCCCCTTCGGGGTCAAATATGTGGAATGTTCCAGGCGTATCGAAGCTGCATGTACTAGGTCCTGTGTTCCTAGATTGACATAAAAGGTTGCTGTATATATGTGGACAGGAGATCACAAGAACACCGTATAGATTGGTTATAATCGAAAAAGCTTGAGACTGCGCCTAAGTCCTGTAGTTGACAAGAACACTCATTCAGACCTCTTACGTGGCGAGCTGCAGCTCCCTATAATCTCCATCTGATTCTGGTACTGCCAACTGCCTAGCCTAAGATCCCTAGTTTCTCGATATTGGCTTGGAGCAGAAGCTCTACTGTTGCATCCTGGCCTTTCTCAAGCGCCCAGAGCAGTGGTGTCACATACTAATACAGGCTGCACAATTATGGAATGTGTTGGGTTGTGGAATGTGTTGGTGTTAAACATACAATATTCCGAATGCTCTCCCCTTATACCTGTGGCACCCTGCAAAATGCCCCTTATAAATTGCTGCTAGAGTTAAGGAATCCTAGCTAAGATACAAGCCTCCAGTTGATACTACTGTATAGACCAGGCATACCATTATTACGCACTGTCAATGACGCGGATCCCTGCTATGTAAAAAGTTTTAAAAATTAGGCTTCTGGCAAACATTTCACGATATACCAATACAGACTTCGCAATTTTCTCTGCCGGGTGGGGCTTTTCTCTATTAGATGCTGCCCCTTAGGCCTCTCAGAGTTGGGAGTTGGCTCACTGAGTAATTCAGTCTAAGCTCAAACTCCATACGGGGTTGAATAGCTTATGTACATCACGTGGTAGGTCAAACATGCTTCTCTTGAAGCTTAACTTAGTGAACTGCTCAGTCGCTGCTCAGTGAGTGTTCATTGGCTGCTTCAGGATTACTCGGATACGGTACCTATCCGAGACACCTGTCAGATGCAAGCGGAGACAGGTTTACAACTCTATATGGAATGCCTCAAGGGGTCAAACTCCAGTTTCCAAACCAATTAAGTAGCACGTGATATTTAATATAGTCCACGTACAACTATGGACTGTAGCGGCCCTTTGAAGTAGTTTCCGGCTGCAGATGCTATTACAGCTAGATACTCTCACAGTTCATGGGTAAGCGAAATTCGAATTCCATTATCAGTGTGGTACTGTAGACACTCCTCCAAGTTGCGATGAATGAAATCTTAACGCAAGGTCCTGAGAGTGCGCGTAGGGAACAATTGACGCGAATGGGAGGGCTGGTTTACCGTATTATGAAAATATACTGCTGGGATATCTTACGTAGTATTTGTCTACATGTCGTAATTCCCAAGCGAGCTGGCCACCCCAAAACACCATATCAAATGCGCCCAATGGGCCACGGTCATGCGGTAAACCAATCTAGTGGGCATATCCGACGTTGCAGCGCACACTAGTTAGGGGCCCTGCATGCGATCTAAGGCCCTGAAAATCCTGAGAAATCAATCAATCAATCAAACATTAAATGCGATATTTTCATTCCTCCACATGTCGACCACAAAGCTAATTAATTTTTCCTCAAATTTTAACATATCTGCTTTACTAGGCACAAAGAATACAGTAATATAACAAAAGATTCAGGATTCAGAGTACGTATTCAGAGTATTATTTCATTACATTACCATAAAATATCTGTAATTCAGACAGACTTGTAGTAATTCTTCTACATTGAAATAGTAGGCCAGGAGTGCTATTTAGACCATATGTCTTTAAATAACTCATCTAAAGTAGATATTGCTGTTAAGCTATGAAGTCGTATTTTATCATTTAATATGGTGTTTGGCCGACTCGCCTGGATAATACGTTATACACCCTGGATTCCAAAGCCCTTGAATAACCCACTAGAAAATAAGTCTACCCTATCTTATTGCATATCTTTTCTTAATTGTCGGCATGGGAATGGGAACTATAACCAGCGTTTCACAAAAAGAGTACATTGTCAAAAATGCCTCATTCTTCTGAGTGCGTAAACAGGGGATAGCTCCTTATTAGATGATTGCCATTACATATAAAACTATTGCGCTTTCAGATTCTGTTTCTTTGTCTTGCTGTAACGCTGCTTTTCTTCGCTGAATGACACTGAGGTTGAGACCATCACATTTTGACTCTACGGTGTACGCTTTTCGCCAATATGAAGTCCTCAAATTGCTTGTCTCTGGTTTTGATGTTATTTGTTTCAAGCATAGAAGCTCAAAGACCTGTTCCACCTGTTCGGCCCAACGATCTCAACTTCACTGAAGCCCAAGCCGAGGAGCATAATTGTGGCCCGCTCTGCCAGCAAAACCTACAACGATATGAAGAATTAGATCGTGAGGTGTTTGGTAATGTTCCCTACGACTATGAATTCTACGAGACTGCGGCCAACTTCTTCGAGTCACGGCCTGGGGACTTGTTGAAGCTCCAGCAGCAGAATGCATCTGCATATGATATCCCCCCTGGGACGTCACTATGGTATATGCAGTACACATCTGTGGGAGTTGGTGGATCAAAGGTACCGGCGACTGCCTTTATTGCACTTCCCTACGCGAAGGTTCCGGGACAGAAAACCCGTCTGGTCGCATATGCCCATGGAACCATTGGAGTTGTACCTGCCTGCGCTGCATCTTCATCTTACAACGGATTCGATTATCATAGCTGGCAGCTCCTCACAGGCCCCGGGTATGCTGTGGTCGCAACAGATTATGCGGGCCTGGGGAACTACTACACTTCCCATAAGTACGGCAATCCAGTCCTCAACTCCGAGGACGTCTACTTCTCGGTCGTTGCTGCTCGCAAGGCCTTTCCAGGAGTTTTTACCGATGGATGGGCCGCTGTTGGTCATTCCCAGGGAGCTGGAGCTGTCTGGGGATTGAGTGAGAACCCCCGTGTCGCCACTACGGAAAGCGGCAATTACCTCGGAAGTGTTGCGATCGCTCCTAGTTCCAGACTGAATGATCTTCTCACAGCTGTGCCGCTCAATGTATCATGGGGCTTTGCTACCTTGATTGTGAATATATTCCAGGCCCTGATGTTCCCCATCCAGCCGATCATTTTGACCCCAGAGGCCACAGCCCGTTATCCCCTTATCTATGAACTTCAGCTTTGCGACACCGCTCAAGCTGAATTAAATGGGGACCTCCCAGACCATGGCGTTGTGGACTTGACGCCCGCTATTACTCAACACAATCATGAAGCTTTTATCGCATTCCAGAACGAGTACGGCGCGGCTACTGGAAGAAAGGGGTATAAGGAACTTCTCGTTATTCAATCAATCGATGACGAGGTTGTGAATGTTACTGCTACAAAGGAGGCGTATGAATATGCCTGCAAGGTCGGCAACACCATCCACCTGAGTTTATACTCGGGCCTTGATCATGATGATTCAGTCGCAGCCTCAGCTCCAGAATGGCTAGAATGGCTTGACAACAAGTTTATGGGAGTGCCATACTCCCACAAATGCGTCATGGAGACGAGGAGTATTTTGCTCGATGCTGTGAAATGATACAGTCTCGCTAAAACTCAAGCCGTTCCGCTTGCAAATTGCTCTTGCACCTCATTTCTGTTATCCGTTTGCCATCAAGTTAGTACTTCAAAAAAGTGCGAGCGTCAGCATCGTGCATGATTAGGTTGCGAAACGAGTCGCTCATTGCCTCCTGAGGATAGGCAGTTAGTTAATCCAAATTGCACGACGACGATCCTATAGGAAGATGATCACCGCTATTATCTAGAGACTTGCCAGCACCGTATCGCAGGCTATAAGGACGGGCGTCGTCCTGAATTCACTAGAAACCCCAACAAAGTAACCTCTGTCTCCTCCCACGAAATGGAATAAGGAAAGCGGGCCCTTCCGAGCACGAAGAGTCAAATAATTCCGAGAAGGATCAACGAGTACACATGATAATATCTTCCAAACATCTAAAGCTTGCATCTCCCGTATACAGACGAATGTTTAGTGACCCTTGGAAGGAAGCTCGAAGACTTGCCGCTGGGAAACGTTTCGAGATTCCGTCAGAATGCGAGGATGTAGATGCTATGCTGATCCCCATGAATATCATCCATGGATGCGGTAGCAAGGTCCCCCGCAGTCACTCTGAACAAGCTGGCTGAGATTGCGGTACTCGTGGATTATTACGAGTGCCATGAAGCCTTGGACGTGATGGCCGAAATATGGATGGACAAATTGGTCGGAAGCATGCCGTCTACATATGGCAAGGACATCGTCATGTGGATCTTCATTTCTCGGGTCTTTCAACGACCTTGGGCTTTTACTTCAGCAACAAAAATCGCAGCAACCCAGAGCCAACAGCGGGTCGACCCGGGCGACCTACCGATTCCAAAACGAATTTTGGGTATGCCATTGACATGCAAAATTTGAGGAAGGACTATTCTTCTAACTACCAATATACCTTAGATAAGATTGAGGAGCACCGTCGGGATGGCGTCAAGTCTGCACTTGACATGTCCTACGAATTGATCACCGACCTACGCGATGGTCACAAACATTGTTCAGACGTCTGTGACGCCCTCCGTCTGGGTCTTTCGATCCAACAGCTTCATGCCGGTGGTCAGCTTCCGCCTCTCCCAGCGATCTCTGTTCCCAACGTCAGTCTTATGCAACTTACAAACATACTACGAAACACCTCGACTGTGAGTTACTGTGATAGTACAGCTGTAGAAACATATATGCCCGACCCGCCGCACAGCTATCTCACGGAGGTACGTGATGTACTTGCGCTGCATTGATGTAGTCTGGTTCCCCTCATTCAGCCAATTCTCCAGGACGTTCAGAACCGTTTGAGGGGCTTTGAACTCAGCGAATTCAGGGAGGAATCCAAAGTGTCCGGCGGAAATGACTCCACAGCCTCTTCACAGCGAGAAACGCGCCCAATTTCTCTCAGATTACACTTACTGCCCCACTTAGGATTGAACTTTCAGATGGCTCCCGCATTGACGCAGTGATTCGAGGCCAAGGAAAGAAGCAACCGAGAACTACTGTGTTGCTGTACTGGTTAATGATTCTTAAGAATAACTGCTCTCTGCAGCATTGAAGCACCTCATTGTCCCGAAGAAGCATCACATTAAACTCTGAATATTGTTGTTGGCTGGGCTCGCGGCTCTGCAGACGGAGCGTCAGCCTTGACATATCTCATGAATTTGATGGATCATTGATCAGCATGCCTGCGAAGTCAGCGAAAGAGGTGAAGAAGGTCCTTTTTCCGATTGTCTGGATCTAGAGTCCATGCGACATCGAGAACCTTACTGTATAGAACGAAGTTTAGACCCGCAAAATCCCATCACATAGGACATCAAATCCCCTGCTTGACAAACTGAGGCAAGTTTAGGTATCTTCTTCGGAGCGTAGATATGCCACATTGCTGACTCGCGAAGACAAGTCAAATGGCCGACCAGATAATGCACAATGGAACTTAATCTATAATTACTCTATCGTATGGAAATAAACGGGTATCTCAGCACTAGAACATATCAGCCACACCCCTCTTCTTCTCGTCCTCGCGTCTTTCATCCGTGACCCGCCACCACCACTCATGTGTAGKGTCCAGACTCGCCGTCCGCGTTTTCCCCATCCCTTGACCCTCCGCAGCGCTGTCAACCTCATCCCACGGCTTCGGGCTGAGAATATAGTGGACGATTTTGACCTTATCATCCCGCCAGATAGCATCGTGGACTCCCTTGCGCCGTAATGTCTTGAGCGCATTATATATGTACGGTATGCCGACCCATCGGCCACGGAAGACATCGGAGAGAAGATCTTGGTCAGGGAAGGTGTAATTCAGCGTCGCGGGGGAGTTGAGCTGGTCGAGAATCTTATCATAGACTCCTTTCGACGGATTGATGACGAGAAGGCCCGAGTTGCAGAGTCCAAGTCCACGGTCTGACGGGGCTCCGACTATCTGGGCCTTGTCGGGAGTGGCATGCTGTGATGTAAACGCGCAGTTCGCCGGGATCCTGCACAAGCCTTCTGTCAATCCGGCTCCAAACATTCATTGAATCTCTTGGGACAAATGGACATACCAGTCCTTCGGATAATGGGGTTTCTTCAACGGATTGCAGACACAAGCGTGACTAGCCGCAAACACCCGATTTCCCCTCCCTCCTAGCTCCGGCGCATCCAGCTCCATATCCATCAATTCATCCATGTTTTGCATGACCACCATGTCGCTGTCCAGTAGCACCACGCGTTCATAATCCACTAGCGAGAACGCGGTAAGCTTCGTCCACGTATCATGGAATCGAGGATCATTGGTATATTCTTTCGGAAGGGTAGGCAGGAGATGCGGGACGCGCTGCTTCGGCAGTCCGCGGGCGTTGACCGCGGCATGTCCTTCAGCGGGGAATGAGTCCGTGTAGAGCACGACGAGCGGGTACTTCGACCCAGCTTTTCGTAGCGAGTACTGGAGGGTGAAGACGCCCGGGAGGTAGTTTGCGTTGGTGATCAAGGTCGCCCATACTGCGCGGAATGAGCCGGTTATCTTCTTTTCAATGGACGGACAGCACGATTTGCTTTGTGCGTACCTTTTGTCGCGCCAATGGCGCGACTGGCACCATTATTGCAGCGCATAGTGTAACAACGCTGCAGAGGCAGACAGGCTGGTTAAGTGACGCCAGATCAGGGGTGGCGATAATGATTTATCAATCGCATAATCGCGGGTGGTCGGAGCGGAACAACCCGAGGGGGTTCGGTCGGAGGCTCGGAGCTGATTGATAACACCATTTCTAGACTCGGTTGCGCGACTGCGTATCTGTTATCTATGATTAGTATTACTCAGAAGCATGCGTACCGTTACGGACCATATGGGAGAGTCCCACTCGGGAATAGCCAGTTGCCTCATGCGGAGGACTTTACTATTAGGGGAGTAGATGTACGCAGTTTAGCTCTACGTTAGGTGGCTTCTAACTAGACTGCTGAAGGTATACAAGCTCAAACCCAGAAAAATGCAGAGACATAAAAGTACGTTTTCTTACATGCATGCGACTGACGTTAAATGCCGAGTACGACGGGAGATTTCTGCAACTCCTGATTCCTGAGGCCAAAATTCTCCTTCCGCGGAGTTGACTGGGAAAAAGTAAGCAGATTGGAGGTTACATGCCACACGTACCTGACTCTTGTCCTCGTGTTTCTGTAGTACACTGTACTATTCAGATCTGGTCATTTGTGGCTTAAAAAAGTTTTCCGGGAGAAAATAGTGATTTACAGCAACACCCCGCGGGACTTGGAGTAACTGTGTGTTTGCCCAGGTTCAGCCAGCCTCATCTACTCCCGGCCGACGCTTTTCTGCTAGTGATTTAAGCCGAACCATCCTATGGATGGATGCTTGTTCCGGCAGCTCGATGCACTCCATGTGCAGATCGCCTTCATCTCTTAGCGTCAGTAGGCCAGATCAAAATTGGAAGACTTTCAAAGACTCTCCGGCGTCTCCGCGCACTTTTAATTGTCTACAACCCTTCTACAGGAGCAAATTCAATGATAGTGGTGCTAAGAGCAGGCCAACCTTCCAGAGTTTTATGAGCAAAATGATTAGCTCGTCTGGACTTTTCAGACCTGAAATATAATTGTTATTCGGCTTTTGCTCAGTCCGCCTCTGTCCTGTCGCAGCGTCTTCAGGTCGGTTATTCCTATGAAGCATTCACATTGCCTATATGAAAACAGATAAGGTATACTGAAATTAAAGCGTATTCTCAATACTGAAAGTTCTACTAAGGTACACGCCAGGGGATCCTATTCCACGCAGTGCACCTTCTGTCGGCATCTGTCCACTTCACTCTATAGGCTTCTTGACCGAATAGAAGAAGCACGAATGACAAAAGAGGCTTCCCCAGAAAAAGCCTCCAGCTCGGACACAAATGTGTTCCATAGCCGGTCTGAAGCCATGGGTGCACTACTGTATGGCCGCTCCTGTTTCATATACCAGCTTTTCTAGGTTTGGGAGTAATGCATCGGCAGCTTGGGCTTCCATCTCCCTCTGGGCTCTCCGGCTGATGCCTCCCTGCTCCGTGTACCATGCGGAATCTTCCAGAATAACACCGCTTTCGTAGAGAGCGCGAAGCTTGGAGTCAATGTTTGTCCCCTTCGCTGCTTCTAACGCCATTCGATGACCGATGGCCTGGATCAGTGGACGCGAGAGCGGGAGGATATTGCGGTTAAAGTCTTCGCTTCGACGCATGCCGCCAAATTCTATCAGATGATTTTTTGCCTCTGTCAACAATGCGGCTTCGTGCCGAGCAACGGGGCTGTTGGGACCTTTGGGGGACGGGAGCTGGTAGCGGCCGATCAGTAGCTCGCATGCGAGTCCTGCAATGTGGTTATCCACGTTAGCACTAAGCTCAAGACCTAAAATCAAGAGGAGACAGCAGGAAACGTACGTATGGCAAGGACCCTGATGTCCCTTCCGCCCGCTATTCTCCAGGGAGAATGCCCGCCTCCGCGGCAATATCCTCAACCAGTGGAAGCAGGAATGGAATTCATCCAACAAAGGCTGTCACCTACAGAAGATCGACCGCACCCTGCCAGCAACCTACACGAGAAGGCTGTATGGGAGCCTACCTAGAAACAGGGCGTCCTGTTAACACAGCTACGTACATGCCACATTTGGTTATCCACCTACGCCAAGACCTTTGGCTTCCGCGACGACGACCAGTGCATGTGCGGCGCACCAGAAATAGTCCCCCACGTGTTGATGGACTGTTGAAATTTAAGGGATATTCAAAGGAAGTTACGGAGTGAATTGGGGCCTGCATTTAGCAGGGTCTTGGGTCTACATGTACGTACTCAGATATATATAGTTATGGTAGCGTGCATATCGCTCTTTTTGCGAGAGGTCAGGGTAAATGAGATCAATCAATCAAACGGTAGGGTCTGCCGCTTTATATAGGTAATATATTATGTACAACTTTGTTTATGAGGGCGCTTATATAAGAAGAGAGATGAGGTCTATATTAAACAGCCCTTTTGGTTTACTGAAAAAGCGCAACCATATAATCTACTTTCTCTTTATAATATTTTGTGGATGACAATTCTTATCTTTTTTAGTGTAGTAATATCTTCATATTTGCAGTGAAAGATCTATAGCTAGCAAGAGAGTTATGAAGCCATAATATTAGACTATATCTATTCTCATTTAATTTACTGGCAATCCACTATATTCAAAATGGATTACTATTATGTTTCCTATATATAAGCCTGGCCAAAGTTTGTACAAAGTACCTATGGACACTGAAACACCCGCATCACCCAGACTGCAGAAATAGCATCTGCCAAGCTTCATCATTATGGCCCTCTCTACCATTGTAGCCTGTTCATGTGGTCATATACGACAGCTATTCCTAAATTTTATTTCAACATGATAATCTCAAGTTCAATCCAGGGATTTGAGCCGGCTGAGCAGTACCAAGGTGAACAGTGCAGCTCGGTCCTCGGAATGAATGGTCTCTGATGAGCTATCATTTTTCGCCTGTGATTCGGGAAACTGGTGTGGAGAGTAGACAACTATTCTCCTGTATGGCGTAATACATGCTCATGATACGCGGATGGCCGATTGGAGACTGACTATGTGATATTCTCTGACATTCTTAAAGTACATTTCGTTGCACTTAGCTGTGCTGCTTGGTTAATATAGACCTTGCTGATTGCTGATTGTTGTCGATTTGTACAACTCTGTAGAAGATACATATAGCACAGCCTGCATCCTTTACAGCACAAGCAGGTCAAATTCTGCCTCAGGAAAGTAATTATTAATGAAATCTCTAAAAGGCAAGCCACAGGAATGCCTCTTCTAAAGGCCATGGAAGAGGTAGAGCAAGTACACCAGCAAGGGAAGATAGGCCTTCACACACTCTCTTAGATGCTACAGAAGAATATATATAAAAGTAAGACAAACTACTACACCTCTCTCTATATACCTAAAAAGTTAACGTTACCAAAAGTACATATAGATGTAATAGATGTAATTTACGTTACCTGAATATATAGATATACACTAGGAGGCCGCAGCTATATAGACATAATTCTACATGACTCTGCTATAACCACATGTCTAAATTTGGCCCCTGTAGATACTTGGGTGTTGAGAATTGAGATATTAAAGCCTTAAAAAAGTGCTATTTTACATGGAATATAAAAGGTGGTGGCCCGCCTGGGAATTACATTATATCATACAGCAACATAGGCTTATTAGTCTACTAGAGCAAGCATCAATAACTCAGGGCAGTGATTTCCCTTCAACTCTTAGTATTCACGCAGCTCAACACGCCATTAGCTACCACAGAAATCGGACATATTAGATACAGAACGATAAAGCAAGTCGACAAAATAATGGTTTCATCTTGGTTTAGTTTGTTAATCTCTCTTGCCCACTGCATTTCTCCTTTGTCCTGCTAGTTTTTGACTTTATTTCTGGTGTAACGCAGCTTCTGTGGTTCCAAGAGAAATGACACTGGCAGCAAAAACTTTTCGGGTTTGCTAAGCCTAGTGCGCAAAAACGATCGGTCGGCCTTCTTTCTTTCCTTGCTGAGAGTTATAACTCACGCCATCAACCTTCAACCCATGTTCATTAAGAAGAGTAATAGTGTCACCGTCGTCTGAGAGTGGGAGATTTGGTACTTCAAAGCTTCTGGTAGCCATGGAGTTCAAAGCTGCATCACCAGGAAGCCCTTGAACTTGACCAGCTGAGTTATGCAGTTGCCACGATGTCAGGGATACCTTGTGGCTTGTAAGGTTCGCAAGAGTGACTGATTTCCGCTTTTTGATAAATGCTTCCTTGATAGCAACTGAATTCTCAGTGAGTTCTTTGGGTAGGAATGCGCCCCATGTCAGTGGCGATATAGCATGACCGGTCCTGTTGTCAGTGTGCATAGCTTGTGATGCAAAAGCGAGAAAAAGCCCAGTCCATAGACCGGTGTCCTTATAATGGATGAGAAGGCCTCCATCCTGGAAAATTCCATCATCTTGACGGAATTTCTCTATGTTGCCCTGGTTCATGTGCACATTGTGCATTCCATTTCTTGTATTGAAACAGGAGCCAAAAATGTAAATATCTGCCTGTTTCTCAATTGATTGCTGGATTTCAGGCACCAAGACATCAATAATATCATTGTTTGGGCCGGGAATGTCATGGGGAAGCACACGACCACTCTTAGTATCAAACAGGCCAGATCGGATATAGTCTAGTCCTTGGCCATCAAGCTCCTCGAGAGAGTGAAAGCCGAAATCCAGGTCGGCTAGCTTTTGGACAATTGGGTGCTCAACGATGTTATAATTCACCCAGTAAGCAAGTCGAGAATCCCGATCAACAGATTTGATATTGATCGCAGCGCGGAAGAGCCCAGGAATTTCCTTCGGCCTAGACTTATTTGGAGGTTTGTGTTTGTGTTTCTGACGAAACTGGCGGTCAAATTGTGGCTCCATCTCGTGGTTATCATGGTAGTAGAGCGATAGATGTGGGGACTTTGGGTCTTCGTAACGGTCTTCATACTCATAATGAACGGGCATCCCCTTCCAAACGCCGTAGTCGTTGACGGGCATTCTGGTCCTAGAAAAGCGACGGTGATAAAAGTGGTTCAAATCTTACTCAGTCCCAGTGTTTAATCTCATACGAGGAGATGTAGGATTCAGGATAGGAATTGGATAAGCTTTTATAGGTGTGACCAGCACTCAGGCAAAGGACTTCAAAGAGATGGTCATCTCTGCACACTTACGTGTCAGCTTTTCTCAAATCACCTCATTATTACAAGCTGTTGGGTCTAGAACGGTCGACTTCACTGTCACACCCTACCTTCAATGGTTCAGTGTAGCAGAAGTTCTATGGGTTTCCTCGGATGCTCAGTATCCAACATATGCCTTCCGTTGTCGTCTTACTTGGGACTATGCTTCTCTTACATATAAATGATCAGCCCACCATTTCAATAGAGTCCAAACCATTGTCCAAACAAGAAAGAGTTAAGTTACTATCCAAGCAGGTCGATTAAAGCTGCTTCTTGATCGATAACAGCCGAGAGCGTTCCAAAACTCTCAGTTGCCCAGACCAAGTGCATGTGGGAATTCGACGGTCTAAATGTGAAACAAGCCGTGAAATTAAATGGACTGAAAGGCGTAACGAGCCCTGATTCGGCGTTCATCTAGACATCAAAGATTCTAGGTCCCGTCCACAAGTAGCATTGGCCACTTTCAGGACCATGGCGGAGCACGACTGCCATCACCACTCCCTCTAAGCTCGGCTGCCGCATCCTCCGAATGATCGTATAGAAGCTGCCGTAGCAAAAATCATGATATTAATACATTCACTTAGGTATAGCACTTTACCCGATCTATTATTAAGGTTCGCTCACTCGGCCATTTGGAATTGGCTTTGGCCGGTACAGGACGGAGTTCTCCCTTGGCTTTCTTGGGGACTTTAGTAAGCCCTGGACCTGTGCAGCTCCGTCTCATTGCATATAAAATGGGCCAGATTCCTAAATTTCGACTCTACACACAAACCTGGAGGCCCAGAAGTGTCAAGCCGAAATAAACAACCATTACTGTAAAGTCGGTCTCTCAATTACAACGTTTAATCATTGACGCTAGATAAAGAGTTATCCGCTGTCGCTTGGGGTTGGGGGATAGATCACGCTACATCGCATGACGTATTCACCTCGGTCATGCAGACATGTTCAGATCTTCTAAACTCTGTATACTAATTTACTGCAAACGGCCAAACACCAGACAGCTGCACTCCTGCGGCGAATTACAGAAATATTAACTTTACTAAATGCATACATACATGCATGGGCAATGAGGACATATAACTATTCCGGACTGCCATATATGGTCGATCCATAGGTGATTGGGAGCTAAGCTACAGTGTGGGGCTCGATGACATCTAGGTTAAGAAGCGAACCCCAACCCCAGTGACTCATAAGTGGGAGATCAGGAGATCTCTATTAACCTAAAATAAGAGTTCTCCAAGCCTCTATAACTCGTGAAGCACATAGGCTTGAGTGGCGGTTAGGCCTCAGCAGTCCTTGGGCCATTCCTAAGACTAAAGTTGTAGGCAGTAGTACTATTGAAACTATTCTCATACCCTTCACCTGGAGTACCTGATTTCTATTTACACCTGAGCCAAGCAGACAGAGTCTCAAGCCTAGCCTGAAAGGAATGATTAGATGACATTATAAGAACTTCGAAGTTAACTGTGATGTAACTATTTTTCTTTTTAAACAACAGCAAAACCTTAAGTGACATTTCATGGTACCTCATCCCTAGTTCCATGAAGGACTAACTTTATCCACCTACGCTTACCGATTATTAAGTCGTTTATGCCACAATTTCCCCACAAAATGAACAAGTGCGTAGTGATGTAAAAGATATCACAAGCACTCAGACCACGCTTGTGGCAAAGGTATTGTAGTTGATCAGGTGGGCATTAGATCCGTTAGATGTTGATATTAAAGGAACAATAATAGGTTCAGGATGATGGGCAGGACTCCGTTGCTAGTTCTACTGCGACTTGTCTGGCTTTGCTATCTGGCATTCTTCAAGGTTGCATAAAGACCTACGTAGAATATAAGACAAGTCGCCTAATAGCTCCGCTCCATGAGGCACTCAATCGAAAGTTGAGCTATCGGGCCAAAAAGAAAACGGTGACGTGCACCAGCGATCACGACCATCTAGACTAGTCTAAGGAGAACAGAGACATGTTAATGGGAGCATTTCCTATAGACGATTGTCATCATGTCTACACATGACGTCACTACACGTAGAAAGGAGCCATATCCAGCAGTCAAAGATGATAGGGAGGACTGAAAGGTATTTGATCTAGATGGATCAGAGTAGAATATCCTTCGTTACGTCACGTCACGGACGCATAGGGGAAGGCCGTACGCTACTTTTTAGAAGAGTCTAGAAAAATATGCGGGACAAATTTGAAGAGCATATCGAAGTTCGTTGGCTTGGGTTGAGCATGTTTCAAGGATCATACATAAGACGCACATCACTTCTGGAGATGCCTTCTTCCGTTAAAGGCGCGCAATCGTTTAACCACAAAACAGTGAAAGAAGTTCTAGTCTCTACCTAGTAAATAATGCCTAGGGTAATTTAACATTATGGATTAGGCTTCTGTTTAAAGACAGAATAGCAGCCTCTAAGTCTAATAGGTTCTTTACTATGAGCTGTAAATGGAGGTCTAAGCTTGTTAATATAGTCTACTGTCTAGTAGATGCTCCCCCTGTAAATATCTCCTTTCCTGGATCATCTACCTAACTATATCTAAGCGCCTTTAATCTAAATCCTAGTGTCCTTTACCTATAACTAATATATTCTTTACTTCAATCATGGATAAATGCCATTGCCTGTTATCCCTATTACCTTAACCATTCCAGCCCTACTAGATATTTCTAGAAGGACTTACTTCTACTTACCCATCCTAACTAATCCTTCTTCCTTACTTTGTAGGAGAGGAGGAAAGTTAAAACTAAAATTTATAGGGATGTACCTGGTATTAATAGGAGGAAATAGTCTGGACTTGAAAAGTGTTGGTTTAAGGTTAAGTTCTATAAATGGTTCCTTCCCATTATATGGCGATACTGTTATGCAAGTGTATGGAAGGTACCCTGAGACAATGGAGTAAATTTGAACTTTACACACTATTTAGGAACAGTGTTAATGTGAATCTTACTATTTTTGGAATGTTCTAATTCTTGCATCCTATACTAAGTTAGCTCTTTCTTATGTCTGTCTTAGTTCCATACTGTACTGCACCACTGCACACAAGGATGAAGGTGATCTCATGGACATAGACTATTATATAGAGAGACTCCCGTGGAAATCCCGTGGAAACATAAGCCTGTGTAGCTTGGTATGTCTATTTCCCTGACTAAGGGTTCTTAAAAGTTCTAGGGATCTATAGTAGCTTATTATGTTTGCCTTTACATTGCCAAAGGTTAGTAGTAGTTAATAATTTCCTATGACTAGAATTACCAACTGATTAGGCTTTCTAGGTAGTGGATAATAATATAGACTTGTAAATCCCTAATAAATATCTAGTTTGCGGAATGAGACTTTTCTTCAAGGTTATGGTATGACACTGGAGGTGGTCCTCTAGTAGATGAAGGCTGGATAAAGCACATAAATATATGGCCTTAAGCATTATCCTATATTGACGGAGCATCTGGGTACTGAGCTAGCTCTCCTAGTATAGGCAAGATGGCTGTGGATATGGTTACTGAAAAATTAATTAGAGTAATTAAAAGTAACCTTCAGACGGAAGATATCTTATCTTACAGGACTATGTAGCTACCTATTTGTGTGTTCACCACTGCCTCATACCCCTTCCATGCCGCCCATGGCAGTGGACTCCGATAGCGAAGAGGAAAAGTGAGACTATGAGGATGGACTGAATGGCGATGATTATGCTCTCTGGCACTGAATGGGACACCTTCATGCAGGTGTTCGGATCGCTTTTTATGTATCAGTGCTTCTCTATCATCGCCGTCGCTGTGAGCAGAATGTGATGGCTTTTCAGAGGCATTTGGATAATCCACATGAGTAGCCCAGGATGAAGCGATGGAGTGATAGTGCGAGGGCTTTGGCATTCGGCACAGTATATCTCTATTCCACATGACCTAACCACTACATCAAAAAAGAGAAGCGTAAGAGGCAATAGAAGTAATCTCTAGACCTCCAACTAGCCATGAATGGTCATCAATAGGAATTTAATATGATTGGCTTTGTATTGTGTCTCGGCAGAAGAGCTGTTGAGGTTTCTTCGTTCTCAGAGGGTGGTGGCGCTTATGCCCACGGACTGGCCGCGTTGGACGCACTGTATTGCTGAGAGACACGGATGATACCGACCACTAATGAATACATCTGAGTGGTATCTGAATAAAGTATAACAAAAAGAAGGAACAGGTGTTGGCGATACAGAATGCGTCGAGTAGAGAAATCCTATACTCCGTGCCTCCACACGGATACTCGGGTAGATCAAGCAACTGCCTCTTAGTCCGAGCCCATAAAAGATGTTGATGATGTTGCCTCTGAGAGACCTAATTCGATATATTCTGGTTTCCTTAGAGAGTGGCTACAATAGAACGGAGAGGATGAGGAGTAATATACCAATAGGCAGTCTATATATGTTCATAAGTACACTTCGTAAAGACTTCTTTATCTTTTAGGCTCCCCCAATGGTATCAACGACTAGCACTGAGGACAATGATGGTGAAGCTCATACAGATAGAATTCCATGTACGCGGTACCTGTCAATTCAATTTTCCTTCTCCAGTAAGAGCTGCTTGTATCTTACCAAGACCCAGTATCAACGATCCTATGGCCGCTGCGAGAAGTCGTGATGTCTGGCATACAATAAAAAGCAAACAAGCCAGTTCATCCTGGAGTGTAGTGTCCGTCTCGACTTGCCTAGCTTGTTTCAAAGGAAGGGGTCCACTAGGCCCGGTCATAGCATCCTTTGTCTCTGTTCGCTCAACGGGCTCGTCGAGTATCTCTGAACCGACCAAGGTAGACGTTGAGCTATGTGCCGTTTGTCCGGCATTGGTCGTTGATGAGGTCTCTGTCCATAGCTTATGCTGTTCTTGTCCAGTGAGCAGTCGCGCCAGCTCAATTAGAGGTTCGCTAGGGCGACAACTGGTAATAGTTCCTTCCTCATCATCCTCGCAGCCCTTGGCACCATGTGCAAGGCTGGCGGGTTTGGGGTCCGGTACCTCTGGATGACTGGTTCAATGGAGGGCTTTCAACATGCGCGGGGTCTGACTTACCAGTCACCGGGTGCAGGTTTGCCTCGGTCATGGCTTGGTCCAGGTTTCTGGCCAGTTGTGGAAATCTAGTGTCTGCTGCCGCTGTCATGGGCGGCTCAATTTTAGCTCGGGTGCATGACTTTCGGCCCTGTGGCGGACAAGTCAGGTTCTGCATGAGTCGACGATGCCACCGCCGCATCTTGATCTGAATCTGAAGATCGAGATAGAATGGCTCGCAGCCATGATGGAATGCAAGTGCAGTATGGACGATGGAGTGGTGAACGGCCTGTTGTTCCAAGTCGTTTTCTTCCAGGTGCCAAACGAGCTGTCGATACTGACTGGATCGAGAAGTTCCATAATTAGTTGGGTCGGCGATCGCGAATCGTGTACCAGTGAACATCCATCGCGAAGAATAGCTAGCCTCTGTCCTGGCTGACAGTCCGATCCCCTCAGCACTGAATGCGGCGGCTCCGATCTTGGGATGAACCTCGAAGCTCTTGGATACTTGTCGTTCTCGTTTCTCGCCACTTAGAATCCGAGGGCCAAAGAACTCTGTTATTTCAAGGTCCGGACGGGCGCCTCGCGTGAGAGTGTCTCTCCCCGGAGAGTCCTGGAGATCATGAACGTTCATGGTAATGGTTGCTTGGGCGAGCTTACAGTCGGAGGGTTGATGAAAGGTCAAATCCAGGTACATCAAACCAGAGTCCTTGCCATCAAGCTGGCCCCATTGCATCTTGGACAAAAGAAAGCAACAATCGACGCGGACTTTTCCTACTTTCAGATCGCAGAGGCTCGCGCTCGACTGCGACTGACAAACATCCACATACTTAAACGACTTGATGGAGAAAATGCTAGGTTTGGGAGGCATTGTTCCTGATGATATTTAGGGTGATGGGATAGGGTAATCAACAAAGTGCAACAATAGATTTGTCGGATCGGACAGTTGAGTTAAGTCTTTGCTAGCCTTTCTATATTGCTTTTTCTGCTGCCTCAGCCTTGCAATTCTCCGTTGGCGCCTTTTTGTTTCGTAACTGCGGGGCCAATGCGGCTGACCTCGACGAGGCTGTGCTTTTGCCTGTTCAAACATCAGCCGAAGGACAGAAATCAGCATCGCGATCGCATGTTTCATTAACCAACCGTCATGACTTTTAATATCACACTTGAAAGGTCTCAAAGGTCTCCTTCTGATGAGGAGGATTCATCTGGCGTTGTTGTCTCTCCCCCGTCAGCTCCACCGTCTGAGGCGCACCCTGAAGGTCAGCAGGAATGGCATGATCCTTACGACGAGGGGGAAAAACTAGAATACCCAGATGAGCTAAGGCTTTCTACATCGGCCCGGAGGAGAAGGAGTTACGAAAGGGAAAGGTTGGAAAGGTTCAGACGCAGGTCCAGGGCCAGATCCAGGCCACGATGGCACTCAGAGTCTGTATCTAGATCCAGCCCCAATTGTCTCATCAATTCCGGCGAGAACGAGAGAGACATCACCTTACATCTTGACTTGGACGCAGCTCTTGATATCAGCAAGGATCTGGAGCGTTTGGCTCAACTGAATAGACGTGGACATTTCAGTCAGGCAATCGCTCTTTTTCACGAACGCCTTGCATCTCATGTTGATTTCTTCCCCGTTGTCGCAGAGTATGCAGACCTTCTACTTGAGCAAGGAAGTTTTGGACAGCTTCGCCGGTTCATAAGCAGCCGTCTGCTTGATCCTCTTGTGAGGTTTGCCGACGAGGAGGTCCTTCTGCTGAAACTGCTTAAGTCGGTTGCAGAGATTTATACCAATGGAGCATTGATTCCTGCATTGGAGATGACCCTTGAAGCGCTGAAACATCTTGAACGTCGATGCAGAGAACTGCGAATGTGGTTCAGGCCGCCTACGGGGGTTCAGGTATGTGGTAGGGAGTGGACTGTCGAACATGGCTAACTGTTACGTAGATCCAGTTAATTGAAACCTGTTTACGCGTCATCACATATGCAGCTGCACACTCTAGCTTCTTGGGGAATGACACTTTCCGAGTTCTGCTGCGCTGGACATTTTCAAATGACAGATTGACTTTAAAACCAAATGGATTTACCCCCTTCTACCCGCAGTCTGCGGATGACATGGCTCAGGAGGCAGTGCATAGCGACAACTCGGAGTCTGATAGAAAGACATCTCACCGACTGCGGTTGTCGGGCCAACACGAAAAAGCTGCCGCTGACAATAAAAGCCCACCAGAGGGAAACGTGTCTCAGTCAAACTACCCTCGAATTGGTGACTGGTATCGACTCTTGGTCCAGGAAGGGTTTTGGTGGGAATCGCATAGAGTGTTGCGGTTCATGTTACCTCTGCTGGGGGATGCTCACGGGAAATACACTGCCAATGGCAATTTCGAAGACTTTGCCCAGATTGACGACTTGCTGCAGGCCACAGCTGTCTTTCTCCGGCGTGAAACGGAGTCCACAGATGACGAGCAGCTCCTCCTGACAGACTTTGCGAATGCATATCTTCTTTCAGTGTTTTTCACAACTGATTCCCATGTCGAGACAGTCCGAACAGTCCGAGCTCAGTCCCTCGACAGCGCTCGTTCCCTAGCGTCGACCATACTCTCGACGCACCGACATTTGGTAAACAGTGTGCCATATCTGAGGTGGCTGTTACGACAAACACCCGGGGCGGAGACAGGCTACCAAGTCCAATCGCCGGACTTACAGCAAGGAAGGATTCCTGAAAAATGGTTTCAGGGGTCCGTCAGCCAGATCCGGTCCCCGGAACAACGAAATCACAACATTCATCCGCCTTTGGCCCGAGGAAAATTGGCAAAGGCAGACAGCGGTGGCCTCTCGCAAAGGAGTCTCGAAATCGCACTTGAAACCGTGACTGAGATTGGAGGTTACAGGCTTCGACAATACGTGCTCGAAAGGATGTACACAGCCTGCCAGAACTTTGACCAAGCGCTCCGACTATTGCATGACCTGGCCCAGCTGTGTAAAGATACCATGCAGGATATCACGCGATACGGCGAATCCTTGGTCGACGAACATCTACTCCTCGAATCCGCGAATCCCTCGAATATTGACGAGCTGCGCATAGATCTCCACCATCGTTTCTCTGACCTTAACGGTTCATTTCCATCTCATATCAATTATAATTCATCGACGCGGAAGAGACTCGGCCTTGTGTTCTTCGACATTCCGGCACTGGAATGGAACAGGAGGAGGGCATGGTCTGAACTTTTAAGCAGCATGGGCCGAGGCATAGAAGCCGAACTGGTGAATGCGAGACTGTCATATATCTATTCGCATCTTCCAAGTGACTCTCCCTCTCTCACAGATAACTCCCGTTTTTGCTTCGGGTGCCCATACTGTGGCAACAAGGCAAAGCAAGAGTTACCGCCACCAGCAGACGTTGAAGCTCTTGGATCGTTGTCTCATCTGGGACCAAGGCCGAATCCTTCACGCCTTGCAATTGCCCGGGAGCGTCATCGGACTGTTGGTGCGGAAAACGATGTCGCGGATCATGTCGAGGACCGGATAATCAGGAGGCGAGCCGCGCGGAATGCGAACGAAGCAGGCTTTCTGGCCGAACGAACGAACCTAACCAAGGAGAAAGAGCAGTGATGAGGATAGCTTGAGTGCAGAAGAGGAGTCCAAGAAATCTTATCTGATTGACCCTATGGCTAGACTCCGGGCGCGAAAGACCAAGAAGGGGAAGGGGTACACGTACAGGATCTAATACCGCCAAATCCTGAAGTGTCTGAGGCGGTGCCTCATCGCTGACCCGAACGATCCAGATCTTCTGATTCGTTGGTAGGCAACGCATGGACCTGCGACTAGATCATAAAGCAGACAACTGATGACTTTTTACTGGGAGATTGGGACGTTCAAAAGAAAAGCCGGACCTCCAGCTATAGGTAGATTGTTAGAAATCCGCACGAACAAGTGTTTGGCTTTCTTGCTTCTGTTTGAAGAATTTGGTAATGTTCATAATAACCATGCCAACCACATCCGTCGTTCAAGGCTTTAATACGCTTCTGAAAGTGTTGCAGGGCAATAGTCTTGAAAACATTCGCGACGGCGTGGCGCACGCGCGGATCGACCTTCCAATTCCGGAAAATGGTCGAAGCTTCTACGAGGAATGTCTGGAGCACATGGGACTGCGCGACTGCGTGGAGGATGGGCAGGTGCTGTGTGGAACCCTATAACGGCCATTGGATTTCCGTCGTGGCTAGCGATTCTCCGTCGCAGACTGAATTGAGCCGCATTATACACTGCAAGCTTGAGGGCCAGGATGGAAGCCCCAGACAGGAACAGCGTTCCGGCTGAGACGCGGTGGATCGTGGAAAAGAAGTGATCCGGTTCGTTTCGTGGTTTCCCCAAGAGAGCAGAGTTGGGCAGCACGACCCTGTTGAAAAGGGTGAGTGAGTGGTCTATGGGATGAGAGCCAGCGCGCGGAGGTAGGACCCTGGGTGGCCAACAGGTTAGTACAATCGTGTGCAACGGACAAGTGCATTGTAATTTCAAGCCCACAGGAATCCATATGGTTTCTCGTGGTCTACAGAGCAATGCGGGTGTCTCCAGATATTTACCCCTGCTTGTATTTATGATTGGCCCCGGCTAAAGAAGAGAGATCTCTTCCAAGGCGTAAGCAAGAAATGTTTGTCGGGGCTACTGTTTCCACATACTTTGAGTTCTGTGACTATCCAAAGCGTAACGTGTTCAGATGTGCCCAAAAGAATTTTGATATACAAGTTGCAATTACTATTGGAATCTCACAATCAAAGGTATGAGTGAACTCCGGGACGGGGCTTTTTGTGCAAAGGCGAGCAATATATTCCATTACTGCCCACGCTCTTGCTACTCTGTATATTAACTTTTGCTTGGTCAAACTGGAACCTGGCACATGGCAATAGGTGCTGCTGTAAATATGCCAGTTACCACACCTTCTGGATATTAATATTGACTACAGCAGGACTTGTTGACTGAATTAAGTTCTCATCTAGCTCTCAGGGCACTTCGAAATCCAGAGTGCCCTTAAAATATAAAATCTATGAATAATCTTGATGTGCATGCTCTGGGCAATTTACAACGCCATGTTAATGCAAACATAACTACTATTGGGTTGCGGCCATTTCTAAAACCAGATTATTGATATATCAATAGCTCCCCTTTGGAGTCTATGACACGGTTGTTTCCGCAATTACTAAATATCTCTAAGTCAGTATATCAAACACCAATCGTCAAACCACATAGCTCAGCCTTGAGACGCTTTTGTTTTTGTAAGCAAAGTGATATTTGATGAGACCTTCCAGAGCGTCGAAGAATATTTCTATACATAGATAGACATGATATATATGCTACCATGGGACATAGGGGATAGAAACTATGTGACAAAGCATGCAAGCTTGACCATAGCGCTGGGTTAGAGTTCTTCTGACTGCCTTAGGAGCTGTATGAGTGGCCTTAGCAAAGGGGATGCAAGTCGATCACTGAACCTTCAAGGTATTATTACTTCTTTGCAATTGGTTATCCTGCCATCCTGCATTCTCTTGGGACGAATGCTTATCCTTTAGGGATGAAAATAGAACTAGCTAGAGTTTAGAAGGAGGTATATTGAAAGGACACACATTTCTTAGCTGCCTACCAAATTCTCCAATGACTATGTATGATATTTGGAACTAAGTAGTCCTAAGAAAGTGGCTTACTCCCTGTGGATAAGTATCTAGGGCTCAGGTAAATGGGAAAATGTTCACGCTGTTTAGCAGAGAGAATACTAGGCAGTTGGACATGTGTTCATATTTCCGAATCATCTGCTATAGATAGGCTCATATTTTTGCTCTATTAGGAATCCCTTCCAGCCTCCCAACAAAAGATACACATACTTCTGTGTAGTCGTCAAACGGAATGCCATAACACCATTGTCGACTAGCTAAGGCCAGTTGGGGGAATTTGAGGAGTTATTTGTCTGGAGATGAGTCATTTACCGACTTTCACATTGGCCAGTTGAACCGATAGGTATATGAGGGCTGTCCGGCACCTTGCTTTCTGTGCTGTAAGTGAAGCATTCATCCTTACTCTTACGCCAGCTAACAAGATATACTAAGGTCAAACACTCATTCTTCAACGATTATCCGATCAATATTTGAAATCGGCAATAATTCAACATGCGTTTCTCTTTTCTGAGCGCTGTGGCTCTTGCCTCCGGATCAATTGCGCAGAACTGCAACCCTGGGGCAGATTATTGCGGCTGGTTCCTGTCCAACAACCTCGGTAGGTAGGCCTCTCCGGTTGATTGTTCAGTTGCTGACATAAATGATAGGTTGGACTAACATCCCAGATGAGACTGGCCTGTGGCTCTGCAATGATGCCGGCGAGTCAGCGTCGTACATTGAGCATTGCAGATTCAATTGCACTGGCCCAAATGCTCATTGCCCCTCGAGTGCAACAACTACCACGACTACCACAACTTCCACAACTTCCACGTCTTCCTCCACTACCACTACTACAACCAAGTACACTGGAAAACCGGGGTTCTAAGCTCATGATAACAGGTTTCCCTCTGTGCACGTCAATCATGTTGCATGTTGTGAAAGTACATGATCCGTTGTAAATGTACTAGGAATCTTACAGCGCATCTGCAGAACTGAGGGTGAAACTCCATGACTTTGCTTATCAGATATTTGAGACATATAATCCAGAGAATTTGTCGCGTTAGGTAACAGATACACTTCAAATCCGTCTGATCACTTTATCACGTATAGATAAATTACAGTAAAGCCAACCCACAAAACAATAGCCATCCCATATTGGCCCGGACTTTTGCGCTAGTGAAGAGGGGAGCTTGTAGGCTGGCTGGCTGTCTATTCAAATAGACAGGTTGAACTCCAGCAAATTACTAAAGGGTTCTAACTAGGGCCATAAGGGCTAAATATTAAAAGGAGAGTATAGTAGGAAGTAGAGTTATATAATAGGGCAGACTAGTATATTAATTAGTATATAGTCACCAACTGGTGTCTAGTATAGATAGGAGTTTATAATCATGTAAACACAGCTGCATATATAATKCAGGGCATATCACGGGGTCAGCCCATGATAGAGTTAGCCTCTACTAAGGTCATATACTTAATATTAGTATTACTTAGTATAGATAGCTTCTTTATTAATTCCCTAGTAATAATCCATTAATCTTTTCTAATACTAATTTAGAAGCCTATCTTATTAAAATTCTATATATCTTTAATAGCAATTCCCTTCTCTTAGATGATATACTCTAGGTAATTATACCACAATCAAAGGTATGAGTGAACTCCGGGACGGGGCTTTTTGTGCAAAGGCAAGCAATAAATTCCATTACTGCCCACGCTCTTGCTACTCTGTCACAGCAAAAGCAGTCATCACTGTGGCTTGCCTATGGAGCCCAGAATGCAGCTCGGCACCTGGATACCGCTCTCGGCGCATTGGACATAGAAGACTATGCTCGAGTATGGCTGACCTGAAATGGCACGCTGAAGATGCTAACCAACGCTTCTCCACTATGCTCAACTATACACTCCACTTTTTTGGCAGCGGTGAAGAGCATCGAAAACACTGGTTTACTGGATTACCGCTGTTGACAGTATGACAGTTGATTCTGTTGATTGGCTATTGTTATCTCGCAGTTTCGCTTGTTGGGTTACAGTTCAGCAAGGTCTCGGGAAAGTTCGACAAGCGTCTGAAATTACCCTGGATATCCCGAGACCTTGTTGAACCTTTAATATTTTAGCTTAGCAAGGTCTCAAATTATGACCAAGAGAGAGTTCAATAAGGTCTCAACTTGTTGACCTTTCTCTTAGTGATAATTTCAGACCTTGCTGAACTTCTGTGAGACCTTGTTGAACTGCATGCCCTTCGCTTGCCATACCGCCTAGTGATGTTCGTGCCATATAGTGTAGATCACGGGRCTCTCCSTTTGMCAGGTGGGAGCACTAACGTCTTGAGTTCGGAGGACTAAGAGCCGTCATACTGGTATTATAGGAGCTTAAATACGAAGTACAGACAGAAAATCGCATAGAGCTTGCAGAAATGCCTAACTACACTTAGAAAATGCGCCCAATTGATGTATTACTGCCCTAAGGTGATCTTAAGCACTAGGTGCATTTGCGCTTTGGTATAAGCCAGTCCTTTAAGCCCATCCTTGACTGTCCTCATGACCTCCTCCTCTCTGTGCGGTCTTCGTTGTATTTCCCAGACCTCTCCGGTTGAGCTCCTTGTCAGCTTGCCGCTGCTATTGCCTGCCTAAAGGGAGATTAATGCATGAGGCAACAAAGTTGTTCTTTTCTCTGCGCGAGTTATCTGCTGGTAGCTAGGCGTCTCGTGTGTCCTGAATGCGCTCGCCAACTAGGTCAGCGGCGACTGACATCAGGGAAGAAGATACGCACATGCGGCTTGATTTCTTCGTTCCATGTCGTAAGCTTGATAATCAATGCAAAAAGATACTGGAGAGCTCATGGGTATCTTACTGCTGTAATCTGTTGTCTGGACAATTTAGTTTTACGGTGTCCGTTGCTAACGCAATCTTACTGGCATCAAGGAGTGGCCTATTATAGCTTTATGAGTTCTAGTTGTAATACATATCATTGAATCCATGGACTACAGAGAGGATATAGTTATTTGATCAACTTTGAGGTTCATGAGATCAACAGCACTCGCCCATTAATCCATTACAGAGATCACTAAAGTATACATATACTGCTTCTAGTCATGATTCACAGATCCAGTCCCAAGCTCGTCATGCTTTCTAAATAAAGACACCCCACCAATAATAACTAACAAGCGCGTCAGACAACATGAATAAGCCTCAAAATCTAAGCTTGGCTTGTGCACTCAAAGCAATGATCTACAGTTCTCAAGCTATAGCCTGTCAACGCTGAGCGGGTGGAGTACGGGGGGCCTAAAGAAGCATCAGCCACAACTGCTGATGACAACATATAGTCATGTAAGCACCATACAGTCGGCGAGCAGCTTGCGCGCCTGATTCAGTGTCTCACTTGGAAAGGGCCGGAGCCATTGAGATACATCTAGCTCGCCGAAAGGATGCTATGCATGCCTTCTCAGCCACAGGATCCATCGTATACGGCGTGATAATTATAGAATCTCTGAGCTTCACCTGAGCTTAATGTCTTAGCTGACTATGGATACCTGCTAGTTAACAGGATATGTACTCAATCGCAGTAGCAGTGTACAACATATAAATATCGCCTCCCTTCCCAACATTAACTCCTTATTCCCATCATCTTCACCCATCAAACTCACTTCCTGTCCACAAGTTTAATAACATCTACACAATGAAGCTCACCACCGCCTCGATCCTCCTGGCTGCTAGCTCAGCTCTCGCCGTCCCCACCAGCATCAAGCGCGACAGCTACATCCAAATCAGCGACTTCTGGGCCAGAGCAGCACCCACATCACCCGGTGCATTCATGCACTTTGTTGTTACCGATCCAAACTACCCAGCTGATACACCCACTGAGTGCAACCTGATCTGGTAAGTCCACGCCCCCTCGTCGAGCATACCAGACTAACCAGCACTTTCCTTGGCATTCAGGACCTATGGTGACCTTCCTAAGACAAATGCCCGCTGCAACAATGGCGAATATTACATCAAGTTCCCCAACGGCGCTCCCGACTTCAACTGGTTCACGCTGGAGCTCCAGAGAGTCAGTGGCTCAATCGCTGAAGACGGCCATGTCTTGCTGAGTTCGAACGCGAATGGTGCCGCGCCTGGAACTAAGTGGATTTGTGTGAATAACCCGGAGCCAGGGGTTGAGATTAGCTGTTCTTATGATGGGGTTCTTCAGATGGATGTTTCTTAGGGCGCTGCGCATGAGTACTGCGAGAAGCACGCCAGTTTACTAATGTGGGATTTATTTCATTCTCATGGACGCTTTTCCAGTTCATTTCATTGTTTTTGTGTATAGAATATATATTTGTTTTTCTCAATCCTTGTTACTCAGAAATCTTTATACTCCAGTCGAAAGTTCTTCACCCTTCAAGTTGCACATTGCAGGATATATCGTCTTCAAATCCTTGTAAACGGTCCGTAGCAACTGTCAAGATTCGGTCCTTATGAACCTAGCTATATCAGCCTTGTCAATGCCGAGAGTCAAAGCGCGGACAGGGTCTTGTGATATGCCGGTTGATTGTGTCAGTGCGATTCGTTAGTAGATACGAGCTATATACTGGACTGACTCAGTTCCGGAAGAGACCACCGTCAAGGGCCAATGAGGCTTCCTCAATCCATTTAACCAAGAAACTACCTTAGAGTTGCTTAATATCGTTAATTGCCTCGAATACGAGGTGTCAGACACTCTCCAGCGCATACCCCGACAGCGCAAGTCACATATAAGCTCCTATCTACTACAGATAGCTGCGTCACTACTATTCAAGGAAAGATAACCAGATGCACTAGGCAAAGCTGCCAGCACAAAAGGAATTCCTGCACTACTGAGGGACATAATCTGGCTTCTTGATCTGAGAGGCCTTACAGAGTACAAGCAGTGACCCTGTGATTGTTATGTGCAGTGTTACACAACCTAAGCCAGGGGGCCTCTCAGGAACGTGCATAATGCAAGGTATCGAAACCCTGCCATGTCCGCAAATGAAATTGGCCACAGAGCCAGAGTATAAATTTCACTGGGAAACCAGCCGGAATTATCCATTCTTATCGCCGAGTATAGGTTCAAGTCTGCTGACCAATGGAAGTCGCACTCATCTTCCTAGAACCGACCCTGATACTTCCGTAGACAAACATGTAATTTAGCCCTATCGTTATCATTCTTGCGCTGGCAGCGGTTGATTTCGCTCAATGCGATTCTTTTCTTCTCCTTCCCTGGCTCGCGGCTAACATTACTAGATGATGGGCCCTGTGGCAGCGCCAAGAGGTGTGAAGCTGATTGTCCCCGCAAGGATTTCTTCCCTATGATTAATCAGTGAGATATTGTGGATAGCAAGCTGCATTGCTATGTCAATTTTTACTGTGCTTGATCAAGCCTTGGAGGGTAATTGTTTTTGATAGAAGGATAATTAAACATTAGAATTAGAATTATGTCAGGAATAAACTATCCCCGACTAATTAGGAGCAAATTGCGTGATTGCCAGTGGATCCTCAATTATCCCCACTTCTCCCACTTTTGCGATAAATATAATCATGTACTCTAGTCCAGAACACCAACTTATGCCCACGACATCAAAAGCATAATGACAGACCCCTTCCCAAATAGCCTGGTCTCCCCGGCCGACTTCCACGCCGCCGTGAACTCACCCACCTCGACCCGGCGGATCATCCCTGTAGCCGCCGGCCGGCGCGCAGTACACACCCCCGCCTATCATGCCCAGCATATCCCCAACTCCATGTATGTCCTCACCTCAACCATCCAGCACCTTCACTTAGTAACAGGAATCCAGCTTCTTCGACATGGATCTCATCAGAGATATCACCTCGCCATATCCACAGATGCTCCCCACGGCTTCACACTTCGCGTCCTGCGTAGCTGCCCTAGGCATCAAGAAGGACGATGTGCTGGTCATCTACGACGCCGTAGACGTGGGCATCTACAGCTCGCCGCGCGTCGCGTGGATGTTCCGTTTCTTCGGCCACGAGGCCGTGCATGTCCTGAATAATTTCCGCGTGTATGTGCAGCAGGGATACCCCGTTGCCAGCGGGGAGATGCGTCATCTCCCGTCTGTGGACGAGTATCCTGTTACCCCGGTCAATAGCGACCGGGTGATTTCATTTGAGGAGTTGAGGGAGCTGGTTTTGGCTCGTGGGGAGGGGTTCCAGATTGTGGATTCGCGGATAGCGGGGCGGTTTCGCGGGGAGGAGGACGAGGCGGTGGCTGGGTTGAGCTCGGGGCATATGCCGCGGGCGGTTAATGTGCCGTTGGCGGCGATGCTGGAGAAAGAGTCGAGTAGATTTTTGCCGGTGGAGAAGCTGAAAGAGGTGTTTGAGAGGGCGGGGGTTGATGGGCGGGCGCCGTTGGTGTTGACGTGCAATTCGGGGGTGACGGCTGCGGCGCTGGATTTGGCGCTCGGCGAGACGGGTTTTAGGAATCCAAGGCGGATCTACGATGGGAGTTGGATGGAGTGGGCGCGCAGGGTGGATCGGCCGGAGTTGATTGTTAAGGATGTGCATTGATTGGTAGACTGCATATAGAATCTATATCATGAAGAGATCGGATCTTCGATCCAATTATGTATCGCTCTGACCACTTCGTCGCTGTTCTTCTCTAGGAACATCATATGCCCGTTGCCATGAATGCCGATTTCCTCTAGCTGCAGGTGCGTTGTTGGAACGCCGGCTTGTTGCAGAAACCGAGCAGTGCACCAGTCATGCGTGGCATGATACGATGCTTCGCTTGTAACGACCAAGGTCCGAATTTTAGAGAGGTTGACGAGCCGTCGAGGCGGAGGCTCATCAGCCTGGATCTTGCAATCTGACGTGTCACTGGAGTTGGATGTGATTGTCTGCTTAACAAAGTCCGCGTCTGGCTCAGTCACCGGGGGAGAATAAGTGATCGGTATATCAGTCAATCCGTACGGACGGGCGGGTCCAGTCCCAAAAACTGCATTCTGGAATGGCGGACCAGACGGTTCAATTGATACGATGGAATGCACCAGATCCGGTTTCCTGTCTGCCGTGACCCAAGCCATTGCTCCGCCCTGGGAATGAGCGACAAGTATCACCGGCTTGCCGATGGCGTCTAGCAATGCAGCGCCAGCGGGCTGCATGGAGGCCTCTTGAGCAGCGTTTTCGGCGAGTGAAGGAACGGTCGATGCATAATACGCATCGAATATGGAATCGCCCATAACACCCGTTCCGGGCCACTGGGTGTGCAGACTCGCCTGTGGCCAGAGGTTGTATTTTGCCGTGGCAGTAAAAAATTTCTGCAGATGCTCGGCGCTGTATTTTCTCAATTCTCCGTTTCTGATATCCCACGGGCTCCTGCCGCGGGAGGTGTGGTCGAGCAAGTAGCATTCGTAACCTTGGGAGAGAAAGTAAGACGCCCATCCTTCGCTCCCGTCGGGCTTGTTCAGCCAGTTCTGGTCGTGTTAGTAAGGTCAGACTTTCAGACAAGGAAGGTGTACCGTTGCTGTCTGATCGGCTCCGTGGATGAACACGATCGGATACTGCTTAAGTGGGCCGTCGACAGGCGTAAGTCGTTCGACGTACATCTGGTTGGTGAAGACGTGTTCTCCATCATTATTGAGGGAGTAGTTGCCTCCGACATAAAGGTATGTTCGGCGATGCGGAGTTTCGATGCCGGCCGCTAACAGGGAAAACGCAATCACTAGAAGATGAAGTTTTGCCATGATGAACGGTGGATGAAAGTGTAAAATATTGAACTGAGATCCTGAAGATGGGGAGTTGATTGTGCTCAGCCCCGCATCTGCATGGATGTGATATCGCTGCGGCAACGGCCGATGGTCTCCCGTATGTAGTACAAACTGCAGCTAATCTACCAAAGAGGTATAGATATGCGTTCACCTCATGTATCCAACTCCATCAATCTCGATTGCCGTGCTCGGCTAAAGATGCTTCATACCGCTGTAGCATTTTCTTCCCGCCTTTGATTCCCCGTTCGTACCTTTCTACCTCCTTCTCCACAAGCTTTTTGGCCTGTATAGCCCCGTCTGGTAATTGTAGAGCCCACTCTCTGAGCGCTTCAAGTTCGCGTTGCACCATGGCCATAGTATCTTTCTGCTCCCGAATACTAGTGACTGTATCCATTCTGCCGAGAGAGGCAATTCCGGTAGCGGACTGAAAGGTCCTCCCTGGACAAAGCCGTTCTGCGTCCGCTCGGGCCGCTTCGTACGCCTTCTGATAGATAGCAGCCTCCCTCTTTGCCTGCTGCAGGCTGACCTGGTGATATCTCGCACGGTCGGGGTCAGTATCGTTCGCCCAGTTCTGGTACGTTTCCACCCTCTCCCGCTTCCACTTGTACTCATGGCGAAGGGTCTCCAGCTCCCAGAGAGGGAGATCCTCCTTCCTTTGACATATTCCCCCCGGACACAACCTTTCCGCTTCTTGTTCAGCCTCGGTGAGAGACTCAGTGTTCCTCGCAGAGCGTAGCTCTTCTATCCAGAGCTTGAAGCGCGCCGCCCACTCCTCATCCGTAGACTTGGCCGCCGCAAGTTCAGCCTGATGTGCCGAAACACAGCCCTCCGCACTCCTCCTCCAGAGCTTGAATTTCTCCACGCATCGCAGTGGTTCTTCAGCGACGTACTTGGCCCTAGAGGCACCGTGCGCCCTCGCTTGAGCAATCTGAAAGCCGTCCCCGTCGAAATTATCCGGCCAGCCATACTCACGGTACAACTCTTTCAAAGGGATATCATACCCTCTCCATTCACCTGAGCAATGTTCGCCACCAGGAAGCTCATCCAGTGAACGATACCAGCGGATAATATCGCGTAAAACATCCCCAGCGCGGCGACTAGCTATAGGCTCAATGTTATTCCCATTCTTGCTTTCCTTCTTTGGTTCCTTTTCTTCTTTATCTGAATCATCGGAGTAAGTGACGGGTCCATCCGCCAGCGCAGGGTCAGTAGTGTTCCACCACTCCTGGTCGATAATCCAAATCCGATGCCGACGCGCATCGTAAATAATTACGCTCTGGTGATTTCCCAGCCGCGACAACGGGGTCACCCACGGCCGAATGTACGGCCCATTCTCATCGTCGTAGTCATCACCAACAGGACAGCCATAAAATGGATCCCGGCCCTGCAGCACGTCTTCCTCGCAGCGGAAATCTGTGAATGTGCCACCGTGGAAGAAATCCCTGTTACCGGCAACATGAGTGTTCACATAAGGAAGGATGCTATAGAGGTAGATGATGGCGGGATCAATCTTCAACTTTTCGTACAATGGGCGCAGATGGTCGATATTATGTGGACCCTGTTCGATTCCAGCTGGGTCGAGATAGCGCATCTGGGCGAGAGCCTGGTAGATTTCCAGCATGAGGTCGGCAACCTCGTGCAGGCGCGCTTTCTGATCCGGAGGGAGTTGATCGTCCATTTTGTTGGAAATCGGTAGCTGTGCATTTACTTTGCGTCCAACAGATTATACCTTATATATCATCCCCAGCTTGTGTATTGTGTGTGACAAGGAACAAGATTATGGTACCAATGCCCACAAGGCAGCCATTGTTGCCTGATCCTAGCCAGGACCCACATTTCAGGAGTCTAGAGCGTTGAGAGTTGAGGTCCACATTATCTATTTAGGATGGAAGGAATGGTCTGGAATCCGCGTTATTAAGTACATATAAAATAATATAGCGTGGTTTGACAATGAGAGTATCATATTCCCTGTACGCTAGTCGATCCTGTGTGTCCATGAAATGTTGTACAGGCTAGTGTAGTATATACATTTCAGTTGGTTTAGATGCAGGCTATAAAGAAGAGCAGTCGACCATCTTTCAGGTTGAACTAATGTACTAATATGAAATAGCGCCCAGATGAGTCCATACAGAGAGCGGTTAGGATTTCATTGTTGCTATTGACCAAGTGGTACCAAGGACCCAGATTCTCATACGTCTTAAGGCATGTGGCTGTGTTGGTGACTGATTGGTGGGGTTTCACTTCACCCGGAGATAAGCGCTGCTTGTTCCTTCTTAGCTTTCTCAGCTCGGTATCATCAGCCTCACTCTCGTCATCAACTTAATTCCATCTTCATACCATCTTCATATCCATCGAGCCAGAACATCGTGTCTCAACGGATCCGATAATGGGCGGCGTACGAGGAAAGTCCCAAGGCTGCGGGACCTGTCGCGCACGTAAAATCGCGGTAAGCCGAAACCCATCCAGATAAGAGCACACCGGACTAACAGACCCAGTGCGGACAAGAAAGACCCCGCTGCAGCCAATGCACCAAATCCAACCGCCAATGTGCGGGCTACCAGCGCGACAGGGTGTTTGTCCTAGTCCAACCCGACTCCAAAGAATCCACCCGCACAATCCGCCAGGAAATCACAAGGACCAACGCAACTCCACTAGAACAAGGTCCTGGACATGAGATCATCATGAGTTGCAATATTCGCCAAGATCTCCTGGACGCCTTTATCGGGCGCTGTCTCCCTCACACGCGGTTCCTCGCACGCGCCTGGTACAAACCGTGGCTCTTTCTCCTCCCCGACATCCCCACCAGAACCAAGGCGCTGGAATTCTCGACCTTGGCCATTTCCGCAGCGGCCGTCGGTCGGAGATTCAACGACAGCGCTCTTGTCCATCAGAGTCTCGGGGCGTACACGAGGGCCCTTCGCGAGATGCAAAAAGCGCTCTGGAGCGGCACTCTGATACGCGAAGATGAGACGCTGGCGGCGTGCTTGGTTCTGAGCTTGTATGAGCTCATTGAGTGTCCGGATAACGGGGCGGATGCATATCAGAGCCACTGCAAAGGATACCTGTCGCTGGTCAAGGCGCGTGGGATGGATGCTCATACGGACGGGATCGGGCATGATCTTTTTGTGGGGGTGAGATTACAGGGGGTGCGTTTTATTCCTTTTTGCTGGGAAGCTATTACTGACACTGTAAGATCCTTGACGCAATTGGCAACCGCGTGCCGAATTTCATTTGCGATCCTGTCTGGTGCCGGGATCCGTGGGCCTCGCGACCGAAACGAATGGCCGACCGCATTGCGGATTGTCTCGCTCGCATGCCGTCCATTCTCCAACGGTATGACCGATTGTCGTCTCTGCACCGAAAGGAAATTCTGGATTCAACATACGGACTTGTGGAGGAATGTCTGATCATCGATCGGAATTTACAGGACATCTACGAAGACCTTCGGCTTCAGGTAGAGGGTCCATTGTATTGGTCCGTCCTCTCACCGTCGTTTAAGGACAGTGTCCACGACCAAAGCTTGTTTCCTGTGACATACGAATTTCCCGATCTCAAGACTGCATCATTGGTGATGTTGTATTGGGCCACCAAGGCTATGCTGTGGGCTATGCTGAGCAACCTGTACGACGTCATTCACCTACAGGGGGTCCCTGCCATCACTGTCCCCATCGTTGAAGTAACCAGTGAGAAGCACAACCTCAGTCCGAACCATGACGAAGAGGTTTCAACCGATGGGGATTCCCCAACTCTCACCGATGGACAAACCTACTTGAGAATGGCACGCAACGTCTGCCAGTCTCTGGAGTACTGCCTGCAGGAAGATATGTCACTTCTGGGAATATTTGCCGCGTCAATTCCCGTAATCATTACAGTATGGGCTATTCGGTATCGACACAATGACGAAGCAGAGTTGGTCTGGTTGATGGCGGCATCGCAGAAGATGCGTCAGGGGCTGCGAATGTGGCCATACATATGATGATGGCTAGAAATGAAGCAAGCCACCAAGGTACCAACCTATTGAGCGGCACAGCCTCAAGAGGCGGAGCCACGGAGTCACCGCTCGACAGAACAGGGAGAAAACACCTTGTCAGCCCTAAGCTTTTTGAGGTATCCTATGCTCCATCGCGCTAAGCCTGTTTGGGTCAAAACCTGCGAGCCACGTGACTTCCGTCTCAGCTGTATACGAGAAAGTGCCGTCGATTGGATATTGCAGAAAAATCTGGGTACAGAGCAAATGGGCTGCCTTCGGTGGCTGAACAGGGTCTATGGAATGAGTGAAATATAAAGGCAGGGTGTTTCTCCCCCCGAATCTGTGTCTCAGTCCACCAGCTCTCACTCACACTTGCAATTCACCATCATTGTCTACTTTCATTTCAGCGATATCCTTTAGTCCAAAATGCTTACAGACCATTCGAAGGTCGCGATTGCGCAGATTGTCTTCTATGTGCCTGCCATACTAGCCGCTGCAGTCCTTTTATTCCACCGCCATGGCCGGCCCCGACAGGCCTGGATTATCCTCCAGGTTTTCTGCTTGAGTAAGTGCCTCCGTTCCACCTGCTACATGTTCAGTGAGCTGATAGTTACCGCTAGTCCGTGTCGCCTGCGCTATTGTCACCATACTCTATGAGAATACCCCGACAAGCGTCGGCCTCTACATCGCCGCCCTGATCCTCCTCAACGCCGGACTGCTGCCCCTGATTGCAGCGACTATCGGTCTTCTGCGGATAATGTATGTGCACTTACAGACAAGGTGGGAAATACTCTAACTCTTTTAGGATCGTTTACGAGTTCAAAGACAACAAGACCCTTAATATGCCCATGCGGATCTCTCGATTGTTGTTCATTGTCGGGATTGTCTTGATCATCGCAGGCGGCTCCTTGACCGGGAATTACGACGACGTGGACTCGGTGAACACGGGCCGTACGCTCAGCAAGGCGGGGTATATTGTTGTCGCAGTCTTTATGGCTAGCTTGGTGTTTATCCAGTGGCGTTTCTGGAAACAGTATAACAGTCTGTCCCGGGCAAGTCGAACCGTTAGTACCCCGTTCTGAGATATGGCAGTGGGTGATGCTAATATTGCTGTAGGTGCTCAAGGGCATGGCTCTCGCTGTACCGTTTATCATTGTGCGGATCGCATGGCTTTTCCTGTCGATCTATCATCCTGACGATAAGAGATGGAGTAACTTGAGTGGAGACATTGGACCGTTTGTCGTCATGGCGGCGCTGATGGAGTACATCATCGTGTGCATATACATCGGGACCGGGTTTATGATTCCCGCTACTAAGGGTGTGGCTCGTGTTGCTTACCAGGAGCGAGAGCTAGATGAAGGCGCAGGTGAAGGGACCACCCCATACGGGAAGCTCCATTCTCCTGAGCGGGCATGATTCATGGCTCGACAACGGACTGATAGAGAACTTTTTTTTGTGATTACAAGGGTATATAGGACTTAGAACGAGAGACAATTATATACAATCTATACCACCACACACCCTCTAAAAATGAGGTGTATTCAACGCCATCAAACACAACAACCCAGCAATCAACCCAGCAGAAGGCAACGTCAACACCCACCCACTGAAAATAAAGCCTAGCTGCTTCCAATTCACCGCCCCAAGATCATAATTCATCAGCGCCACCCCCGTCGCCGCCCCAGTAAGACACTGCGTCGTTGAAACCGGCAACCCCAGCCGCGAGGCCAACAACACCGTAATCGCCGCCCCCAACTCCGTCGCAAACCCTCTCGTCGGCGACATCTGCGTGATCTTATTCCCCAAAGCCCGCACAATATTGTACCCGTAGAACCAGAACCCAAGACCCAGAAGCAATCCCGCAACAACAAGGAACCACACCGGCGTCGGCGCCTTGGTGTCCACCTCGCCAGCACGGTACGTCGCATACACAGCCACCCACGGGCCCACCGCATTCGCGACGTCGTTGCTCCCATGCGCAATCGACATCATCATCGCGGAGACAACCTGGCAGTATGTCCAGAGGTGTTCGACGCGGTCGTCGTAGCGGCGCGCGCGCGAGTGGATGTCGCGCAGCTGGGCCGAGTCGTGCGTGACCACGTCGCGGGTGACGCCCTGCAGGAGGAGGAATTTGGTCCAGCCGATCCACTTGCGTGGGTGTGTCCAGGGGAGGTCAGCGACGGGGTGGAGGAAGCGTTCGTGGGGGCCGAGGTGTTTCTTGCGGGGCTTGAGCTCCGGGGTGGATTGTGCGGAGGCGGCGGTGCGTTCGACGTCTTGTGTGGACTCGAAGAGTTTGGAGTCGGTGGGGGGCTTTGCTTTCTCGCCGTTGTGGGTGTGGGTTTTCGTGCCGGCCAGGACTTCGCCGTAGGCGTCTTCGTAGTAGTTGGTTACGAATTGGTTGCCTTTGGCGGGGTAGTAGAGCGGGCAGTTGTCCTTTAGGAGCCACGGGCCAAGCGGGAGGTGGTAGAAGCGGACGCGGGCGTCCTGCTTGACGAGGCGGCGGTGGAAGTAGGGGAGGAAGAAGACGACGCCGATGAGGAGGCAGCCGAAGAAGACGCCCAGGATGATGCCAATGGCTTTGCCGGCGCCGAATTCCTCGAGGGAAGGGGCGGTGGGGGCTTCGACGACGATGAAGAGGGCGAGGATGGCGCCCGTCGTCGCGAGGTAGACGGGGATCAGACGCATGGCCCACTTGAAGGGATCTTTGCGCTCCAGGACGCTGTACTTAAGAATGCCGAAGATGATGGCCGAGAAGCCGGCTGCGATGGCCGGGGCAATTCCCCACGACGCGGCAATCTGAGAGACACTGCCCTTGGTCCATTCCCAGTGGATAGGCGCTTGAGCAGCAAAGCCGACACCGACCAGCGCGCCGACAATCGTCTGGGTAGTAGACACAGGCCAGCCCATGCCGGTCGCCAGCATCAGCCAGGCAGCATTTCCCATTTCAGCGCAGCCCATCGCCAGCATCAATGGTCCCGGCTGGTTCTCAAACCGGTCGATGCTAATAATGCCGGACTTTATGGTAGAGGTCACTCGGGCTCCTAGGGCAACGGCGCCGATGAACTCGGTACAGGCGGCCAGGATACCGACCTGCCACATGCTCAGCGTGCGAGCAGCGACGGATGTGGCGTATGAGTTGGCCACATCGTTGGCTCCGTTACCGAAGGCACTGAAGACGAAGGTGATGGAGGTGAGCGCAAGGATCCAGTCGTACTTGGCGGTCGCGAGGGGGATCATCTTGACTTCAAGCTGCACAAGCAGCCTTGACCAAATGAGTAGGAAAATTAATGGATGATTTGGGAACTACAGACGTAGAGAAACAGAGGGACGCTATATATCGAGCTCGGTAGAAAGCAAGAGTATACGGACTGCTCGCCAAGGCAGCTCGTGTGCTGCTGAGACAACCTCTAAAGCTACTGAACTCATCACATACACCAACGTGAAGCCACAGCCCGTTCCCATTCGCTCGTAGCTTTGAATTTTTCCGAGTAGGTTTCTTCTATGCAGGAGGGCGGACTTGGCGCCAAGGTCCGCCCAGCTCTCGGCGGACCACCACCACGAACGATCAGCAAATCACATTGAATTCCTCAGCACGTTCCTGAGCTGCTGGATATCATTCAAAGCAAAGGCAGTTGTTAAAGTTGGCCAGGTCTGCAGGAGATGTCCGTGTCGCCACTTTGGGTATCTCGGCGCGTGACTTGGCAGGCTCTTTCGAAGTCTGTTGCGCTTCATTGTCGAATCACACCAGCTCGATCCTGAATGCTACTCGTTGACGTCGGTGGCTAAGAAGAAACACTTCCACCCGCAGCCATGGCGTTGCGGCCCGGTCGACAACACGAGACAGCACGTGGGATACTGCTCGAATCGTACGGGTGCATGGCGCAAGAAGTTGCTTTGAACTAATTACGATATTCAAGATTTACTTGCACTAACGGGATTGTCCCCGCTGTAAACTTGGAAGAAGATGGAGACAGGTTCTGATTCGGCTACCCAGCTATCCAGGGTCTTGACGACGGTGCTTTGGAGGCAAAAGAAAAACAGAATGCGAGACGAGCTAGTTCTAGACAATCTTGGCAATATGTCGAACGCAAGACAATTTTCAGCTTTACTGAGGCGGATATAGTGCCCATTGCTTGCCCCTAAAGGGCGTAGCCGCTGCATGCGCATAGCGCGATGTGTGGCGTAGTGCGATACAAGATCGCCTCTGACGTCTCTACACGGGCCTAAGAGTAGGCTCCATTGCATTGGTTGTGAATCAGAAATGTGCTGAGTCCTTTAGAAGCTACCATCAGTCAACTGCATAGATCAACTGCCAATCATGCACATAATGTCATTAGGATAATTTGAATACCGGAACTAAACTCTGAGTACAGCTCACTCTCAATCAAGCAAGGAACTTTTCCTTGTTCAAATCCACCCATTCATGGAAGCGCAACGGCGGTCTCCCAGTGTACCTTTGAATATTCGCTGATGCCTCCTCATACCCCGGCATACTGGAGAAACTCCCAGATTCCTCCTGCAGGCGCAACTGAACAAGCAGGGTCTTCGCCACAGGCTCCGGCATCCCATTCTCCGTCATCTCCTGCAGTGCCTCCTGCTCATCCACCTTGGTGACCTTGACTTCCTTGCCAACGGCGTTGCCAATCACACCAACGGCCTCCCTAATCGACATGTTCTCCGGTCCGACAAGACCGACAACATTCTTCTTGCTCCCATCTTCACCCTCCGGCAGCCCCTTCACCAAAAGCACCCCAGCGACACTCCCAATATCCTCCGGAGCGATAAAATCAAACCTGGCCTCGGGATACGCCTGCTTGACCTCTCCCTGCAGAACCCCACTCCTCCACCCCAATGAATTGCTAGCGAAAAAGGCCGGCCGAACAGCCACATACCCGTCCTCCCCGAAAACATCCCGCAAATTCACCTCCACCTGCGCATGCGTAAACGCAATAAAGTCGGTCTGTGGGACGGCGTCGACGTCCCCATGCATGCTCACGCTTATGCTGCTTAGAAAAACGACCTTCTCGATCCCAGCGCCCTTGAGCGCTTCGATGCTCGCGCGCATTCCATCAGTCGTGCCAAAAGCGACGTAGATGAATGCGTGCTTGGCGCCGGTTTTTGTGACGGCGTTGTGGATGCTTTCTGGCGAGGTTAGGTCCGCCTGGACCCTCTCAAAGTTGCCGGTGGTTTCTTGCTCCGAAGTGAGACCGGGGATGGACTTGGTGGTGTCGCGCATGGCGAGGATGACCTTTGCGTTGTGCTTATGGGCGCTGAGGGCAGCCGCGGAGCCGACGCCGCCTGTTGGGCCGAAGACGATCACAGTTGGCGGTGACATTTTGTAATGGGCAATGGTCAATATGGAACTTTTGGGACGGGAGATGATAATGATGATGATGATGATGATGATGATGATGATGATGATGATGATGATGATGATGATGATGATGATGATGCTGGGGAGTGTTTTTCAACTATTTATATTCGATTCGACATCAGTATCATCCAGGTAGAGATATAGATTACGAATATGTCGGGCTTTACAATGCCCGACCGCCGGGCGGATTGGTGGCCTGAGTCTGACCTTCAGCTGGCGCTTCGTATTCGCCCATTTTAAAGTGCGACAGCGTCGGTCAGAGTGGTCCGATCCCCGACATGCTTGATTGGACATCAAAGCGCGTACTAATGTGATGTCAAATAGTTATATAAGACGCATATAGATTACAAATACTCCTTAATAAACCAGACTTCCTATCGATTCGACCGATGGCTTCCGTATAATGAATACGAAACGCTCTAGACTTTGGTTGGTATCTGTACGCAACCAGGTATAATATGTACAGTCTCAACAATTCTACCTTCCTCTGACCCAAGCATGGTCATACCTCCTCTTGTCTGTTTTCAGCATTCTGCTCGGGCAGCGGCTCTGGCCCTTGCAGTCCCCATTCGCCCTCTCCAATCCTTTTCCCGTAGAATTTGACCAGCAGCCCAACGGCCATCGGTCCAACAATGGTATTAAGCAGAATCGCCCAAACGCCAGTGATGAAGGCTTCCTCAGTCACATAGGATGTCTCATTAAACCCGATCTCGATGATGAGTAGACCAATCTCACCGCGCGCTACCATCGCAGATCCCAAGAGCAACCCAGACAGCCAGGTGGTGTTGGCATACGACCTTCCATGTTTCTCTCTCGAGGAGTCGTTCTGCAACTCCTGTTCACCATTTCCTTTCTTGGACAATTCCTTCCGCTTGGAAGGTCTCAGAAGTGGAAAATATTTCCACAACGGAAGCCAGATACCAACCGCAAACTAGATAGTCAGATTAGGCTCGCCTCTCAAACTCTGGAATGAAGTACGTACCTTAGCAACGACCATCAGGAGGGAAAACACAACCCCCCTCCAGATCCGCTTCCCCGTCCAGAGCTGCACAAACGGAATGGCGAACCCGATACTAGCGAAGAAGAGCGGCTCCATCAGATAGGACTGCACGTCGAGCAGGTACACCTCAAAGGTATGTACGAATGTAGGACTCTTATGCGCCTCGCGTTCCCCTTCCTCTCGACTCATAACCACAAACGGGCCCGATGGATGCTTGCTGGGTATATATGTCAAGAAAGTTCCGGCGAGGAAGGCGCCAAAGAGAACAGAGGTGCCCGCGTACGCCGCGATGGTGATGAACGCGCAGAGGACCAGCACCATAAGAATGATATTTGAGACATGATCGAACTGCGCAAAGGCGTGCTCGATATACCGTCGGAAGAGTTTTGCAAAAACGTATTTCGTGAGTATTGGGGTGAGGATGGCCATGGCGACCGAGGCGACGATGGGCCGGCCGATGATCCAGCCCAGGTTGGCGTTGCCTCCGCCAGAGAGTTTACCCAGATTGGCTATTATGCTGTTGACGATTAGTTCTGCTCGTGCTGTTTAAAATATGGTGGTTTACCTCAGTAGGACGAGACCGACGACATCGTCAATGACGGCAGCGCTCACGAGCACGGCGCCCACTCGTGTCTGTGCAAGGTCTACGGATCTAGCTGCAGATTTAATAACTGCAAACGTGGTGCCTAAAAAGGGTCAGATGATGTAAACGGTCAAGGAGAGACGAGACATACCAAGAGAAGTCGCTGATAACGCAGCACCGACGATGAAGGTTTCGACGGGTCCTGCTACGGTTAGCCGGGCATATTCCCATAACAGCAAGATGGCATACCATATCCAAACCCAAGGTAAAGCAGCAAATAGGAGAAAGCAATGGGGAAGAGAACCCCAACCGCAGCTCCCAGAAGACTGAGAATAAAATTCTTCTTGAGAAGATCAAGGCGAGCGCTAAGCCCTCCTACATACTGTCAGTTTCATCCCATCGGATAGAGTGCCAGACATACCCTCAAAGATAATTAAAATCAACCCGACATAACCTAGCACTCGAAACGTGTCCTGCCATTGCTCTTCTAGGATATTCGCTAAAGGTAACCCATAAATTATACCCACTGCAATCTGCCCGATGATTCCGGCTTGGATGACCCTTGCAGAAACCCATTCCGCCAGTGACAGGAAGAAGAAAAATGAGATTACAATAAGAATCTGGACGACTGCATACCATTGTCAGTACAGAATATGCGTGGTCGGGATGTATGACTTACTGCTTGGCTCGTGATATGGCAGGAAACTGCCTGCCATGTCCTTTTCTGTAGTTCCTCCTGAAAAAGCTGTACGACAAGCTATATCCTACAGAAGTTGTAGCATATTAATCAAGTTGAATATGAAGAAATCCGCCGGAATTGCTAAATGTCACGTGTCGTAGCCACTGGTGACGTCGGCCCAGAGGAGGACATCCGGTTCAGCATATTATCTCCATGTCCAAAATTGGTTTGAAGACGATCTAACTTTAGGGAAATCCACCTGAAGTAGTGGTCCACTTTCCCGAGCAATGAACGTGCTTCTAATACTTCAAGTCGATCCACCTTGGGCGCAGTAGACCAGGGAAATTCCCCGCCTACGCTCTTGGCCTGCGGACGACGCTTGGCGGAGATCTTGGCAAGACGGTGAAGAATCGGCACACATCCCATATACAAAATGGTGGGACTCCAGAATGACTGCACTATTAACTCGCAGTGGCCCACCTTGCAGAGTTGCGAATGGGACTGATCCAGACTATGGCAGTTTGGGATATCTAAATTCACAAGGGGCCGGATCACTCACCCAGTGACTGGCTCGGACATTCACTCTTGTAAACTTCTCATAGCCCGCTTGGAAGCAAAGCCCGTATTCACTACGATCAGAGGAGACACATTCGTCTCTAATAGATATGCAATATATATGCAATATTTTCCTCTTCTAGGTCTCCCAATCTTCTTTCATCTACTTTCTACTGTTCTAGTCGCGATCATCTTCAGGGTCGAATAAACGAAGCTAGTAATGGTTCAACTTGCAATTTTGCTCTTGAGCCTTCTGATCTCTTCACCGTGAACACTCAGCCTTCCAGTGAAGTTGAGGTCCTATTGAAAGGGAAATTTCATGTATCCTGACCAAACCATCCGAGGGACAGACCAAGTTCAACGGGGTCTTCGGTGTCGACAACGGAACTCGCATCAAGGCCAGATATATTGGACATATCGATCAGGGTTGCAGCCGACTACCCATTACCAAGGAGGGTTCCCAGAGTCGAAGACCCCCGGTTTAAACTGTTGAAGATGAACAGGTCAATGACGAAGAAGAGGAAGAGCTCATCAAGCTGCCAGTGTGCGTCATACTGCTGAAAAGAAGCCTGTACTCATTGTGTGCCTTTGGTTGTTCCCGATCCTGTGCCCGAGCACTCAATCTCACGTTTGGTTGAGTGTAGCAATGTTGTGAAGGCGCTGCCACAGTTGGATCTCAGTTGCAAAATCTGATCACAAACCGATGGTCCTGGCGGCGCGGACTACGAATGTTACGGCAGATGACACCACGGCGGATGAGGCAGCCGATGACGCGGTGGCCCAGGTCATCTAAGGTTATGCAGAAGACTGTCTAGAAAGTATGTTGGGCAAGCGAGCCAGTCGGCTGGGCGTCAAAGACCTGGATGACCTGGGCCTTCCAGAGAGGGAAGTGCTCCGAATGAAGGCGAAGATGACACCGTCGGGACGGAACGCGGGGCAGAAGCGGGCAAGGGAGGAGTCACCAAGCCGGGGCCGTGCCACACGGAAGAAGTAGGCAAATGGTACTGCGAAGGTAAAGTGCCACCTCCAACCTTCCCCCAAGATTCTTCGTCAGCCCCAATATTGGCTAGTCATTTGTTCCGGCCCAGAGGTGTAGTACGATTGCGAGCTTGTGGCTAACAGGGGAGATAGTACAAGTCGGCAGAGTTCGTGGTTTATGAGACCGGGACCTTGTTCTGGCCCTCGGGGCTTACCTCTCTACTCGCCACGATAAGCGATACACGCCGCAGAGAGCGGATGCTCAAGTTCAATGCCTGGTCCACTCTCCACTCGCAGTATATTAGCAACACTGGACGAAGCCAAGCAGAAAGAATATGTGGAATATTTCACTGCTGTCATGAGCCCTGGCCCAGGGCCAAAGTCCTCGCCGTTCACAGAGCTCAAAAGAGCTGAAGTTGACGGATCTTCGGCCTAGCCAGGAACATCAACGTCGACAGTGTCTTTCCATAGCCTACTCAATTGGACGTTCTGGCTGGTGACTCCTGTAAGGCAATGCTCCAACAAATTGATGTTCACTAACCAAGGAACACAGCAAGTATGCTGCGCAGACTCAGCACCGTTGTGGGAAATCAGCGAGAGAACGAGCCTCTTTGCCGTTCCCGTCTGGACTTGATGCCCATAACAGCCATAGATATGGAGAAAGCCCGGTTCTAACAGCTCCTCGACGACCCGGCATCGAATGTGGTTGTCACCAGGTCGAAAGAAGGGTGAGTCAGCGACAACAAAAGATTGTTTTCGTTGCCGACTGGAAAGACGGGTTTGAAAACAATATGGACACTGCTGGTTTTCTGCTTCGACAGTGTCACCAACTAGGACATAAGATTCAGAGAGCAGACTTCTTGAATGAGGCGAATGACATTTTCAGACCAGCGCATTAATGGTCATTCACAATCACCCACTGGTGACCTGCCTGAGTTCAGAAACTAACTCCTTCACCATTATCATCAACAATGTGGTCAGGTCCAGGAGGACGAAAGCAATTCTATCCATACTCAAGGTTAAGCTGGGTAGATATGTCAATGTAGCTCCTGTCCAAATGCAGGAAACAGCTGAGACTATTGAATTCCCTACCCAGGGATGACAGGTAGATTATCCATCACTTTTAACATGATTCATATAAAATTATGGCTAACAGATCAGGAGGCTTGTGATGTACCAGGGTCGTCACGAGATATTCCTTACTCTCATGACACCAATGCCCCGTCACGTTGATGTCAGCAATGATTACCGGCGTCAAGCGTGGCTCCCTAACCCTTTGCTGTTGGCTTGTGGCACCGGCAAAACCACAACAACCACCACGCTCCTCTGGTACGCGTCCCTTCGCGCGGAGAGAGACCTGTCGCAAACCCATAAGCTGACCCTCATTCTATGCCCGTCCGCACTGGTCAACACTTAGCTAGCAGAACTTATGGCGTGATTAGGTGATGCCTTCACAATCCTGCTATTCCAAGGCAGCTTGTTGCGCACTTCTGACTTTCTGAGGAAGTCCCTGACTGTTAACACCATTGACGATCTGGAGTTGCGGCTGCACGGCTTGGATGATAGTAAGGTTGAGATGACGTGCACTATTGTGCTATTGTCCTACGACTTGGGTTTTGAGGAAAGCTTGAGACATTAAACTTCGAGCAGAATGCTGCTCCCGTTCTCCGGCGGGCGGAAGCAGAAAGCTTGTGCGCACTGTTTTTGCGATGACTGGAAGTGTTTTTTTCAGGCACGTAGGCGGGATGGGCGGGAGGGTGTGTTTTCGCACAGGCCTTCGATGCTTGTTTTGTACTGAATGATTATCATGTGTCGCTAAGCGAGTTTTTTTGTTTCGAGGATGGCCACCGCGTCGGACATAGAGTCGCTCTTTATCCTCGATTCGGGGATAACGTCATAAATCCGGTTCCCCTTTCTACTCTGAGAGACTGCTCGCCGAGTACCGAGTAGGCAAAAGGTGGTTAGTATCACCGGCGCGGATAGTCGTTTCTACGTGTGGTCGAAACATCGTTGAATCTCAAGTACGGCGGACACGTTGACGTCAGGGTCAAGCTGCTCGATCATCCGCTCAAGGCACCTCAACCAAAGCAGTTAACAGAAGCAAGCACATATGCGACCATGGATTCACGATACGAAGCATGATCTATCGATTACTGTCGTCAAGAGCAGAGGCATCTATGCGATTGCTCTTCCTCGTCTGTCCAGCCAGTTGCTTGTCAAGCAAGGACCATCCAAGCAAACGATATGTGGGGCGGTTAGGCTATAAGGTCAACTGCCTTGTGAGAGATCTACCCGGTGGTCTCTGTTGTTTATTTTGAACCATCATCCGCGACGCATATACAGCAGACAATGTCTGGCTTTCTGACTCACAGGAAGAGCATGAGATGAAGTCATCGTCAACAAACCCGCTGAAGAATGCAGACAGAATTGGGAGATGGAAGATTGACCTGACTTGTTGCATAATCTAGGCTGAATCAGAGTGGCGTGGCCCTCTGATCTGCAAAGATCCAGCCAAAACTTCAAGATGCTAGTCACCGCCCTTGGATGTCTTTGGCGCGGAAGACATTTTGATTGTAGCGAGAATGCGCCCCATCAACATTATTGGCAGGTACCCAATGAACATGATCTGCGAGGTATTCCTTGGTTGGTTTGTCATAGCTCACAGACGAATTGATGAATGGAGGCTGGAAAGTGAGACAAGCGGCGCTATCCGTTACTGAAGATTCGAGGAACATTTTCGGCCCCCAAATTAGGGTCCATAAATCCGTTGTTGATTGGGTAGTCCGTAATAGACCACAATTTAGGCTTGTTCTTGGCTTTGCACTGCCCACACCAGTCACTTTAGGGCCCAAGCGTCCACTTTTTCTGGCATGATCAGCATCATGTCGAACCAGTTCGTTTGTTGTGTGTTGGTTTTGATTTGTCATCTGAGCCCAATTATCCAGCTGGGTGTCTCTACTCCTCTCTAGACTCTGTTGAAATATTCAACACGCAAAACTGACCGCTGATTGGCGCATATGACGTATCCGTAAGCCGCAGATACGGAGTTAAGAGGCAGCTGAACGACTGAACGACCAGCCCTTTTTCAAAGCCCGAACCCATGTCCAGTGTTCGCACTGTCAGCCGCTAAGTCCCTCATCCTAGCAGCTCATTTCTGCAATTCCACACTAGCAACACTCTCATCCAATGATTCCTAGCCAAGATGTTGGATTTTCACGTGCCGCAGACCCGATCATGAATCATGATTGAATAAATTCCCCCGACACCCTTCGTCCGCACGTAAGGCTGAGAGATTTTTCTCGTGCTGACATGACCCCTGGTCCGAGATCTCAGTCGTCGAAATGCTCTTCTCATCGTCATCGGCATCACTCACTGTGGTGCTTCTTTTAACACAATGGATCCATTCCACGATCGCAGCACAATGCTACTACTCCGACGGCAGCAAAGCAGACGGCAGTTACCAGCCATGCTTCCCGAATCAAGATAATAGCCCCTGCTGCGCGAATAACAAGCCCAAGGGCATGGCCAACGATATTTGTTTGACGAGTGGACTGTGTCTGGCGCAGATGCAGGGCTTCGCCGGGTTGATATATCAGAATGGGTGTACCGATCAAACCGGAAAGAGCAGCCAGTGTCAGACGATATGTTCTGGCTGTAAGTTCGATAAACATACTTCTAGTGGCTAAAGTTCGACTTTTAATGTATTGGTTTACATATAGCTACATCGGGCGGAATCCACCTTCTCCCTTGCCCGGCCAAGGGTGTTGACCAGTGGTGCTGTAGCATCAACGGGACAGACTGCTGCAATTCCGCGGCGACAGTCAGCATCGGCACTATCTACGGATACACGAGCACATCGGCATCGTCGACATCAACATCAACATCAACAGCAACCGGGACCGGTACGATAGCCACAACGACGGTCACCACGACGGCCGCGGCCAGCAACGGTACGGGGGTCTGCACGGATTCAAGCTCGAAGACGACCGCGGTCGGGGCTGGAGTCGGCGCCGGTCTGGGTGCCTGCTTGGTTGCCTCGCTATTTGCGCTCTGGTTCCAGCGACGGATGTATCAGAGGAAATTACAGCAGAGTGGCGGATATGCGGGTTACAGTCCTGCCAATATGACATATGCCCAGTCTGGTTATTCGAATCCGTCGAGTGGCGCTCAGCGGATTGTTTCCGAGTTGGGGTCCAACCAAGGAGTCATCCATGAGGCGGATGGACGCGAGGCACCAAAATGATCTCTCGCTCGTGCAGACTGCTATTCGTAGATAGGAGAGGCTGAGGATGGCATTATGTCTGTTACGCGACCCTCGACCGCAATTTCCGACCGGATTAATGTGCCAGCTTGTGAAACGACTCCTTGCTTTTGACCGCGTGCACAATCTCCAGCTCACTCATGGAGGCCAAGTGTTGTTGCCTTGGTTTGATCATACGTAGGTTTTGCCGGGCAACCCCCAGCGAATGGCTTTAGAGCTATTTCGGGACATCCGTCGTAGGGCTTGAGTTAATCCACAGGCTCATTTGCTGAATTTTGTTGGTGAAGGAAGCTTCTGTTAAGGAGAGGTTGAAGTTGTGGATATGTGATAGATTAATGGTTAATAATTGTTGGAAGATGATGCGATGGGTCTCCATCCACTGCGTCATCTCATCGCCGGTTTCTTGGCCATCCATGTCCAAAGTGGATTGCGATCTGCACCGGTGACATCGATGGAATAAACAATCCAACCCGAACCTATAAATTAATTCTCCTGCTTTAAGTAGTAGTTTGAGCTTTAGTATTCGTTGAGTAAATTTGGTGAAAGTTGTGGTGGGCAGATCAAGCCGTAGTTATATATCTCAACATGCATCGGCTTTCTACACTCCTCCTGGCCTTGGGGTCTGTCACCCTGGCAAACACCAACTCGAATAACTTCAATCCCCTGCACCATCTGGCCGGAATCTCCCCATACTTCACACCAAATGAGCCTCAATTGGATCCATCGGTACCACAGGGCTGCAACGTCACCCGCGCAGCTTATCTTGTCCGCCATGCCGCCATCTACGCCAACGATTTTGACTACGAGAGCTATCTCGAGCCATTCATCCAGAAGCTGCAAAATACAACACAAGATTGGTCCAAAGCGGGAAGCCTCTCATTCCTGAGCAAGTGGAGCGCACCCATCACAGAAGCCCATATCGAGAAACTCACCCGAGTCGGTCTGCAGGAGTCGATGATGTTTGGCATCAACATCCATGGCAAATATCCAGACTTCAAAACACCAACGAACGTATGGACGTCGACAGCTGAGAGGACTGTCAAGACCGCAGAGGGGTTTATCCTCGGATTCACTGGCAACCAAACGACCCAGATTAATCTCACCCAGGTCGGCGAATACAAGCACGCTGCAGCCAACTCATTAACCCCATACGAAAGCTGCCCAGCATACAGCTCCAGCTACGGCTCCAAGCAGTCAAGCGTACGTCCCATCAACTCAACCCAAACACTAGCTAACAACACCAGGAATTCGTCTCCCGCTACACCAAACCCATCATCGCGCGACTCCAAACGCAAGCCCCCTCCTTCAACTTCACCGCCGACGACATCGTGGCCATGTTCGAGCTCTGCGGCTATGAAACCGTCATTCGCGGCTCCTCGGCCTTCTGCTCCCCCGACCTCTTCACCGCAAACGAATGGCTCGCCTTTGAGTACGGAAACGACCTCATGTACTTCCACAACACAGGCTACGGCCGCGAATTGTCCCCCGCCATCGGCTTCCCCTGGCTCAACGCAACGAGAACCATCCTCGCCGATGATTCGGCAGCTCAAGACCTCTACGTCTCGTTCACCCACCGCGAGCTTCCACCAACTGTGCTTACTGCGCTGGGCCTATTCAATAACAGCGCCTACTCGGGCGCGTACAATATCAATGCCACCATGCCTACGGACACGATCAACTACGGCCGCGTGTGGAAGAGTAGCCAGATCTTGCCGTTCCTGACAAACATTGCGATTGAGAAGATGTCATGCGATACCTATGGGTATGAGGACGGGGTGTACTACCGCGTTCTGGTGAATGAGGGTCCGCAGCCGCTTGTTGGGTGTCGCGATGGGCCGGGAGAGAGTTGCTCGGAGGAGGCGTTTGGGCAGTTTGTCCAGCAGCGGGGGGAGAGGTATGGTGATTTTGGGAAGGCGTGCCGTGTGGATTATGAGAATTCGACGGATGTCTTGTCGATTTATCAGTAGCGGGGGTTGCAGTCTCTTGAGTGAGATCAAATATATCCATACTCATAATACTTGAGGTCATGCAGAAGATTCATGGCCAGGAGACTAGCTTCCAGACCATTAATTGCAAAGCAACAAACTCATCATATACGTCTAGTTATCTACAAGCCCCAATCCCCCTACACGCCTCATACGGCTCCCCCACCGCAACCATATACCTCGCCGGATCTCCCAGGAACCCCCTCCGAAAGTCCAAACACCGCTTGTCGACAAACAACCCGCCCCGACAAGTCACGTCAACCGCATACCGGAAGAGCTGCTTGTTGCCGCGGACATTCTCCGCGCCGCCCTGCTCCGCGTCCCGGATCTTGGCGTCCACGCTCATGGCGTAGTGCAGGCAGTCTGCGCAGTAGGCGGTGTTGCTGTGGGTGGATGTCCCGTGCCGGGCGTAGAGGTAGAGGGCTGTTTGTTAGTAGTTAGTAAGAGTGTAAGTTTTGGGAACTAGTGTGGATGAGGCTTACTGCATGTGAGGGTGAAGAGACAGATCACGGTTAGGATTAAATGTGTTAGGGTCGGCTTCAGCATTGTGTTCATGTTCATTGTGATGGATATTGACCGGGATTCTGACAGGGAAGGCAACAATCATACATGATGCAGCTGGGGAAACCCGGAACGTGGTAAATGTGGGGAATGATACGTGGCGCTAGGCCTGAATCTGATTGATGTCAGATCCCGGTTAGGAATAGCTCGTCACAGGTCTTGGAAGTATGAGAGACTGAGAGAAATTTGATCAGGTATTGAGATAATTGATATTGTTCATCTCGGCCAAGGGAACTATCAGCTCATTCTATAGGTTTAGTGCCAAGTGATATGGGACCAGCCAGTCGTCCTCGCAGTCATAGGAAATCTTCAAGGTACTAGAACTTGTGCTATATGGGTGTAGATTCAAATAGCCAGTTTTTTTTTTTTTTTCATCTTCAAATCTAGAGTATCAGACGAAGCCAGCCAGTAGTAAATGAGTTGCAGCAATTATAGCCATATTCTCTTGATATGAGGATCATTCCTCGCATTGTCCAGGTGCCTCTGCGTGCCTCTGCCAAAATGTCGTCAAGATATTTAAGGAAGAACCCCCAACCTTCGCCCAATGAATATAAACAAGATTCAAACAGCTGAACACATGATTAGCTTGTAACTCCCGAATTCCTCTATAGAATCTTACCTTTGACTTGTTGTCAATTTTCACGATCTGAAAAGTGAAACCGTCAGTGGCAATCCCATATACCACACTGTTCTTTTCGCCTCTGTCCTTCCGATTCCTATGAACTATTCCTATTTTCTTGGTTAGCATTTCCTCTTCTCTGTCCCGTTGTCTGAGGAAAATAAGCCATCACTGCTTGACTTACCCATATAAGCCAACAAAGGATTGTAGGCATCGCCCCATCTTTCCTTTGCCACAACGACAGCAAGCAGATCTCTTCGCTGCCCCTCCGGGTTGATGAAAGTGATGGTATTATCGGACCAGGCAATCAGTCGCCGTGTCTCCATCTGAAAAGGGTGGTACATGTCCTTTACTTTTGCCGTGCCCCAATCAAGCTCATACGTGCCAGGAACAGTTCGAGCCTTCTCAAACCGCTCCACTGCAGCTTCCAGGTAGGGCAACAGGATAATACGGCATCTTTCTCGAACGTATTTCCATGGTTTGCGCTGAGCTCGCCTGCTGTTGTCTAATTTCTCCAGCTGTGAACCTGAGAGGGTGTAAGTCGGCTTTGTGCCTCTAAGGAAAGGGAATAGAAAAACGAACAAAGCTTCGGGCCTACATTGTAGGGTTCCGGGGGTAGTCGAGGCTCCACATTGTCTGGATCCCCGTAATAATCCCAGCATCGTTGGGCCCTCAGTCGAAAGTTCGACCGAAAGGTGTCACGGGTGTACGACTCGGGGTCTGAGGCATACCAGGAGTAGACACCTAGAGCGGGTTCTGTCGCTTCAGGATCTCGTGATGAGATGTCTCGGAGCCCTATTTGGATCAGTTCATCTCTTTCTTGACGAGTGCTACCCCTTATTAGTAGTTTGTCGATGTAAAGTAAGATATCCAACACGAGGAGCTTGAGCGCATCCATTTTGGCTCAGTTGATCGCGAAGTTATGATGCTGGATGGTGGTGCAGGTAGCGAGTTGCAATCTTTTTATCTCAATATGTACGTCATGTTGAGCGCTTGATTTTTGTCTTTGCGATGCACGACCCAAGCAGCTTGTTCCTTTGGTTCCTCATTTGGGAGTCCTCTCAAATTATACAATTTCGTTGATACCACCTTCCTTTGGTATTCGATCCCGTTTCTCCATGTCACGCTATACAGTTCGTTGCGACTACTATGCAGTCCTCAAAATCCCACACTCCGCAGACCTCGCTACAATCACAAACACATACAAGCGGCTGGCTCCGGAGTTCCAGCTGGTGCGAGGTGCTTGCTGGGACCTGCGGGCAATAATTAATACGATGAGATTCAGCTCAGCGAAGCATACGAAACTCTTCGCGACGAGGACAAGCGCAGAGAATGTGGCAGCACTTATCTGCAAGCCGACCATTGCGACGGCAGTAAGCACCGGAAGCAAAACAGCACGGAGTCCTCTGTTAGCATCCCCGCGGTGATCGAGAGGGCTCGTAGACTGGTAGCACTTTATGGACAGCTCCAACGGGTCCAGGATGAGATCGAGACACTCACCCACGAACTCGGAAAGGACCTGTTACAGCTATCAGGGGGACCGATAGTCTAAGAGGAGAGACAATGCAGGAGAAGAGAAAAGGCAGCAGGGAGACATGGTGCCGCTACGTCTGCTTGTTTATGCTGGGGAGAAGACCGGAAAGCCAGTGCATCAATTAACATATTGAGAAAGAATCTTAATGGTTTTTGCCATCTGAGCATTAGAGAGGCTTTTGTGTCCAAGAGACGGGCTCTAACAACATCTCAGTAACTGGGCGCTTTAAGGGTATATAATTCTGAGGGAGGGGATCTTCTAGCCTGTGGCGCAGAGTACATCCAGGCAGAGATCATTCCTGAGGGTCTATTATGTACTCGTTATTTATGTTGATTGTACGCGGTTCCATAACCGCGATGAGAACCAAGGTATTGGGCTAATATAGTAAAGCAAAAGAAAGCAAGGCCGCTGAGAGAATCATTCAAATCAGCCTTGTCCATCAAGATAAAGTTCATTCACTGGCAATAGCAAAAAAACTAACTAAGAGTATTAACTGACAAATGTCTCAGAAGCATGCAGCTGAGGTGAATATCCACCATCATCTATTCTATATAAGCCCCTACGATCGCCCTGTCTCTCCATCTTCTATCCTCTCCTCATCAGTCGTGGAAAACCTATAATCCAGAAACCAAACCCACCTGCCTGTTTCCTTCGTCTGCCAATAAAAAAATGCTCGGAAATTTCCTCTTCATGTCATGTGCATTTACCTAGCGTCGACAAGAGCGAATGCTCAGCAGTTACGGGGCCTCTAGCTTTGACAACTCATCTGAGGTTATCTCGTTACGGTTTTTCCATGGATGGCAGAGCTTTAAACAGGATGTTCTCAATGGACTGGGGGCTACCTCTCCGCCGGGGTCCAGGCGGTCCGAACTGGTCGGGACCTCCGCCGGACCTCGGTGGGGGAGCTCACTCAAGAGGAGAGAGTAAGTATTAGGCATATAGATCCGATATTTACTAAACAGATGCTAACTTGTATAGGCTGTCGAACACCAGGCTCTGCAAATGAGCATGGCCAACATAGTCGAGCTCTTCCAGCGATATGCAGCTCGGGACGCTCAGATCCGGGGCTGAACAATGCCTCCAGCCGGCCGGCAGCCCAGCTCCTGAGGCTGGGCTTCCCGAGGCTGGGGAGACTGAGGGAGGAGAAGAAGAATGAGGCCAAGGCAATCCAGAAGATGAAGTGATGGGGCCAAGAGGCCCAAGAGCATGCGCTTGCGGACATGGAAGGCACTCTCCGTTAATTCGGAGGAACAGATATCGACCAAGACACAAATTCGAAATCGGTTATTGGATTGGCATCAAGATCGGGACAATGGGAGCAGAGGCTACTGAATACCCGCGGCTCGACAAAGGCAAATGGGTCGTACACACTTCCCTTCTGCTGTCTGGGACTATACGCCGGTTTGCTTTGATAGGGCTTGAGGGCTGTAACCGTCTAGAGCTCGTGCTCTGCCTTTGCTGATTTACGCTGGCGTGCATTCTGATACGTTGATGACGTTCCATGACGAGTATCGGCGGCCAGAAAATGAAGATTATGAAGGCGCAGTAACTGACGTCTGGGACTTAATCCTCAACCATTATTTCAATCCGAGTAATGGTTTTGTCCACAGAACGGGCGACTTACTCGAGGGGTCTTCATTATTATGCCCAACACAGCCAGGCGGGTGAGTGCTCTATATATTCTCACACATCGCAAGAGGACTTCAACGGAGAAAGATGAAGGGACCAGGGACGAGCAAAGGCCTAGCTGCGGAGATACATGCGAGCACTGAACCCTTGTCAAGATTGGATACTAGATCAGAAACGAGGTCAGGACATTGAAACCAGACGCGTCCGAGTTCCCACAATACGACAGAGACAAATGGACCGTCTTCCATTTTCACCATGTTCCCTTCCTGGCATCTCAACAGGTGCCTAGGGCTATAGCGATGTTGACTACCCCCTACTACGCAGACCAAGCCTGGTATAATTGGTACCGGCTTTGATGGGTTAGCTCGGGGCTCCGCATCCAACTGAACGATCCCTTGAGGCTCGAGCCGATGTCACAGTTATGAACGCCCCAAGACGTTCTTTGCGGCGTTTCCGCAGCTTGACTCGAATATGGTCAGCATCACGGGACACATTATGGGTGTTCATGGTGCTCTGACAGTGGTACGTTGACCTGTCCAGGGTCAACTGACGGGCTCTGCCATGCCACTGACCAGACAACGAAAACAGACGACTGCCACCCACTTCCCTTCTTCTCAGATGAACTCAATCGACTAAAGCAAGCCAAAAATGCATCTGAAGAACAAGGGGGTAAAAATGAATGCAACATCGGATGCGATCTTGAACAGCTGAACCAAGCAGAGACCACTCTTTCCGCAGCGAAGCGACAGGAACCATCAAAGGTTCTCAGTTGAAGGATCTGGACAAACACGGATACAGTTAACGTACCTGAAGAACGATGGATTCGCAGAACGACCTCGACCCTGGCACCCTCCCTCAGGGCCTTGAAAAGCCCGAAAAGCTCGCGAAGCAGATTAACTGTCCGGAGCGCACTGCTCTCCACGACGCAGCAGTGACCGAGAACATGACCGGGTCGCTTTAAGTTCACACACAAGTATGTTACGTCCTCTTTAACTTCTTGCATATCTAATCAAGAGTAGGAGCTCAGTGACAAACGTCCAAAGCCAGCAAGTTTAACACGGAATCGCGCTGAGATGCTCTCTTTCTCTCACTAGGCCAACATATATCTCACTTGACTGATACCATACTCCCGCCTCTTCTCATGGCTTTGGCTTGTCAGCTATTAAGACTTTTTAAGCCCTCACTGCCAACTTATTACTCTGTACGCACTATATGGATGGAGCACTGATTTGTGTCAGGGTGGTCTGCTAACTTAGTATATCACTGATAGTCTCCATCATCATCAACAAGGTTGCATCTCGCAAAATGCCTACAAAGCTCAAGCCTAAGAAAACTATCAAGTCCACTGCTCCAGCTCTGAATACATCCTAGTACTGTACACATTCAAGCACTTTGCATAACATCTACTTGAACACCCAGAGTACTACAATATTGAAGGGGCACTCCGGAAAAGGGCGATCAAGGTACGGGAGGACCAGCGAAACCCAAGGGGCTGGTATTGCTGGGGATTTCTAGCTATGGCTGGGCTTCCTGAGAGCTGTTCAGGCCTGTCATAAAAGCCATACCTAGCAGCAATGGATTCTGGGTTGCACACTGCAAGTCCGGGATCTATATACACATTGGAATATTAAGGTTAATGAACACAGTGTCCAAGGCCATTTCTAGAAACTTTTTAGAGACATCCTTGACACTATTTCTATGTCGCAATCGACTACTTAGCAAAACATCAATCTCTATTTTACAGATCTCAAATGTATACCTTCGACATACCCTGGCACGTCTTCCTGAAAGACACAACCACGTCTTGACGATCGTTAGGGAGCTTACGATCGTTAGGGAGCTTAAGGCACCCTGGATTCCCGAGCATCACGTACTCGAGCTGCGCAGCGCGCTGGTCTGAGGAGGCAAGTGCGGCATGAACGCTTCCCCCAGAAGCCTCTGTTCTGACCACACGACCTGACTCGAGATCAGCTGGACGGCGCACATCATTCTGGTCCGACGGCGGCCACAGTCGGGGAAACCAGTAGTGCAGCCATGCCTTGACAGGGAGCAGCATAATCAGCGCAATCCAGCCTACTTGCATGATGGGTGAGTATATAACATAACTTGCCTTGGAATTTGTGTGGTCGCGCGAGGAGAGGAAAAAGAAGACAATGTGAAATCGAGCAGGAAATCCTTGTAAACCCACGGTGGAAGCTATGCTTAGAAATGCAAAGGGACACCCGCACCCAATGCAAGTTCTCACCCCTTTCCCCCTCATTCTCCTTCACCTTCTTCTATTCGAGAGCTTCGAAGCGCGGGTTCCGCCAGAGTTTCACCACTCTCTGCCCAGGCAATATTCAACGACATCGTTCACCAGATTCCGAAAATCAAAGAATTCAGAGCCGGCGTAGGTTCTAGATATTCCACCAGTCATGGACGAGTTGTCCGAGGAGGTACCTGAGTCACAATTATGAATTGTCTATCCAGCTGCAAAGCAGTAGTCTTTGACACACATGGAAATGGCGGCACCCTTTGCTGGGGCCAGCAATTCAGCATCTATCAGCTGGATCATGGCTTATTGGTATGACAATGTGAAGACGAATTCTCCCGCAATCTACCGAGACAGCAATAGCATATATCGCCAGTATCGTCAATTGGTGGAACGGTACTGGCAAGCCCGTCTCAATTTCGACGCGAAGACCTGTTTATTGAAGATTAATCCAGTACGGGCAATACACTCGTCGTAAATGTAGGTCATTTCAATTATTTAGTAATACGTTGTCATAGTTATGAACAAAAATGTGGGGAATCAAATTAACATGCTCAACAGCACAGACAAAAATAAATAAACCGAGAGTAAAGGGTCATCAAGCATCGGCCAACCGAAGGTATATACCATCCCCGCATGGGATCAATCAGTCTCCGGCCGCTGGCCGTAAATGATATGTACCTTGGTGTAAAGATGGTAGGTTTGGAAATCACGCAGTTCCTTGCGCATACCCGCGACGAGGACCTCGATCTCGGGGCGTGACCAGCCGAGATACCGCGTAAAAAGGGCGAACGAGTAGGGGCCGACGGCTTCGAACATGTTGACTTGGTGGTAGCGACCGAGTTCCTTGAGCTTCGGGTCCTTGGGCCAGGGGCTCTGGGGGAGCTGCAGGACGGTCAGTATGGCTTTGGCTAACGACTCCGACGTGAGTAGTACCTTGTATATGTCCTCGCGGACGTTAATAAAGCCTGCCTTCTCCATCTTCTCCTTCCATGTGACCGCCGTTGTCATGTCTTTTCCATGCTTCTTCGATGCCAGATGCATGTTCTTGATCCCCTCGATCATGTTAACGGCCTTGAGGTGGGTGCCGTCGTCGGAATACGAGTTCACGTCCATGGAAGCCATTTCTAGCCAGCCGCCTGGCCTCAGGTTCTCATATGCTTGTCTGAAGAGCTTGTCATGGTCGCGGATGGCTCCTTCGAGTTCGCGGCCGTGGATGTAATCGAACGGTTGGCTGTAGGACCAGGGTAATTCGAAGTCGTCGATCTCGAAGCGGCAATTGGGAGGGATCCTGGTGAAATTAACGCGCTGTCCGATATGATAGATCAAGGAAGGTGTACCATGAGGGTTGGATGGGACTGAGATCATTTCCTGAAAGCAGTCAATCTGTTAGCCACTTGCAATGCGCGCTCCTGCAGTCCACAACATACCGATGACCTCTGACTCCGGATGCTCGCTGCCGCATCACATTAGTTGGTTGCGTCCATCGCAAATGATTCAAGGTTTTCTCACTCCGCAAAATCAATCGCCCATATTCCAGTACCGGTTCCGATATCCAACACTCGTCGGGGGTTCTTGATCGGCGCGGCGTGCAGTTCACCTTTGAGAAGGATGCGATAGATGTGGTGGCTCTAGTGGAGAGATGATTGATTAGCTAAGGACGGACCCCGGTCAAGGGGCAGAGTCGAGTCGGCACTAACCAGGTCCAGGCGGTCTTGTTCTTGCTCGTCATTGGGCTAAGCAGTCAGCTTCGCGCATTATGAGAACTATCGCATTAGGGAAGAGTATATACCAGCACGTATTCACCCTCGTGGAAAGAATGATATCTGCGACCGTTCTAATGCGGGTTTTAGTATACTGCCTGCGACAAACGCAGCAGAGGCGGTACCTCGTAGCTGTTTCGGCTAGATTAGTAGCGGCAAAAGTGAAAACAGAGGCAAAGATCAATGCGTACGTGTAGGCCATGGCACTCGATGTAATACTGGTGGTGTAGCTGGCGTCTCCAAGCCTGTAGTGATGTTAGTCGGGGTACCGGAGCGTGCGACAGAGAGGCGACTGACGAGCCATTGTAGGCGGAGTCGGCGTCGGTAAAGTCCTACTCATCCGTTAATCCCAGGGCAGAGGCATAGCTTGTGATGAGGCGCAACCAACATCAGGCTCGATGACATGTGGATTCTGCTGTTGTGGATGTGGAAGCGGCTGTGGAATTGGACTGGCCATGATGGCTGGTGATGGTGATGATGGAGGTGGTGGTGGAGTGGAGGAAGATCCGAGGGATAGAAGAGAACAAAGAATGGAAAAGTCAAAGGGAAAAGATAAGATTTCCTGGTTGGTATGGGGAAGAACCAGAAAAGAACAAAAGTTGGTTAGACTTAAGACACTTTAAAAAAAAAGAGTAGTGTGTTTAGTCCAGTTCGCAGGAAGATCGAGAATAATAATAATGATTTTCAAGGAAGAATAATGTGACTTGTCCAACTGCCGTGCATTTCTCGATCCCTTTTAAGTACCTGACTGTCTGTCACTCGTGCAGCCTTCATTAGCCTATCTCCGTACAGATTATCTGCCACTCAGTTCGACCGAGGGTCTAGACTTCCTCATACGGCAAGACGCAGAGCATTATCATCCACTGCTATGTTCTTTATTATTTCCCAGAGATGGAATGCTCCAATTTGCAGCAGCCCTGCAAAGAACCGAGATTATGCAACGTACTTTGTGCATATCTGAGACAGATCCCGAGTCGCCGACCGACTTCCTAACCTGACTAGGACGACAAGGTTACAAGGTCGCCAGGTCGATCGAGGGCATCCTTATCCATTTTAGGAGACTCACAGCGTTCGTTAAGGGTAGCGGTTGTTAGACTCCGTTAGAGCGGTCCACAAGCGTTCAAGTGCACCCGCGGGGCATCGGACGTAGGTCTGGATAGGGAAGGCTAAGGCGTCTGAGAGCCACTCAGACACGCGGTCAATTTACAATCCCCGTCCTGAAGAATCACTGTGCCTTCTGACTTGTTAAACGAGGCGAGGGTGGAGAAGGGCTGTGGTGGTACTAATGTGGGTACGGACTGTGGACAGATGTACATGGATGTTCTTTTGACTTGTGTCACTGTTGAGTAACTCGGCTTGGATCGAAAGTATATCCCTCTAGACTGGCCATTGATATCAGTGATCACCGTGATATTGAAGTCTATCAAAAGCCTGGCCATTATCGAACATCAGATGAGCAGTACCACGATGGATGCCTTGTCCCTCCCTAGGTACCTTAGGTATCTAGCCTTCAGTACAGCGTAAAGTACAATATAATACTCATACACAAACGTACAGTATTCACCCACTATGGCTCCTTTTTACCTGAGACACGCCGTCCCGTACTGTATAGTACGTAAATAAAATTCACGTGGCAGGCAATAGTCTACCTGGTTGCACTGTGGATATTTGTTAGGAAGATCGATGAGATGCATCCACTACCTAGCCGAAAGAAATTAATCATTGAATGCCCACGTCTTCTGCCTGTAATCTTATTCTCAACTGGTCACTCGGGCGTTAGCTAACGTCGGAATATAATTCCGTACCCATCTAATCCGTCTAGGTTCTCTCTACCAAATACCACTCGGCTCAGACAGAATGTTTACCTTACCCTCCACCAGATTCTCCTGTCATCCATTGCCACGTCATACGTTCCACCCGATTTCGCTCGGCTCTTCGTATGTGGTGGACTTGATATCAATAATTGCTACTCCGTACAATTGTTCATATTTGAAAATGAAACTGGTCTGATCCGCTTCGATTGCGGTGGATCACCCCGGTTGCCTTGAGTCAGTTCATCAGCCCACACCGGCGTCTCATCTGCCTCTCGAAAGTCCTCTTTGCGGAGCCGACTCGAATATCCAACAAAGGCCGCATGCAGCATTAACATCGTCAATTTGACTGAAATCGGTCACAAGGCAAGTGGGACCGAGCCTGACTACCAAAGTCTATCAACGAGGAGTTGAGAATCAAAAGGACGGGAACGCCGGATGTTGCCGTGTGCGCCGTTTGTGGAGTATCAGCCAATGCGTAATTGGCACATCCTACGTGCCTTTCAGGATACGTGCAGTAAATCTATCCAACAATTCGCTCATCTCTCTCAAATTCAAGATTCTTACGTCTTTTGTACACCGTACTTTTGTCGGGTTAGGTGCAGGATTTTCTCTCAGGGTTGCGGAGGGCTCCGAACTTACACGAGAACGGGAAGTGGGCGAAGATCTTTACCCATCTACGAGGTCGACACTGTTGATACGCTATGACATTGAGCGGAAAAATCTGGTTGCCTTTGGCGCAGGTGTGAAAGGGAGCGCTCCATGGCATTTCCCGTCTAAAACAGTGCGACAAATGTACTGTACCCAAAACAGACATTCTTTTCGCATCCGCTGGATACCGTCAATCATCTCAATAGTAGGTCATCGAATATCAATAGTACGTGTGCGCCACTTATCGACAAACTCCTCTCGACAGGATGGACAAGGACCAATCCAGGTCTCCGCAAGCACTTGACCGGCAGGGACTAAGGCATCCTCATCCACGAACCTACGTATCATCTGCTTCTCTACCCTTATGCTCATACGCGGGCTCTGAACTGGACTATGTCCATGCAGTCTAACTGCATTTTAATGGGGAGAGTCCGGAAAATATATCCTCGCAAGTACAGCACTGTCACGATGCCACCTAACAGCGATTGTTTTTTGTTTGTCTATGGAGCGGGGTATGATGCTTGGCATCTAGACCTCATCAGTCGTTCTCCTCGTCTAGTCCGATTATCGACGAGGCAGACACGGGACGGTGAAGCTTAGCGCCTCGTATTCTCCCCTTGTGGCCTTCTCAATCTGACCACGTTCACTATCACGGAATCACTCCGCACCCCTGCAGTCTTGAGTCAGTTCATCGAGGCTCTTTCGGTGATGCGTATATAACTCGATACCGCCCCAGGAGTCATAACAGATGGTTGGGGTACCGCGAAGCGCTGGCTGTCGCACCTGCATCCAGCGGCGGATCAAGGTGGGTTTCCTACCTTAGCTGCATGGACTGGGCAGCCGCAATAAATAATGTCGTAATATCTAATTCTCAAGCCCTATAGTGTGATGAGGGCCGGCCGGAATGTCGTCGCTGTCGCGACAGAAACGTCAAATGTCCAGGCTATCAGCGCCGAGTGAAATTCTACCACCAGACTCCGGCATCTATTAGAAGTCGCAAGGGGAAAGAGAGTCGACATGTCGCTGCGTCATCGGCTGGCCATGCGCTCATACCACGGGCGAGCATGGATGGGAAATTAGCTCCCGGCCTGGCGTCCACAGCAACAGACACGCAGATGAAGGAAGTATTCCAGTACTTCGTCATGGTCTCCTTTCCCGGCCTGTTCTCCGCATGGCGGAACAGAGTCCAGATCAACTGGCTAGACTTCGTTCGATACCACCTCGACACCTCGTCGCAGGCCCTGATCTGGAGTCTCCGTACTCTGAGCGTATGGCACCTCGGTCGCGAGCATAACGACCAAGAGAAGATCTTGGCCAGCCGGCACCTCTACGGCCGCGGTCTACAGCACTTAATCTGCTCATTACGCAATCCCCGCACCGCCACCTCACACTGGACCCTCATGGCTGCCATCCAACTTGGGATATACGAAATGCTGGACGGGCTCGGCGAGAAATCCTGGCTGATTCATTCCAGGGGAATTGGCAAACTATTCCAGCTTCGCGGTCCTGAGGCGCACCGCGATGGATTCGGTCGCACGCTACTGGTGGCGTACCGCCCGTTTCTAGTCGCTGACGCGTTCGTCTGCCAGGAGCCGTGCTTTCTGGAGGAACAGGGATGGCGAGCCATTGTCCACGACACTCTGAAATTTGAACGCAGCGCTGGGAAAAGCTGTCAGCTGGGCGAGATCGTCGAGCTCGCTTTCAACGAAATCGTACTCTGTCCGGGGCTCTTTGCGCAGACGCGCGACTTTGTCTCACGGACTGGGGTTAAGTCGGAGATACTACGAGAGTCGCTAGTGGCTCAGATCACTCGTTGTCGGGATAGACTCGTCGAACTGGAAGGGCAAATGGGGCCATTGTTCGTCAAATATAATAAGAAGAAGGTGATCAAATGGGACGAAGACACGGAAAGTTCTATTCCTACCGAGTTTGCCGGAAAGGTATCCAAATTCGCATTCCGAGGCACGCGATCTGCCATTGCGGTACTCAACCAGCTCTTGGTTTTGATAGAAGCTGATATGACCCGTTCATCCTTGGATACAAAGTCGCATTGCCCGAGTACTATATGGAAGCTACCAGCGGGAAGCATGGCCTCGTCACAGTCGCAGAAGAAGCAAGTGATTGCATACGACGCACATGAAGATGACTCCCCGGATCGATTGGACCAGCTTGCATTGTCGATGGGCATGCTAGCGATCAGAACATGACTGCCTCGTGCAATTTAGTATTCAAGCATCAGCTCCGTAGGAGGCTAAGTGTCATTGAAAGCCAGGATACCGAGCGTGACTGAAAGGCCGTCGGCCCCACGTTCGGGTCGACTCAAAGGACATGCAGAGTCCGATACACCCGATATTGATTATCGGACTGTGCGCTTCACGCCGACAAAGATCAATGTTAGGAGCCTTGTGTTCCGTTGCTTTGGGCCTTTCGGGTTGCGAACCATAGACGACGCACACAAAACATTTTCAACGTTCGTGTCCTGAAAGATGGATTCTAGCGCCTGTCGCCCGGTGACAATCTGACCAACGCATTCGCTGTTTTCTTGGCAGATACAACCTACCGGCATTATAGCAAGACTGCTACATGTAACCGATGCCATATTTGGAGATTTTCCGAACAGCCATGCTTCGTCTCACCAACCACTTCGAGCGCAGCAATGAAGGGGAACAATTCAATGGGAGCAAATGGCGAAAACCGCCTTACCAGCATTTGAGGTCTGGTTGAAGCATCATTGTTCCCCGCAAGTGTTAGATATGTCGACAGCTTGTGCATGGATTGTAGAATCGAGAGTATCATACGTCTCGCTGGTATCATGGCCAATCAGTATACGGTTTGAACTATTCTACGTCCGCTGCAACGGCCTATGATGATCAGGTTCGCCGCTAAGATAATAATAAAGTCCATTTTCAGAGTATCTTAGTCATTGGTGGCTTGCACATATTTGACAGGAAACACTGAACTACAATTCACTGGTATTAAGAGTTCATCCCTGTAAGCACAGATCTGGGTTGAGTTGACAGCTATCTACGCTGTGAAATCATACCAACAATCACCTACAGACACTGTGAATAATAGGCGTTCTGCACCTGGCACGTATACGGCGACACACAGGTCGTCGGCCCCGTCCAGCCCTGACCACCACATTGTCCCCAATGCTGCGCTGCAGCAGTCGACGTCGCCGTGACCGCTGTCGTCGTGCTCGTGCTAGTAGCTGTAGCAGTGGCCGTCCCCGTCCCCGTCGACGTTGCCGTATAACTCCCACCCGGGAAATAGGGCGACAGAATCGACAGATAATACTCATACGCCGGCCCACTCGGCGGCTCCATACTATAGATATAAGTCCCCCACCAAGGCCCAGCAGCCCACCACTCCGCCCCAAGCCAGACATTCGCATTTGCCTCCATATAATCCAGCATCCCGGTCACAGCACTGGCACAAACGCTATTCGCGCCGCCGGCAAACTCCCCCAGAAACGCTTTCTTGCCGTTAGCGATGAGCCAGGACGTCGCGGACGCGATGCGTTCCTGCCCGATTGTCGAGGAGACGCATGTGGACGAGGTTCCCGAGCCGTCGCTGTCGAGGTACTGGTGCATTTCGTAGATGAGTTTGCCGGCGACGGGGTCGGTGAGGGCTTTCAGGTTGTCGTTGACGGATTCCCAGGTCCAGGCGCCGGACCAGGAGTTGCCTTCCACGAAGATGTATTGGGATGTGGCGCCTGCGGCGCGGATGGCGTTGATGGCGGCTTGGTTGAGGTTTAAGACGTTGGTTTGGTCTTCGGTGTTGAACTCGTTGTCTGGGTGGGTTGGTTAGCTAGAGCTTTGAAGAAGAGGAAGGGGATGGGCCTTACTGGTGTCGAAGATGACGAGGCTGTTGTCCTTGAATTGCTTGGCGACGGTGGTCCAGAAGGCGGCAAAGTCGCTGGTTGAGTTGATAATGTTGCCGTAGCTAGTTCTCTTAGTGGATTCTTAATTTGAGATGGAGACTTACTATCGGCCATAGTTATGCGGGTCGACGATGGCGTGGGCACCGGTGGACGTGATGTAGTTGATGGTCTAGATGCCGTCAGCAGATGGTCACACCCTTAGAGCATGACATACCGAAACCAGATCAGCCATGTACGTCGCATCAGCGGTTCCGGTCATGCTGTTGGGAACGAGACGCTCCATGAGAAATGGCACACGGAAGATATTCATCCCTGCTTTCCTCAAGATACCAATGGCAGTCGTGTTGGGCCAGATATAATCTGTACCCAGCACGCCAGGAATGTTACCACTCCCAAACTCTGCTCCGGACTCACTGGAGCCAAACCCTGTAGAAGTCAGTGAATGAGCTGGTCATGCACATGGGTCTCTTACATTGGAAGGCTGAGGTTCTCTTGGTTTTGGACTTGGGGCCCGGCGCGGCAAGAGCAAGGCCTGCTGTGCTGACAGCGGTGAAGAACTGTGCAAACTTCATTGTGGAACTTGACTTTGGGAATCTGCTTTAGGAGTGGAGCTCTAATCTGGAGAGAGGTATTCATTTATATGGGATGATTGAACCATCTGGACAGATGCGAAAGGGTCAACTCCAGCAAGTATTCCTGTCCCATTTCGGCACGGAGACATGGTCAACCTTCCTTGTCTATTATCTTCTAGACGCGAGAGATTCTTACGATGTAATTTCGTCTCATTGCGGTTGCATCCATAACGGATGAATAGAGAGAAACAGAAGGTCAGCAAGGTATTCTTCAAGGCAACGGCCCGACAGCCCGTGATGCTTCTGGACATGAGAAGCAAGATATTTTCTTCACATATTAGTCGCATAAAATGTTTCACATAAATCTTCACCACATTACTCTGCATATGACTATGGAGTACATGGACTATCGCATCTGTGCGGGGAAATCATCACGCGTTAATTGCTGGAGCCGAAATGCCGGCAGTTTCAAGCAATTTTGTCTCAGGTTTAAGTTGACTTGGCTTGGTGAACTTGAGCTGGCCCAATCAATGATCCTTTTGCTTGCAGGGGTTAACATTATAGTCCACATCCTCGAATTCACCCTGGCGTGGGGCCGCGTCATCCGTGCAGACAGCAATATCAGCTTAATCTATTCCTCCCCAGATGTACTCGTCTAAGTGAGAAGAGGGATTCAGCGCAGCCGCATGGAAGAACTGTGTCCTGCTACCCGAATCACATTCAGGTACCGGAGTGCATCTGCAGATATGCACCCGTGAAGGAGGATTCGGATACGATTCTAGCAAATTGAGAGGCGTAACGAGGCACCCCCAATATGGCTAACAGATCCCTAGACGACGTCGCCTGTTTTTGCACGAATCATGGCGCCGTCTTGCCAAATTGCATCCCTTTCTGATCGAGACTATTTAGGCTGTGAAGAATTACCCCAGGATATCGCTCCGGATTCCCGCTACTTGCCTATTACGACAAGGGCAGGTCTGCAGTGAGTCCCGTTGCATGAAGTGATCGGCAAGCGAGAGGACAAGATGCTTTTGTTCGAGGCAGATAGAGAAGTATGAACATCTAACCGCTTCCATCACGGTGATAGCATCAGGAGCAGCGGTTACAGGTAGGTTCATTACCGGAGTCGCGGTCCTGTTAGCCGTCTCAATAGGTGCTCTTGCCATCCTTGAGCATTTACAAGCAAGGAATGAAGATATAAAAGGGAGATCAGAGCTTGCACTGACATACCTATCATCTCATTGTGTCCAAAACAGCATCAGACCATCAAAATGGCCGCCGCAATTTCTTTCCGAATCTACAGGAACGCATTGATCCTGTCTGCCTTCCTGTCGTCTGTTACACAGGCACAGCAGATCGGCACATACACCACTGAGACCCATCCCTCTATGACATGGGAGACCTGCACCAGCGGTGGAAGTTGTACCACCAACCAGGGCTCTGTTGTTATGGATGCCAACTGGCGATGGGTCCACCAGGTTGGCAGCACCACCAACTGCTATACCGGCAATACGTGGGATACGTCCATCTGCAGTACCGACGCAACCTGCGCCACTGAATGCGCCGTTGACGGAGCAAACTATGAATCAACCTACGGAGTCACCACCAGCGGCAGCCAGATCCGCCTCAACTTTGTGACGCAGAACTCAAATGGCGCCAATGTTGGCTCCCGTCTTTACATGCTGGCGGATAATACACACTACGAGATGTATAAGCTACTGAATCAGGAGTTCACCTTTGACGTGGACGTGTCCAACCTCCCCTGTGGCTTGAACGGAGCCCTTTACTTTGTGGCCATGGATGCGGATGGCGGTGTCTCCAAATACACCAACAACAAGGCCGGGGCCCAATACGGTGTGGGATATTGCGATTCTCAATGTCCCCGCGATCTCAAGTTCATCCAAGGCCAGGCCAACGTGGAAGGCTGGACTCCCTCGTCCAACAACAAAAACACTGGATTGGGCAACCATGGATCTTGCTGTGCCGAGCTGGACATCTGGGAATCCAACAGCATCTCTCAGGCTCTGACCCCCCATCCTTGTGATACCCCCACCAACACCATGTGCACTGGTGATGCCTGCGGCGGCACGTATAGCAGTGATCGGTATGCCGGTACCTGSGATCCAGATGGGTGCGACTTCAACCCCTACCGCATGGGCAATACCACGTTCTACGGTCCCGGCAAGACAATCGATACCAAGTCGCCCTTCACCGTCGTGACGCAGTTCATCACGAATGACGGCACTAGTACCGGCAGCTTGTCTGAAATCCGCCGCTACTATGTCCAGAATGGCGTCACCTACGCCCAGCCCAACTCGGACATTAGCGGTATTAGTGGCAATGCCATCAACACCGCCTACTGCACTGCCGAGAACACTGTATTTAACGGACCGGGTACTTTTGCTAAGCACGGCGGCCTTTCCGCCATGTCTAAGGCCATGTCCAACGGCATGGTACTGGTCATGTCGCTCTGGGACGACTACTACGCGGATATGCTCTGGCTCGACAGCACCTATCCCACCAATGCGTCTTCGTCGACCCTAGGCGCTGCCCGTGGCTCCTGCGCGACCGACTCCGGCGTCCCTGCCACCATTGAATCCGCGAGTCCTAGTTCTTATGTGATCTATTCGAACATCAAAGTTGGTCCGATCGGATCAACCTTCAGTGGCGGTTCTAGCTCTGGAAGCTCCAGCTCGACTTCGACGGCTACTAAGACCTCGACCACCTCGACTAAGACCACCACTTCTGCGACGAGCACCTCGACTGCCGTGGCGCAGCACTATGGCCAATGTGGTGGCCAGGGCTGGACTGGCCCGACTACTTGCGCCTCGCCTTACACCTGCCAGGTGCAGAATGCGTACTATTCTCAGTGTCTGTAGCGGGGATAAAGATGGAGATGAGGATGCTCAACTAAACGAAGGGCATGCTAAACGTGGACACTTTATTTCTTCTCTTTCTTCGTTTTCTACTTGAACTTATGTATTGATCTTTGACTGTCCTTATTGCTATAGCTTCTCTACAATGCAAATGTTGTTGTGCTCATCGTATTCCCATCAGCCATTCTTCCGAGGTTCCCCCGTCCTCCGGCAGTGACTCGTATCCAAGCTTGGCATATCTGCAGCTGACTATAACCTCATATTCCCCCCGATAAACCTGTTCATCCATGTCTATCCTATAACAAACATAATGACCAGCGCTACTATCCCCCAACAATACAGAATTTTCTACTGCTATTCAAGCAGCTCCCGAAATGGAGAAAAGAAAGAGAACACCATCACCTTCGAGGCCAAGGACCTAGTGACCAACGAAACCAAGTATATAATGCAAGGCATCAAGCCAGACAAATCCCAGATCGCGAGCACAACTCTCCGCAGGGAGTCTCCTCCTCAACACACATGCGTCGAGACATTCATCTCGCCAATTACCCCCGGTAACCCGGACATAGACTCAATAACAGGCCGGCCTCTAACCCACCGATTATCATCAGGCGCTGTGGTCACCGAAGTGCCGGTAACGGGGTACTGGCGACCTAGGAAATTCGAATTCAAAGGGAGGAAGTATGTCTGGCTGAAAGAAGGCTTGCAAACCAGGCTTTATGAATACTCATCGTCGAGATCGGTGGAGAAGCGAAAATCCACGGTGACGGAGTTTGAGACTGTTAAACCGGCGCTTGCCAGTGAGACCATGCCGTTCTGGGCTGGGCTGTTCATGAGTCGCTATCTAGAGGTCAGGGTTGCGGATGGGGTGGAGGATGCATTGCTGGAGGTTATCCTGGCGGGGGCGTTGACTGAGACTATGGTTACCTTGCGTGGGCATTGACCGTACCTCGTTTATAAAATACCGAGATGTTTTAATGGTCGTATGCTTTCGATGTTGTTATTTTTGGCTGGTATATATGTGTCTAGGCTCTGACATGCAGTCACTTCAGCACGTATATTTTGGCTGACTGGGTGATCGTATCTCATGCCGATTGGTCAAGTAAGAGTTATCATGATCTTAATTGAAGTAATGCATAAGCCTGCAACTTTAAACAACGAAGTAAACATACTTCCATTCTGGTATGTACAGTGGATTCCTGATTGCCAGGTCTTTTCTGGCAGAATATATTAGCTCCGCTATCAAATACAGGAATGATGTTTCTGACCTTGTTCTTCTTTTTCTGATTTCCTGTGCCGGCGCTAGGCACATTTCGTCGCTGTTTTGTCGACAAGTCTAACTCGAAGAGTAGCGCGTTCTAGCAGCATGGGCTCTTTATGCTCGGACTCGTGGCGCTAAAGGAGTAAATGGATGCGTCGGAATCTTGACATCTCCGCCTGGCTATTTTTTATGACATCTCTCATCCTGCCCTGGATCGCTACCGGTCGATCCATGATATTAATCGCGAGAGGATCCGCCATGATATTCAACAGGCGCTTGATAAGCAACGATGGCATCTTTACATGCTCATCATGCCCTTCAAGCTTACTCCACCTCGAAATAGGACACGTGCTATGTGTAATTAGTGGTGGATTCGGGTTTCGCTGCGTGGCCACTTATCACTTACCAGAACTCTGTTCGCACTGGTGTACTATTCGTTTGCTGTTCACATGCGAGACACGGGATATGTTGCAGCGATCCTGAATCTACCATCATATACATTTGAAGGCGCACTCCATGAGTTACAGCCTTGCACCATGTTGTGGGAGTAATAGTCGGGCTCCCCCGTGTTGCATTCAGTATGTAGAACATACCAGCTCGCACATTATGTTCCCCCGGTAAGCCTCGAAACCACAGTCGGAGAACACTGGTAACCATCTGAATGCGATTGTGAGTACAATAAAATTTTATAATTCAAAAAGGATAACTGCACCTCCCACGACTGCAGATAATTGCAAGACAAAATGCTAGAGCGGCCGAGGGCATCTTCGAAAATGACACCGTTTTCCAGACTTGCGAGCAGCGACTGTGGCATCGAATTGGAAAATAGACGCTGCGTCATCGTTCTGTAGCCGATCACAAAAAGTGGCACAAAGACGTATCTAGCGTCTTCAGTAATATGTAATCTAAATTGTTTGACTCTACTTACAGATATTCCCGAACCAGTATTTTAAGGCTGTATAAGAGTAACTTAACAGCCTTGTATAGATCCTGTTTCGCGAGGGTTTTGGCCACATGTACAGCCGGATCCTTAGTCACCGGTGCCGAGTAAAGGGACAAGTCACGCAAGTTCAATGACAGGGGTGTGACTGCTACGTCCAAGTCATTGGGCGTAGATTTCTCGATACCGGTCGTAGCTCCAAGGATATGTCCTTGGATTTCCGTCCTATCGTAATGGCCCAAACGTTGCACTGTATTAAGTATCATATCGACTTTTGTGTTCAAGGAAGCTGTCGGCTTGTTATCATAAATAGAACAATCAAGTTCGGGCCCCAGCTTAGCGAGAAGTCAAAAGAACGCTTACTGTATTGCCCAAGCAAATCTGCGACAGCTTTTCCATCGTTCATCACATCGTTCAGCTTTAAGCAAGCTTCAACAAGCTTTTCGAAAGTTGCTTCGCTGTACTGGGACAGCGCTGACTGTCCTTTGAGAAGAGAAGAAAGACGAGCTTGTACGTCTTCAGCCCAAGGTCGAATCCGATCATCGAATGCTTGGTTGATCTCCTGCGTCAACCGCGTCTGTGTATCGGATGGTAGTCGGAGAGCAACGTTACTGTTTGCTTCATGAGGCCCAACGTAATATCATAGGCGATACGAGATGACAAACATAATTTGCTGGGACATCCCAATCTGAAGTGCCATAAGTGGCACCACAATTTTCCTTTTAAGCTGCTGCACCCGCTTCGAAGTAGATAGCGCCCACTGAATCATTCGCGGGGCTCGGACGACTTTAGTGAATTGATGCTTTGAAACAGACTGACGGCCAAGGCTGGTTTCGAAATCGAGATTAACCTTGTTTAGAAAAGGTAGCAATGGGCCTTGAATTTGCTGACAAATGTGTCGTATATTTTGGAGTGCGTCCTCGGCGAGAGGCAAGGATTGCAGAGAGTCTAAAGTCTCCAAGGTTTTAGACACCGAATGCAAGAAGCCACTTTCTTCTTGATAATCCGACGAGGCTCCACCGGAGTCTTTCAGAGCACCGCAGATCTTGTTAAGGACCGTCAACGCTGTTAGCAGATCACTTGCGGACCAACCAAACGACATTTTGTCGAGCTCGCCAGTAGTTGTGCCTGTCTTCTAGAAAGGTCAAAGAGCAAAATGGGGATACAAACAAGAGCCGATCTTGGGCGCAGTCGATATGGGGTGGGGTACCCACTAGTTATAGCTGTCATCAAGCAAGGCGCATTTCGTAAAAAGAAAAAGAAGCGGGGGCTGAGATCCAGTTTTAGGGCGATTTACTGCTGTTACGCTGCAGGTCGTGTCACTGTACATTGGTGGTTACATAGCGGCATTCAACCTGCTGCCTAAAAAGCTTCAGACAGTCTTATTAAACCTGCCTTGGTCATACTTTCTAAGGTCAATTCCTCCTCTATCGCTCTTGATAACCTAGATTACCAACAGCGCAGATGTATGTTATGTTGAACCTGACAGCTTTATACCAACTCTCCTGCTTATAATTACCTAGGTGCACATGGGTGTCTAGTGTCGTTATGAAGCGTAACGGTAAAGAAACAACAATCCGATACAAATCGGAGGATTGTGGACAACATGATTGCCCGACTTCAGTTGAATATCGAGCAAAGTCAAACTGAGATGTAAGAGCACATCCTACTAAAAAAAACACGTTGTTCGTGCTGACATAACACGTATATAGTGTCGTCACCAACTACGCGATCGTACGCGATCTCGTGGAGACATTGCCAGGAGATGACATTTCTTCCCATTCTGAGAGCTAAAACAGCACAGAGTTTTCCTTCTAGAGGGAAGGGGAAAGGGGTCCGCATTATTCTGGGGATGAAGCTACAGTATGGTGAAAGACTGAGGAGAGGGAGTGTAACTGTTGCACTTCTTCAGAATTGACAATTTGCACACAAGTACAGAAAACATATACTCTGATCGCCCTTGTTTGGCCATACCGTAGAATTCCCGGTCTCGACCCAGAATGGTTTTCAAGTAAATTTAATATTCCGATTCGCAACTAAGGCTGTGCGATTTTGCCGCAGAAAGCTCCATGAGCAGATCGAAGCACGATTTCGACCCTGTAGAGTCTTTGAAATCAGTTCCATATGCTTATCATTCTCCGGCTGCGCCTAATCCAAGCCTCAAAGATGCAGTTTTGCGTTTCTCTTGGGACAATATGGCTCATATTCTGCAAAACAGGCATACCCGAGAGTAGTATGATACATGCGCCCGTCAAGTACTGAGCTTCACCAGCATCATAAGCCCAATAGACTCATCTCCTCTCTCTTTGGCCGGCTGCCTGCTTCTCTACCTCGAGATGGAGAGTTCGACGTTTGAATCCGCAGCACACTTTCTTGCCTACTCCATTGAAAAACTAACCGTCGCCCAGGCCACCGAGCTATCTGTCGAATCTCTTATGGTGGACGTGGTGGAAATACAGAGGGTGATAATATATCCACTCCCAGTGGACGGGACGCTTCGCCTCAAAGCCCATGATATCACAGTGAAGACTGTGTGCAAGCGATGAAATGGCTCATTCCACCGTCTACAATGGATCTTCTATTTCTTAAATCTAGTTAAGACTGTAACGTCTAGCTTTATTAAGAAGCCTAAGTAGCACTTAGAGATATCTATATTTACTAGCCCCTGGTACCACTCCTCTCCTAAAAGCTTAATATACTCAATTATTCATCCTAGGGCATGGCTTTTAGTAATATCATTATATGTTAAGAGCTTAGGTCCCAGCACTTAGTAGTCATAGTTATATAAATCAGGATCCATTAGAGTGCAATAGATAATAGCAACGTACTAATAAACATTACCCCTACCCATAGGCAGTATAGATCTTGCTTTAATCATGATGGGTTAGCGTGGAGACTCCTCAGTTAGATTCTCTAACCAGCAAGCAACATCAGGACATAAGATGATTATCATGGAAATGACAAATGCTTATGCTCTGCCATGCTACCGTGCCATTTGTCTGCTGGATGTTTTACCCGATTGGGAAAGTGGTCAAACCGCCGAGGTTTTCCCGACATGACAACGACGCACGAGATGCCTCGCTGCAGGTCAACACTGAGTACTTCTTCTTCTTCTTCTTCCTCCTCTTTGACTGGCTCACCGGGCGGTATTTCGGACCGTTTCCCGAGTATTCTTCTCAGACCTACATATTATATGAGGAACAAGATCCAGCACTTCATGTGCGTTGTCKACTAGTGCTATTCATTGTAATTACGCTCCGCATCGCAATGTCCAAGCAAACAGATCTTCAATGGCGACAGGTAAGGCCCAATCGATGGGAGCGTGGCATCGACGAGGTTGAACAGTTTTACACCTCCCTGGAGAAATCATACCAAGGCAGCGGGCGCAACTTCTTCGCCATCACGGGCTTCGTCTCATTCTCTGTCAAGGCAGACGACAGTGTTTCCCAAGAGGAAAGAAGAAGAAGAGTTGAAGATGCCCTGCGCAAGGCATGGGTGCATCTGCGTTTCGACCACCCGACCATTGCTTCGTGGGTGGAATGGGACCCCGAGCGCAAGCGCTGCAGAAAGACATACGAATCTCCCGCCAGGCAAGATGCACTTCAGTCGTGGCTGGAGGCGACCTTTCTCACAGTGTCACACGCCATTTCTGGCCTGGAATGGTGCAATTCGGATCCTCCGGTTCCGAAGCTACCGTCTCTCTTTCTGATATGGTCATCTCCTCGCGTTAAAGAAGTACTCCAGGGTGATCTTGTGCTCCGCGCTCATCACGACATCATCGACGGCGTTGGGACACTGATGTTATTCGATAATTTCTTTACCCACGCGGCCAGAGCTTATGGACGAGGGTCGGATTATCCTCTTCCTTGTTTTGGTATGGAATATGCAAACTTGAGTCCCCCGTTCCGTGTAGCTGCGGCGCTGCAGCCCAGCATGTCTCCCGAGCAGACGGAGAAATTTAAGTCGACCATGGCATACAACTCGTTTATGAAGCAGGATCGTATCGAGGTTGCCAGTGTTCCATTTAAGAGGGGAGCACACCTCCCTGGAAAACATCAGAGGGTTGCCGTCACTCTTCCCGTTCAGCAATCCACAGCCATCCTTAGCGCTTGTCGCCGGCTAGGTCTGAGTGTGACGCATGCATACCATGCAGCGATTGCGATGGCGGTGCGAGATCTTCAAAAACGGGGCGATAGCGAACGCCTAGTCAGATACATCAATTACAGCCTGATCAACGAGCGCGGACATTGCCGGAGCCCGTACGATACTCCTCTCCATGCAGCGGCGGTCTACCACTCTGTTTCATGCAAGCTGCTCATTGTTGATACCAAAGTTCCGAGTATAACTGATAGCTCGAGTCCGACAGAGGTGAGCAGAGAGGAGTTTTTAAGGGTCGCGAAAGCTGTCAGGAAGTTCTACCAGGGAATCCGGAAGGACCAAGATCATATCCAGATGATGCCGACGCGGTACGCCAGCAACACTATTCCCTACCCACACGACGACACCACGCCACCAGTCCCAAGACCGAATCAGTCACCGTCGGTTTCAATTTCCAGCTTGGGTGTGGTGKACAATGTGATCAGCCCTTCGCATGGGGCATTCGAGCTGGATACCCCTTGGGTTACCGGTGAGGAACTGGGGACGGGCCTTGGCCTGTTCCTGGGGACTTGGAAAGGGGTGTTGACCCTGAGTGCGGCATACAATGATGCATGGCATGATAAGGAAGAGGTAGTGAGGTTTATCGAGCGATGCAACATTATTGTGGTCCACGGGCTGGGGGTTGAGCAAGCATTATGACTTTTGGCTTGACTCAACAGCCACTAGATTAGTCTTGTTACCATCATTATCACTGTAGTCTCTGCGATGCTGGACTATATATTGTCGGGCCAGTGAATCGAGATAGAGAGGCTCAGAATATACATTCCTAGTAGATCCTGCAACGGCACTCGGTGGGTTTGAAAGTACCACAAACACTCTGATCGTCAAGATGACGGCAAAGATTACTTAACTTTCAAAGATGAACATCATTCCCCGAATAGAATGTGAGGATGTATCCGTGGCAGGAATAAAACAGAGGATGATGCTACAAAAAATCGGAGGTCTGGGGTGTTAAAACTGTTGACTGCCTGGTCGCCGACAATGGTCCGTAGTTATCCCCGCTGAGTCACTCACTCCAACCTCCTTGATTGGTCTATTCCTAGATTCATGAATATCTTCGACAATCAGATTCAATGCCCTCGGCATTATGGCCTCCTGATTGCCATTGGCATAAGCCTAGGGAAGGATGTGGTGCTTGCCGAAATCCCGGCCGGGCCAAAACCCGCCAAAATTCCGTTGCCTAATTTGTGGTGGATATTATGAAGCATCAAGTCATATATTTGGATCGACTTAAAATCCTGCGCCCACATTGACCCTCAATTCTGGAATTGTTCCACAGTTGGTGGATTGGCTAGCGAGTAAGCGTGGCCATTATGATGGAAACAAAGGCAGCATATTGTACGCAGCTGAGGCATTCAGGCATCACAGCAGAAGTTACTTGTAACCCCAATTCGACCTCCAGTAACCCCTGCTCATGCAGGTCCAGAGAAAAGCTGGAGAAATACGGGGGGAGCTGTAGACTGTTGGGAATATTCCGAAGCCATTGGTTCTCATGCCTAGATTTGCCACGAGTTGAGGTTATGAAGAATGCTTGGGCGCAGAAGAAGTGGGACATGCGTGAGACTAGGCAGTCAAACGCAGTGCGCAATATACGCATATCCCGAAGGGGAAATGTCCTCGGAGCCATCCACCCAGAATTAAGAGGAATGATGGTCTTGATTGGACGGTTTACGGACCCTGAAGCCCTGCATAAGGCGGAATTGTTGAAGTTCTGGTGAACTGCCTGTTGTCTACTATGTCAAAACCAGTCCACAAATACTAGACTGCTATCGAAAAAGGTCTCCGAACAGAAGACGATTATGAGCGAGAGTCGGAAGACTGTCCCGGGAACTACTCCGTATTGCATTCAATGATCCGAGGACTCCGTTCTCGAGAGGCTGTCGGCTCAAATCACCCCGATGACAAGGGACCAGTTACAATCTGCAGGGAGAGCTAAGAAAGCTAAGAGATATAGGGCTATTTCCTCTTTCGCAGTATTATTGGGGATTCAGGTGGTCTACCGAGTACTGCCGCTAACTGGAACAAGCGCAAGTACGGAGTAATGCATCAATATAATCCGCCTATCATCCACTTCATCATGCAACATGAGTCGTGGTGCAAGCCTGGGCGGAATATGAATTCCAGACAGACACGAATACGATTAGTCCAATTGATTGAGTTTTAATGAACATGGTTTATTAGCCTGTTTACTTGCGACACTCGTGGCGTCCACGGCTGCAAGTAGCCAGTGTTAGCCCTAAAACGATATTCTCTATACTCGTTCGGTCGACGCACTAAGACATTCTCAAACGACTCGCAGGCCAGAAACAGTCCCTAATATGCTTAAAGGCGGGCAAGCACTGCTAAATGTCTCGGCACGTTTCCGGATTCGTGGAGAATCTCCGACAAAGCTTTTGGCCTAAGTGGAGAGGCCCAAAGAATCTATTCCTCTTTGGTGCCAGCGTCCTAATACTGTGGAGATCTCACGATTCAATTCCCAACCAGGTGGGGTCCCTGCACAGCTCAGACAGCAATTTAGGTTGCTCCGTCAGTGTTGTGCTCTTTGGCTTCGGTTTGATCCCTTTATCGGAGCTCCTGTGGAAGCCTCGGGACGCCCCTGTCATCTGCTATATCCGTACACCAGACCAACACCATATATAAAGCTTCAGACATCCTCCCCATGGATCCATTTTTGTCCTCATCCGCGCTCCTTTCGTCTTTCCCTGTACTATTGTAACTATCACTTTTAGGGTATCTGTTGACCAGAACCTTGTCCGATCTTTCTAAACACACTCCGACCACTTGACTTCCGCTCTCTCACCATGCATTTCTTCCAATCCTCCTTCATGGCCGCGACCATGGGCGCTGCGCTGGTCGCTGCTGCTCCTGCTGCTGATCTCGAGGCTCGTGGCTCTTGCACCTTCACCTCTGCGGCCGCGGTCAAGTCCGGCAAGGCCTCCTGCTCCACCATCACCCTGAGCAACATCGCCGTGCCCGCCGGTGAGACTCTGGACCTCACTGGCCTGAAGACTGGTGCCACTGTAAGAATTTCATGATTGGTATGTTAAATGCCGTTGACTGACGTGTTGACAAAGGTCATCTTCGATGGTACCACCACCTTCGGCTACAAGGAATGGGCCGGCCCCCTGATCTCCATGTCCGGAACCAGCATTACCGTCCAGCAGAACTCTGGCGCTAAGATTGACTGTGATGGTGCTCGTTGGTGGGACGGCAAGGGAGGCAACGGCGGCAAGAAGAAGCCCAAGTTCTTCTCTGCCCACAAACTGGACAAATCGAGCATCACCGGTCTGAAGGTCTACAACACCCCCGTCCAGGGCTTCAGCATCCAGTCCGACAACCTCACCATCAAGAACGTCCTGATTGATAACTCTGCCGGTACCAAGCTCGGCCACAACACCGATGCTTTCGATATCGGCTCCAGCACCTACATCACCATTGACGGTGCCACCGTCTACAACCAGGACGACTGCCTGGCCATCAACTCCGGTGAGCACATCACCTTCACCAACGGCTACTGCAATGGTGGCCACGGTCTCTCCATCGGCTCCGTCGGTGGCCGCTCGGACAACACCGTCAGCGACGTCACCATCTCCAACTCCCAGGTCATCAACTCCCAGAACGGCGCTCGTATCAAGACCGTCTACGGCGCGACTGGCTCCGTCACCGGCGTCAAGTTCCAGGACATCACCCTCAAGGGTATCACCAAGTACGGCATTATCGTCGAGCAGGACTACGAGAACGGCAGCCCCACCGGCAATCCCACCAACGGCGTCAAGGTCTCCGATATCACCTTCGAGAAGGTCACCGGTACCGTGACTAGCTCCGCCACTGATATTTACATCCTCTGTGGATCTGGCAGCTGCACTAACTGGACGTGGTCTGGCAATAGCGTCACTGGCGGCAAGAAGAGCACCAGCTGCAAGAACGTTCCTACTGGCGCCTCTTGCTAATTGTCTCTAAAAGACTATGGCCGGTGGCTTCTGTCACGAGCGTGTTCTATTCGTGTCTCCGCTTTGTTGATCCTTGTATTTTAGTACATAATTCTATAATAAAAGACATATTCAAGTCTACATCCCAAAGTTGCGCAATTAGTCTGTGGCACTTTCCCTGCCAAGCTCTTTCGGTATTAATCGGTGACATTTACAAAAGACTAACAACAGTGATATATACAAGACCTCTGCGTTCAGGTTCGATGCCGCAATGTGACCTATCTTCCCATAAACCTCTCACTGTAAGCGACCCTCGCATTTTCACTATACCTTGCATGCTTCCGCGGGCTAATTTGAATGGATGTCAATCATTTTCTCCGAGGAATGTCTGCCCAGTTTGCCCTCATACTTGCGGTCTGGAATGCAAGGGGCCATCCCATCAAGCAGCGATCGACCAAATGTTTTGATTACGATGCCGCTTAAATACATCCCGCGCATTCGCAATTCTTTTCCGTCTGCTTCAATCGCCATCACTCTCCAGAGTTTCCAGTTTCCATCATGCATCTCACTCACGGCCTCACCCTCGCGGCCGTCGCGACATCCACCCTCGCATTCCAGATCCCCAACTCCAAGCAACCCTCCACCAAGCACACACCCAGCAGCGACGCCCAACCCACCCACCACCCAACCGTCCGCGACATCTTCCAATTCCCAAACAACGGCTCCTTCGTCGACAACGTCGTCGTCCGGTCAGACGGCACCCTCCTCCTCACCCGCATCGACGTCCCAGAAGTCTGGTCCGTGGACCCCAAATCCGGCTCCGGGACCCTGGCCTACTCCTTCGCCAACCAAAGCAGTGATATCACTGCCGTCTTCGGCATCACCGAAGTCGAACATGACGTCTTCGCCGTCGTAGCGGGCAAATTCACGCTCCAGGGCTTCGCCGCCCAGCAGGGCTCCTTCGGGGTCTGGAGACTCGACTTCAACGATGACGGCAACTATGATGTGCTCGAGGTGCCGGCTTGGTGGGAGGGTGAGTCAAGCCTCAGCAAGGACACGCCCAGCTCGGTCAGCAAGATAGTCGACATTCCCGAGGCCAAGGCGCTGGGTGCTAGTACGCTGTACAGGCCCCGCGATGAGACGCGGTACCTGCTTATTTCGGATAGTCCAGACGGGAAGATCTGGCGGGTGGACTTGGATTCGGGCGACTATGCGGTTGCGCTGCAGGATGAGTCGATGTTGCCTGCGCCGAACGCGCCGCCAATGGGGGTCAATGGGATCCATGTGGTCGGGGAGTATCTGCACTATGTGAGCGTGACGAAGAAGGAGTATCGGAGGGTGAAGATCGACCAGATGGCGAATGCGGCCGGGCCGTTCGAGTTGATTACTACGGCGATCAACCCGGACAGTTTTGATATTATGGACGATGGGACGGCGTACTTTGCGACGAATCCGGAGAATACGATTGTCAAGTATACGCCTGAGGGGAAGATTGTGAACTATGCTGGAAGCAAGAATTCGACTGTGCTGCCTGGACCAACATGCTGTGCGTTGGATAGACAGGGACAGACGTTGTATGTTGGCACGAACGGGGGCTTGATGGCTCCGGTTGGCGGAACGTACAAGGAGCCTGGAAAGATTGCCGCTATTTCGCTTTGAAGACAAGGCTGGATTAGAGTTTGCGAGATCCTTTGTCGAGGAAGAGCTTTATATTTTAATGCAGTCTCTAATAACAGAGTAACAATGGTAACCTTCATAGTTGTTCTCTATCGCGCAGTTGCCTCTTCCTCATGACTTGATTAAGGAGGATTAGTGCACGTCTGTAGAGTGATTGTTGAACGAGATCAAGTTCCCTGGGAGATGCATAGTGGACAGCGAAATCTGCTTACATACATGGGCTAAGACGTTTCAATGTACTCGCTGTCTCTCAGAACAAGAAAGGGCAGGACGAATATACGATGCAATGGTACATCACGCAGACGACAGCAATTCGACCACACCAGCCAGATAGTCCTCGTCATCAACATCCATATCCTCGCACGTTTCCTTCGCACCGTGCTTCCGAAGAACGTCGGCTATTTCAACATGTCCCTTTGCGATGGCCAATGATAGAACAGGACGGAAAGGACCCTATGCGTATATTGGGTTCCGCCCCGTGACAGAGGAGAAGCTCAGCGACTTCCACGTTGCCAGCGGTCACAGCCACTGAGAGAGGCGTCTCGCCAGCATCGCTCTTTTCATTCACATTAAATCCCCGATCAGGCATCTTGGCGATGAAAGTGCACTTCATAGACCGAGTAACGTTGACCAAAGTAATGTGTTGTCTTCCTCGCTGCAAGGGGCGTGGATCGGCACCATGGTCTATCAGAAGCTCCGCCTTGTCGTAATACAGCTGACTCATTGCGCATGACAGAGGTGGCAGTAGCCAGCCCTTACGAGAATGTCTCCGAATAGACGGATGGCCCTGCCGCAGGGCTTCTGAGTATGCATTGGGGTCAAGACCTTGCTCAAGAAGTCGCCTGAGCACCTCGATGCTCAAGTTCCTGACCACCCAAAACAGCAGAGTCGGATCGTCGCCAGGCCGTATTTGATCGGGGCTTTGTTCGAGGAGAACTTTTGCTATCTCTTCCTCGCCGAGCCTTGCAGCGCAAGATAGGGGCAATTCATCATCAATGTTGGAGTTCGTTTCAGCCCCTTTCTGCAAGAGTTCCTTGGCGCAGCCCCAGTGTCTGTTCCGCATCGCAACCTGAAATGCATATTTACGGCTCATCGTCTGGTCGCAGCCAGATTGATCAGCGTGATCCAGAAGCATTTCCAAAACTCGACGGTGGCCATGTCCGGCGGCTGCAGTTATAGCAGAGCCCGCATTGTCGATGATAACACTAGCACCTCGATCCAGCAACATACGGACAGCTTCGACATGCCCGTTCGCCGCCGACAGAAGAGGGCTACGGAGCCGTTTGAGTCTTCGTCGTCTATTGAAACGCCCTTATCCAAGACCAATTCAAGGCCCTCCAGGTATCCCCGATTTGCACAGGAAACGAAGAAGTCGTGGTCTTCCGGAACTCTAGCACCGTGCGCAAGCAAGTACGACGCGATATCCAAGTGGCCACATTCAACGGCTATTTTCATGGGCGTCATTCCTCGAATCGACGGCATATCTAAGTCGACCCCGTGTCCCACCAGGAGTTTGACTCCCTCCATGTTACCGCGTATTACCATAAGATGAAGGCAGGATAATGCTTCACCTGGGGCATCACAGGATGCTGTCTGATGGACATCAGCGCCTTTTTGGATAAGAAACGCCATACATTCCGCATCACCCGACAAAGCAGCATGAAGAAGTGGCCTGGGACCAATTTCTTCCCCCACATGTATATTCGCACCTTTGTCAACAAGTAGTTTGGTCAATTCGAGCTTTCCCAGACCAGCGACACAGTTCAGTGGCGTCATTGATTTGCAACAGTGCTGTTCAATATCGTCACCATACTCGTCGAGTAGCAGCTCGATCACTCATGTTTGTTCGCTCTCAAGTGCGTAACACAGAGGCGTGTGGAGCTTTTCGTCACCAGTTGGTATGACTGAGCCTATTTTCGCGTTGATGTCGTCCGGCTTTGCAGCCAGTGATCGTCTGATGACTTTTTCAAGACCATGGCAAGCACCAAAGGCAAGAGCGGTGTGGTTCTCGAATTCTGCATTGTATCGGTGCATGTATGGGTTTATGACGCTGAAGATAAATCGGTTTGTGCGGGAGAATGCATTTAGCGAAGCTTGATTTTGGAGGTGCTTCGCTATCTCTAGCAAAAGCTCATTAGGTAAGGAAAGTAGGCTCATGATCGAAGGTTCTAAGTAAAACCTCAAGGTCAGGAATGATGATAGTAAAGTAAGAAAAGAGGAAAGTCTTGCGGATGTGAGACCGGGGGAGCGAGGATGTTGTCAAGTGTTGTGATAAACAAATAAGTATCCTCAGAAACTCCTGACGCGAAAGTCACTCACTTGTGTTAGTCAAATATCATTCACTTGCTACTTCTTAATTTCGTCGCATAAGCTCTGCCATCACTTGATATATGTATTATAAGCCGCTCATCTAGTACTCACAAAACTGGCATCTGGCCCTTTTCTGCTACACTAAGTATGAGTATATCCAATCAATCTCCGATATCACAACTATATGATCTTTCCTTGGCCTGACCCGTTGAATGTAAGTGCACATATAGTCAGAGTGCGAAGTTTGGTAGAATAGACAGGGCGCAGCAGGGTCTTTGCGTACACAGTTTTATCATGATTGAGACCACACCTCGATCTCATATATGAAGAGGGTAGATAATGCAGAGTGAATAATGTCTCTCTAGTAATATATTACCAATAATTTGTCCTAGCTTGTCGTAACTCTCACATCTGCGCGACTTTATCCAGCTGCTTGGGACACTCCTGAAGATTTTATATACAGTTATTTCTGGACAGCCCTCTGTAGACCCTAAGGAGAAACGAGTACTCTTCTCTCATTCAAACAGTGAAAGGAGTTCTTTCACTCTGTAGACATTTAAAGCAAGAACACCCTGGACTTTTATTGTCTCGAACAGTCATGGCTTTCCATCAGTCTCTAAGGTATACTCAAACGAATAGTCACATGACCAGAAGGTTTGTCTGCCTCAGGCTCCCACATGGTGCGGAGAACAGACAGACACAAACTGGGGAAAAACGTGCGAATTTCCGCCGGATCCTGTTTCCTCTCCAATCTGCGGTCCGCTACCGGCATCGGCCTTCCTCATGTCCAGATTCGAATCATGTCTGAACATTTATCAGAACAGCTCAGTGCAGAATATCGTTTAGATTCTAGTAGATACTCGAATTACACTCGCTCACCATTGCCGACGCGAGTCAGTAGTGCGTGCGAGAGATGCCGCCGCCACAAAACTCGGGTATGGATTACCATTAGAAGGTTCCAATGCTCTTTTCTAGGAGATTACTGACGTTGGACAACCTCTTGGCCTGCAGTGTGATCCTTTCCGACCTTGCTCGCTCTGTGCACGAGCAAAAGTGGATTGCCAACCGCTTCCTCCTAGTCGGACCCGCAGGGATAGCACTCGGAAGTAAGTCGCTAGGGACGAGATCTTTGCTGAGTGAAACTTCTCATTCTTCTTAATTCACTAACGAGTAACAGATCAAAGAGAGCTTCCCGAAGTCATCAGCGACAAAGATCCACATCAACAGTCATCCCTGACCAACCTTCAGAGAGCTTCGATGACCCCAGTAACGAGGCTCCACCGGTGGAAGGTACTAACAATGACCACCGTATATCTACAGACGGCCGTGTTACACATCCGGCAATTGACTACGGTGAAGCGGAATCTACCATGGGAATTGTTCAAAAAATCTGTGAACTTGGTAGACAGCATATCGATGAGCAAGCCACGTCTGCCATTCCAGGGTACCGAGCGAGCACCAGCGTTGCCAAGCGGCTCACCGCACCTGTCGGACAACGGCTTCCTATTTCTTCAATACTAGGCCAGGATTTACCGCCGACGGAGGTGATGTATTTGTTGCTTGAGGACTACTTTGATGCAGTCCATTGGTTTTCTCTTGCTATTTATGAACCTACCTTTCGCAGGAAACTCTTGTCCGTAACCGATGGGCTTGCCTATCCCTCCCAGAAATTATTCTTGCTGCTCCTTGCAGTCGTACTGGGCATGGGGGCGTGGTATCGGTCCCAAAGGAGGACGACTGATTTGACCGACAATGGCGATTGGCAACAATTGAGTGCACACCTCTTAAAGATCGTCGAATCGCACATTGTTGAGTTGATGGACAAACCTTCTGTTACAGCAGCCCAGATTTGTATCCTTTTCGGGTCGTACCACGTGTACCACGGGCGTCCCAATCTCTCCTTTTCATTACTCGGTGCGACTATCAAGATATCCCAAGCGGCAGGGTTGCACCGTGAACCCTCGAAGGGCAACTTCGAGGATATTGAAGAAAGGAAACGTGTATGGTGGACCATATACACCTGGGATAGATTTGCGTCGATCACCTATGGCCGACCACTAGGAATCAACGACAAGGACTGCAATCTCAACATGCCAGCGGATATCTTCGAAAATCCCTACTTTGTTGCACCGAGATCAGATCAGGGATATACCGTCTGTTACTCTACGTATCAAAGGGAATTGAACCGTCTCTACCTCATGGCATCCACGGCCCTGGAGGCAATTTTCGGCTCGCGGACGTCAGGTTCGTCCGAGGAACTGGCGGGGGACGCATACGTTGCGCTCGTCAAAGAAGCGACTCAAAATCTTCAGAGATGGCGGAATGAATTACCTGAGCATCTAGTCTTGGACCTCGAGAGAGACTTCCTGCACGACAGCGGGCTCAGTGCAAGGGCACATGCCTTACAATCATTGTCCCTGCAATTGACCTACGATAATATTCTCATTGTCCTCCACCGGCCTTTATTGGCAAGGCAAGTTGATCACCTATCAACAAATCGGCACGCTTCTAGCAGAAGCGGCCGGATAGACTCCCCCGGCTGCCATCCAAGCGGGCCATCGCCAGCACAAAGGGACCCAGCATTCGATGCTGTATCGCCAAGTGCGTCTGTCACAAGTCCGGTACACTGGTGGAATGCGGCCTTGAGAACATCCCGAGTGACTGAGTTACCGGTCCTGGCTCAGCTTGCGACGGATAGTCATCTGGTTGCCTTCTTGGCCATAAATCTGTTCAACGCGGCAATTGTGCTGGCGGTCATGGCTCTGTCAGATCCCCTCTCTGACACAGCACAAGTCGTGAAGCGGACAATCACTCGTATCTTGCGTCTGCAGGATCTACTTGGAAAGCGCTCTGCATTATCGAAGCAAAGTACAACAGTTTTGAAGAATGTGGTCACATTGCTTCTCCGCCGTGAATCAGAGGCTATTCTGGCTCCAATAACGGCAAACAATCAGCAAGAAGGTCACCAGTCTTTAGTAGACTCTGTACCGATGTCAGTGGAAGATACCCTCCGACTTCCCCTCGACGCCACACTGGAAATTTTTGATGCCCCGGCGCGACGGCCGGCATGGCCAGACCAGAGCAGGGCTCAGCGTCTGAACGAAAGTTTAGCATCAGTTCAATTCGGTGAGTGACTTTACGTCTTTCTGAAAAATAGCTCCTTGACTGGAAATACTGATTTGTGGCTTTCTCTCCAGTCGTTCCCTCCGGCAATGATGATCATCCCTTCAACTGGTGTGCGAGTGGAGACGCTCACCAAGCTCGCAGTACCATTCAGGACACATTACAACCAGACCACGCATGGCAGCAATCTGCCTCGAACGAATGGCGTGACCCCAGTGTTTCTCTTGGGACAATGGAAACCGCCACCTATGGGACAGGTGAACGAGGGTTATACTGGCTATGGGATATGTCATGGAATGGAACAGAGTCATAGGCTTTAACATTGGCCTGACGCATGACCAGTTTCTAGGAAATGGAAGGAAATGTCACATGAGTTACAGCAATGGGCGCAGATTCACTTTATGTCTATGTGGCTTTCGCTACATGCTCGTCTACGCCAGGCCCGTAGATGACACTCTTGATCCCTGCTCGGCTGACCACATTCTTAAACGCGTCTTCTGCGTGAGTGAACGGAAACTCGTGGGTGACAAGCCCATCTAGTCTAATCCGACGAGAATGGAGCAGCTCGATTGCCGTCCGATAATCCCCAGGACCATATCGAAAACTCCCTTTGAAGACGATCTCCTTGTCACAGATCTGACCGACAGGAAGGGAGGGATTTGGCTTCCCCAAACCCACCTGGACGAACGTTCCTCCAGACGCGAGGACATGAATGCCGCAGTTCATGCAAGGCTCCGCACCGGTGGCATCCAGCACAACGTCGGCGCCTATCTCCAGTTCCACCGTATTTAAAATGTCCTCTGCATTCTGTTCCGGGGACTCAGATGTCATCTGGTATGTGTGCGTGGCCCCGTATTTCAGCGCCGAGCTGAGTCTGCTGGGCACGACGTCCACGACGAGCACAGTTGACGCCCCAAAGGCACGCGCTACGGCCACACAGAGCAGGCCGACCGGACCCGCTCCGAAGACGACGACTGCTTTTCCCTGCATATCCCCTGCGAGTCGACAACTGTGCACAGCCACACTGAGCGGCTCAATCAGGGTACCATCCCTTAGCGAGACATGTGCGGGCAGTTTATAGCAGCACTCTGCTG